GCAGCTGAGAATAACAATTTCTTTGTCACGGCCCTGGAACTTATCGGTGGTGTGCATCTCGAGCTCTGGTGAATAGTGGCGAAGGCTCTGGCGCAGAAGGGAGAGTTGGCTGCGATAGAAGGTGATGACGCCAATGTCTCGAGCAGGAATGCCACAAGCGATCAGTGCCTCAACAAGTTGAGTACACAAGTCTGCCTCCAAATGATTCACGACTCGTTGTCCTTGTGCTGTTTCGAGACCCGATGGCCCCAAGGTGTCCGTGTTGACGAGAAGGGTTTTAGCAGATGGAACCAAAAGGTCATTAAGCCAGCAGCGCCCATGGCTTTTTCCAAGACAGAGTTCTTGCTTGGATTGGGTTGGATGGAAGTCATCGGCGTGGAATTGCTTCAAGGCCTGTATATTTGGAATCTCCAACGAGCGAGCAGCGACCTGTGGCGTGCCGCATTTTAAGCGACCGGAGTAGATTAGAGTGTTTGAAAGAAGCATGATGTCCTCGCACATGCGGTATTGATGCTCCAGATTGACAACAGAGTCTGGCTGTGCATCTGAAAGCAGCTTGAACAAGCTGACATCGAGGCCTCCTTCCTGCGCGGCCTTGTTCTGCACCAGCGGGGGAAGTTGATAGTGATCACCAACAAGAATGAAGGTCCTTGCCATGCGAATGGGACCAAGGCAGACTGGAAGCGTAATCTGTGAAGCTTCATCGACTATGCAATAGTCAAAGATTCGCTGATTGAAAAGGTTGTGGTTGACGCCCAGGCATGTCGTCGCCACAACCTGCGGTTTCTCGTACGAGTCCTTGAGCTCTTCAATGGTTTTCTTCGGAATTGCCGCAAGATCGGCGAACTGCTGCACCTCTGGATGAACCTTCGTGGTTGCACCAATGCGTAGCATGCGAATGTTATCATCGCGGATCTTCAGCAGAATATTATCCACGGCAGTGTGTGTGTAGGACGTCAGAAGAACACTCTTTCCCTGCGCGACTAGAGCTCGAATGATGTGTGCGATGGTGGTAGTCTTACCCGTGCCAGGCATTCCGAGAACTAAGGCGTAATCCTTGGCACTCATGACTTTATCAATGGCTTGTTTTTGATCCACGTTGAGGCTTCCTGAATCGGGAAGTTTGTATGCAGAAGACGTCGGTTTGAACACTGGTGGTTGGCCAGCGATGATGAGCCGCCGTAGGTGCCTCGACTGGAAAAGATCTTTGTCCATCATGCAAATAAGGTTGTTTCGAACAATGGCCATGCCGTTGCTAAACTCATCCTTGTCGATTCGGTAAACCATTTGCTCGTTGGGGTCTTGCAGCTTAGAGAGTCCGTCACTCCCAATCTCCATGATTCCCCTAAAAGACTGGTTCGAGATCGTATCGAAGCCGACTGTCTTCGCTCTCGCGTTTTGTAGTCTGCGATCAACGGCAACTGTGACGTGCGATGTGCTCACATGGGTCACGTATCCGTTGGCGAGTGCGAAATGGCCCTTCTCGTCAGAAATGACTATTGGCTCGCCAACCGAAATCTGTGATTCTGCAAAGGAGAAGCTAGGGGATGGTTTTCGCTTATGAAATGTGTATCGGAAGCGGTTGATTCGAGCTCCGTTCTCGTCCTCGTGTGCAGTTTGCGGGTCGATCACGACATCTCCAAAGCATCGGCCATAGGACTCGCGCTCATCACTTAGCAAAGTCCATAGCTCACGTTTGAATTTGATCAAATTTCCTTCCTCTTTAGTCAAGAGCTCGTCCCATTTGCGGAAGAAGTCACGATCCCCTTGGTTTAGGTGTTTCGTAAAGGCTTCGAAGTCTTCACCAAGGGCGCTTGTCTCACCATTGCCATCTTCTGCCAGCTTGTGGTATATAAGGCATGGCGTCTTCGCATAGCATTTATTACACATCTGTGCCTTCTTAAGCATCGGCGGAAGCTGCATCCTCTCGCGGATATACCCTGCTAGGCGGTTTCGCACTTGAATCATTTGAACAAGCTCATGACGAATGCCACGTATACTTAGGGTCTTAGAGAGCTCAAGATAGTACAAGAGACCGAACTTAACATCGACATCTGTTCATAAGTTAGCCACAACCCACGCTAGACAACAGACCGCTCCTAGTACTGACCGTAGCGATCCGAAAGAAGAAGCGTGTAGAGAGCAGTTTGGGCTCTATGTCCCTGATTCGTGTCCCTTTTACCCGTCTTCAACTCGAGGGGAACAACGAGATTCTTTAGCTTATCCTTGTCTTGGCAGGCGACTTGCACCGTGGCATCGATATTGCCTTTGAGGCCATACATTGGAGACCAAACATGCTCTTCGACCTCGAGCAATTTGGTAATACTCAGATTGAGCTTTGCCCCATTGCGATCTTCAACGAGGGAATTTGCCTAGCGAAATTGTCAGAATAAGGACTTCAGCAGCTTTATGGAACTCGTACATTGGGTTTGATTTGGAGGAAGACGTTTGCCCAGGCCTGTACCTGAGGTATCTTGCCCATGATGGTCTCGACAGCCTGATGTGTACTCATGTTGATTGTGTACAGCTCCTCAACATGATTGTTGAGAACCTTTTCGACCAAAAATCTCATTGAGCCTAGATCCCACTTGTTGGCCATGAGTGCCTCTTGAAAGACCTCATGAAAAATGATTCCAAATGCTTGTGGTTGTTCAATCTGGCCGAAAACCTTGACGCGGTCTTGAAGCACAGCACGGCGTTGACAGTCCACCGAGTCTGCCACAACAGTAGCAGAGATCAAGTGATCCGGATGAAGAATGATCATGTGGATGGTGTTGTCCACAACGCAATGGCCAGCTGAGTCGAAGTCTCCAACCAGATGAATAAATGAATCTTTACTGCAAGGTGTGTCGAACCACGACTCGCGCAAAATAATAACTTTGCGGGCATCTGTCTTCTCATCCTTGACTAATAGAACCTGCACAAGCGTCAGCGACCTCGGCGACCTCGGAGTAACACGAAAGATGACATACCTGCTCAGGTTGCGTACGTCCTCGTGAATTGACATACGAGCTCTCTGCGGTCTCCACGACCTGGTAGCGCTTGATAGCTTTCCGAGAATTGAGATTCTATTGTGTTCATCGTCTTAGCATACACCTAGGTATTACCCCACTAAGAGTGACCAACGTAAGCTGCGTCTTCACCAGTCTGTTTCATAGTCTGCTCGATGGCATCCAGATCAAATTCATCATCAAATTCATCATCAGAGAGCGCAGCAGCGCCATTATTGGTGGATATCTGTGGTACGTTGGTTTGATTGTGAGCAACGGAGTGGACGGAGTCTGCATTCGCTTTCCGCACAGGCTGAAGCTCCACACTGGGTAGTTTGGACGTATCAATTGGCTTTGCATCGCATTCCGCAAGAGCGTCCTCAAAGTCGTCATCAAAGTCCCCAAAGTCGTCTTCAAAGTTGTCAGAGTCGTCAGGTTTGGTTTCGTTATTCATAAGGTTTTGCATGGCTGGTGGATTCGTCTCAGTTATGGATTGCAACCTCGTGCGGCTGGATCCAGGCTTCTCTGCGGCTAGACTTGACCACGCAGAAGAGCCCAAAGAGTCAAACTCGTTGCGATCAGCCGGAGCAGCAACGAAGGGGTCTTCTGCGACATCAGCAAGACCCATGAAATCTTGATCAAGATCATCGTCTCCAAACTCAGATTCCGAATCTAAGGGCATTGGATCTCTGGTAGCCCTCGAGTTATCAGCATCCTTTCCTATAAGAGCTTCTCTGGCAGCTTCTGCATCCTCTATGCCTTTTCGGTCCATCGTAGGAGAGGATGACCGGCATCTTTGCGCGTCCATACGTTGCCTCAGTGGAGAAGAATTTGGCGGGCCCATCTCGACTTGCGGAACTGGCTGGAGGCTCTTTTCAATCTTGTCAAGGAGAAAATTGATTCGGGATGATTTGTTGTTCCCCGAGTCCAGGATGTCACTCCTTGTGCGAGAGAAGATGCCTCGACTGGAGCCCGGGTCCTGACGATTGACACGTCTCCGTTTTGCGCGAGATGTAGGCCATTCAGCGGCACAGCTAATTGATCGCCTCAAACCGGATGAGTCTCGGCTAGTCCTGCCTGAAGCTGGGGTTTGTGGTGAAGAGGAAAGCAGATTCGCAAGGCGAGGTGGGGGGAGGTCATCCGTTCCATCGACCATATTCTTGTCCATATAATTGTTCCATAGCTCAGCCGCCAGATCATGCTGGGGTGTCTTGAACAGAGCCTGGATTGACTGCAGATCGAGTGGCTCCTTCTGGGCCTTCTTGGAAATTCCTTTAGTCGGAGAACTAGCAGGTGATGAGCTGTGACGCCGCTTCCTCCGACGACCTGCGGGTGTAAGAGAAGAAGCATCTGGATTTGAGCTGGCTGGAACGTGTTGCCAGATGACATGATCAACTGGGGTAACCTCCGGACCTGGTGCAGGGTCAAAGGCATCTTCGGCATTGCTGATCAAGTCCGCGAGAGGTATACGGTTTCCCGGTGTATGAGGACATTCCGTTACGAGTTTTGTGTCATCATTCAACGGTACTGTTTGAGGCGGAGGGTCGGCTTTATCGGCAGATGGTTGCATTGGTTCCACGACTCCATTCAGCCATGAACTTTGGTTCTCCTTGTTGTTCTGTTCAGCTTTTGTCCCATTATTCGAGATCGTCGTTTCTTCTTTGTAGCTGAATGCGTTTAGTTTCGCGCGGGAGGTCGAGGAGATAGGGTACGAGTTATTGTTGTTGGTTGCCATGATCTCGATTTGATTCCGTGCGATGGCTTTCTTCTCAAAGAGGACAATGATGCATTCTCGGCCTTCTATCAGCAATGTTAGCAGTGGAACGCGAAATGGCCGCTCAATCGGACGCAGTTTACCATGCCAGTGTAGGGGATATAGGTACTCGGCAGCTTCCACATCCAGAATACATGGAGACTTGATTGTGGTCCGAAATTAGCGCTCTGCTGATAACCCAGGGAGAACACTGGGCCAGGATGCGATAAGAACGCGTCGCGCGTCGGGTGTTGTTGCCTGGTTTGGAAGGCGTGTGTATTGTGCCTGAGGAATGAGGCAAGAAAGGCGGCCAGAATAAAATCACCCAGAAGGGACTAGCGTCATGACTGGTCAGCTCCTCCGTCGGCCTTTTGCGGCTTCAACATCAACCCGCCGAACAACCCCTCTCCTCTCCATTTCACCAAACGGTGCCATACCAATTGCGATTGTTGCTGCCACGTTGGCAAGGCGACATATTATTGGCCTTGTCCTTGATCCCGCAACTCCCACAACTGCCAGTCTCCTTCCGATCAGCCCCAGCCGTCACACCCCCGTCTTCAACATGGTTGCCCGGCCAGTGTCGCATCTCCTTCGTTCGCGCTGCCTCCTGCGCAGGCCTCAGAACACCCAGGCCTTCTCGAGCTCAAACAAACTCCGCGCCGCTGACCATGGCGATCACTATGACCCCCCGACCGGCTGGCTGTTCGGCGTCAAACCGGGCCAGAAGTACGAGAAGGAAGGCTGGGAGGGTATCTGGTACTACGGATTCATTGGCAGTCTGCTAGTTGCCGGTGTTGCATATGTTTTCAAGCCCGATACCTCGTGAGTTCTACCCTTACATATCTCCTGGGAGTTTGCTGGGAGCTTTATATGTGCCCAAGCGAGTAGCTTGCGCGGGCAATTGGACGTCAGGGATGAGCGAGATCAGTCGATGCTAACTTATTCAATAGCATACAAACCTGGGCTCTTGAGGAGGCTCGCCGGAGACTTGAGGCCGAGGGTATCCTGGAGGACCCCGAGAAGGTCAAGAAATAAACGGATCGGTTCTTGCGCCTAAATCTGTACACTGTACATAGAGAGATCGGAAAGGGATTATTTCGGTTGGCGCCTGTACCACCTGCGATGGCAGATATGATGTTCCGATCCTTTGGTTAGATGGGGTTTTTCGCATGTCCTTCCATTCCATTTCTTTTCTCGTTCCCCCCAACCTGTTGTACTACTTTATATTCCGTCTGAACTGCTTTCCATCGCATCAGTACTGGTGAATTGAATCAAAATGGTGGTTATTATTAACAATCAGTGCGCAAGAGAATTCTTAATCAATAAGTTATCGTCTCGGTGTCCCAGGAATCAAATTCTGCTCCCTGTTTTGGCGCTTTCATCGCGTCCCAATTCAGACCTCTGGGTAGATATCGGTCCTCCTGAGTAGAGGCATCTCCCTCCGAATCTTAGAGACAAGATCGAGGTCAATATTCGCAGTCAGAATTTCAGGGTCTGGATACTCGTCGCCCAATTCTGCTACCACCTCGCCCCAAGGGTTGATAATCATAGAATGGCCATAGCTGCGTCTTTTCTCATTATGGGGGCCTCCTTGGGCAGCGGCTATCACATACGATTGGGTCTCAATAGCTCTGGCCCTGAGTAGAGATTCCCAGTGGGCTCTGCCCGTTGGAACTGTGAACGCAGATGGATAGGTAATGACTTCTGCGTTTTGACGCCGCAATGACAGGCTTATCTCTGGGAAGCGTAGCTGGATTCCAGATAGTAAGTAAGCGGATAAGGACGATAGTCTCACTAGACCATGAAAGCGCTGGGACTTACATCAAAACAGATAGCTAGACCGACACGTCCCACGGGCGTATCAAACGGTGGAAGGATCTTCTGTCCAGGCTCGACATTCCTAGATCCGCGATGTCAGCATTCGAAGTCAGTCTTCATCTGGAGATTCTTACTCACTTGCTCTCTTTCAAAATAGGGCCATCTTCAATCTCAACGTCGAATAGGTGGACTTTCTGATAGTTCTGGGTGATTGTTCCCTTATCATCAATCCAGACCAAGGAGTTCTTGAGCCTATTTTCAGAAGCTATCTCGTGGATGCCAACATTTATATGCATGTTCTCTCCTCTAGCTGTTTGTTGTAGAGCTGAGATAAAATTACCACATTCCGGTGACTGGGCAAGGGCAAGAGACTCCTCTGCAGAAGAGGCAATGTAGTCTGCTGCCTCAGGCAAAAAAAGGACCTACGATGGATTTAGCGAATGGAAAGGGGTATATTGAGGCTAGATAATTTGAAACATGTAATACCTTAGCACCTGCTGCTGCGGCCTTGCGAATCAATGTCTGACATTGGGCTAGGTTGGAAGCTATGCTCGCTGTCGCGCAGAGCTGCCCCACGGCCTATCTCGAGGTGAGGATGATGAGTGATCGGGAACATAGCACAACAAAAGAGGAACTTAACTTACTGCAAGGACCATTGTAGATTCTAATTTCCAAGACGCTGACAGTTGTTTTCTTTCGCAAAAAAAAAAGTAAAAGCCGTCGGTATCACTTGCAGAAGACTGCTATGTCGCAAGCGTGCAGATGAGATCGATACTGAGTGATTACTCAGCTATCGCGATCATCGATAACGAGCAGTTTCCATCGCCCGCAATTTCATTTCTCACTTGGCCTTCTCCCCAAATTTGTGGTTCCCAAGTAACCCAACAACTGCCGCAGGCAGATCAATACCGTCGTGATGAAGAGTTTAAGAAGGGATGTCTCTTCAAACCCGCAAGCCGCCAATGTCACCAGCAAAGTCTTCGTGCGGTCCACGAAAAGTGGAAAGGTGCAAAAGATTGTTCGTGAGCTCTATTTGAGACAAGACATTCCCTGCTCCTCGAAGCTTTGCTCCCTATGCCCTTCGATCGCCCCAGCAGACGCCAACGGTAACAGTATGGAGCGCTCCCTTCTGATGGTGAACCCGTGCACCCAGCTAACGCAAAGCAGTTGCGCCATTCGTCCTGTCCGATCGTCCCGCCGGCACCAAGGCATTCCCCCGCGGCCACTACCTCGTCCCCGACACAAATGCGCTCTTGAATGGCATGGACCTTTTCGAACATACCGGCGCCTTCTACGATGTGATCATCCTCCAGACCGTCCTCGAGGAGCTTCGAAACCAGTCGCTCCCTCTCTACAATCGCCTACTTTCCTTGATCAAGACTGATGAAAAGCGCTTTTACCTCTTCTTCAACGAGTTCCGCCTGGAGACTCACGTGAGGAGAGGTCCGGAGGAGTCGATCAACGATCGGAATGACCGTGCAGTTCGCACGGTAGCCAGTTGGTATGAGGAGCATCTCCGTGCTTCGGCCAAAAAGAGCAAGAAAGAGAAGTCTATTCCTGCTATGGTCGTTATTACCGATGACAAAGATAGCATTCGCAAAGCCAAGGCGGAAAATGTGACGGCCCTGTCTCTTGCGGACTATGTTGCCGGCCTCGAGGATTCGGAGAAGCTGTTGGATATGATCAGCGAGGCTAGAGAGGCTCGTGATACCAAGGGTTCTGCTCGTGGGGAGCTATTCTACCCCGAGTACTACTCGATGTCAAGACTTATGACTGGGTTGCGAGCAGGAAATTTACACCAAGGAGTATTCAACGTCTCGCCATACAACTACTTGGAAGGGTCTATCAAGGTCTCGGCCTTTGACAAGCCCCTACTCATTTTGGGTCGCGACAACAGCAACCGCGCCATTTCAGGCGATGTCGTTGTAATTGAGCTCTTGCCCAAAGATCAATGGAAGTCACCATCAACGAAGATTGTTGAAGAAGAGGCTGTAACAAAGAATGACAACCCTGACACGGACGAGACGGAACCTATGATTACGGATAGAGAGCGCAAGGCTCTTCAAGAAGAAGTCAAGCAAGCCCACGGAAAGAACTCGGAGGGCAAGCCACAGCCAACCGCCAAGGTTGTCGGTGTTATCAAGCGCAACTGGCGCCAATACGTGGGACATGTGGACTCCAATTCGACCGCCTCACACTCTGGTCGGCGACAACAGACTGTCTTCGTGCTACCAATGGAGAAGAGAGTTCCTAAGATCAGAGTACGTACGCGGCAAGCTGGTGATCTCATCGGCCAGCGTATCCTTGTCACCATTGACTCTTGGGAACGGGACTCTCGGTATCCCACCGGTCATTATGTCCGATCGCTGGGTGAGCTGGAGACCAAGGGAGCTGAAACCGAGGCCCTTCTTCTGGAGTACGATGTGCAGTATAAGCCCTTCCCCAAGTCTGTCTTGGACTGCTTGCCTGCAGAGGGACATGACTGGAAGGTCCCTGCCTCAAAGGAGGACAAGGGCTGGAATGGCCGACGAGATCTACGCGATCTGCTTGTTTGCAGTATCGATCCACCGGGTTGTCAGGATATCGACGATGCGCTGCATGCACGCCTTCTACCCAATGGCAACTTCGAGGTTGGTGTCCACATTGCAGATGTCTCACATTTCGTCAAGCCCAACAACGCCATGGATCTCGAAGCAAGTGTGCGTGGTACGACAGTTTATCTAGTTGATAAGCGTATCGATATGCTTCCGCATCTTCTTGGAACAGACCTCTGCTCACTGAAGCCGTACGTGGAGCGTTACGCCTTCTCTGTCCTCTGGGAAGTCACTCCCAATGCAGAGATTGTGTCTTCCAATTTTACAAAATCTGTGATTCGCTCACGTGAGGCTTTTAGCTACGAGCAGGCTCAACTGCGCATCGACGATCCCTCGCAAAAAGACGAGCTAACAGAGAGCATGCGGAACCTGCTGCGCTTTTCCAAGATTCTCAGGCAGAAGCGTTACGATGCCGGTGCCCTGAACCTCGCTTCGCCTGAAGTCCGCATCGAGGCCGGTGATGAAGCCGGCGACCCTCTTACTGACGTGAAGACCAAAGCAATGCTCGAGACCAACAGTTTGGTCGAAGAGTTCATGCTTCTCGCCAACATCACGGTAGCCACCAAGGTTTACAAATCTTTCTCGCAAACTGCTCTCCTTCGTCGTCACGCCACCCCACCACCACAGAACTTTGAGGACCTGATCAACCAACTGTCCAAGAAGCGAGGCATGGAGCTCGACGTGTCCAGCTCCGGTGCGCTTGCCAGCTCACTGGATCGCTGCGTCGACCCAGAGAACCCGTTCTTTAACACGTTGGTTCGTATCTTGGCAACTCGTTGCATGACCTCGGCGGAGTACTTCTGTGCCGGTGCCCATGCCGAGTCAGAATTCCGTCACTACGGTCTTGCCTCTCCCATCTACACACACTTTACCTCGCCCATCCGTCGATACGCCGATCTTCTCGTCCACCGACAGCTGGCCTCGGCTATCGGATACGAAGGCGAGGACGGCCACGCCGTCATCGAGGGTGTCAGCACTCGTGGCAAACTTGAGGACATCTGCCGCAACATCAACTTCCGTCATCGTAATGCTCAATTTGCTGGGCGTGCCAGTATTGAGTATTACGTTGGTCAGGCCCTCAAGGCCCGCGGTGAGAAGATGGCCGCAGGCGGTACGGACACTGGCATTGACGAGGAGGGATACGTGATGCGTGTCTTTGAAAACGGTGTAGTCGTGTTCGTCCCCCGCTTCGGTATCGAAGGTGTCGTGCGCTTGGAGGACTTCGTCCTGCCCGGGGAATCCGGTGTCTACTCCGTAGCTGAGCGACGGGAGTTGGCGGTTCATCGCACAACGGACTTTGACAGCGAAGAATACACGCTTCGAGTGTCGGAGAAGAGCCATTCTGAAAAGGAACGTAGTGTGCAGGTCGAGCTTTTCCAAAAAGTGAAGGTGAATGTTAGCTCGGTCAAGGAAGAGGGTCGTGGTGCCGGCAAGCGCAGAGTTCGTGTATTGATTACTAGTTAAATTAGAGTTAACATCAGAAAATAATCGACCTGAGGTTCATCACCCACTTGCAGTTCTTCCAGGTACTCTCTCCCCCTCATATGGCCTCGTTGGACATACCTTCAGTGGATGGACCATTTGGGTGTGCCACATGAGTGGAAATCACAGTACCGGTCTCCCGTGTCGAGCAGGATCTCCACGGGTGACCGGGCACATCCCTAGGCGGGGAGAGTGGGCGGGCGGGATGCGAGTGAGGTGGTTCACCTCACTCGCGGAACTTCTTCTTTTTGTAATTATTTTTGTTTGATATAAGCATTATATGATATTTGATAGGAAGATTATAGTTAAGTATAAATATTAAGATTCTAGGAGGTATATATAAGGGCTTGTTTTGTAGATATGCTATCGGGTCTGGACCGAGGCAGCCTCTGAAGTATGTACTTCGGCATCGTGGGATGGTGGTGGAGCATTATAGTGAAGTATATTGGGAACTTGAAGGTTGGGGGTTTCGAATCGTAGAGGCAGTGGCCTTATTACTTTTGATTTCTAGGCAGGGCTTACATATGGGTAGTCCAAAATGGCTCGATATCAAACGTCTCTAAGCCTTGTCGTGCCATGAACTTTTCTGTCATGTCGTTAATGTCACCCTCATTCAGGTGCTTCTTCTAATCCTACTTTTAGACACGCTTGAGAGCAACCATCCTGCGCATCAAGCTCAAGGGAGCCCAAATCTGAGTATCGGCGGCACTATCAGATGGAGTCGTCGAGGCAACAGTCGCAGGACGATCCCGCTTTTCTCCACCCGGTGTCTCCGTATTCGTGACAGCCTCATCGCGAGCAACAGATCGCCGCTGCTGTGCCCTCTCCAGTTCTCCTACCTTCCAACCCCGAACAACCCAGAGACACAGAGAGGCACCGATATATACAAAGCCGGTGAATATCTGGATATGCAAGTATGAAGTTCCCCCACCAGCCTTGGTTGTGCGAAGCTCGAGAGCAATCGCTTCAGAGACGGTACATGGCGCAACGAGAGTGAGCCAAGTAATGCTCAGACCAGAAGGCAGATCTCTCAATCCGATGATCTCGGCTAGAACGGGCGAGACGGTGGCCCAGTAGGTTCCGGCAACCGTTCCCACCAACACGGCGAAAAAACAGACAACGCCCATACTATCAGCAAAGATCCAAATGACCAGACAAAACAGCCCACACACGAAGGTGAGGAACGTGGCGATATTGATCCGGCCAAGTCGGTCACTGAACATGCCGACAAAGGGACGACCGAGACCCTGTCCAAGATTCAACAGAGCAGAAACGATACTCCCCTGATGCGAGGTCAGACCAACGGAAAGGGAAAAGTTGGCTACGCTAAAGAGCAGCGCCACATATCCCAGCATGCTGAAGACACCCCAGGCCAAGAAAAGGAGAAACTCGGGCCGCCGCAGCAGTGGGAAATGAAAGGCCGTCAAACGACTCCCAACCAACTTGTTCCGATCTCGAAGGAGGTTCCCACAGACGAGATTCACCACGCACGAGACGATACCCAAGATACGGAATGCCCAGCCCAGGCCTAAGCGGGGGATAATTGCACCCACCGCCAGAGAGTAGGCCAATCCACCAAATCCAGACCCGGCCGCAGTGATACTCATTGCGAAACTGCGACGCTTCAGAAACCACTGCGGGGCGATACCCACGCTCCCGACGAACAGGAATCCCATGCCCCAGCCGAAACAGACGCCTTGGCTGAGGAAGATGTGCCATTTCTGCGTGGCAAAGGATGACCCGATGAGGGAGAGAGTTTCGAAGAAGACGCCAAGATTAACGACGAGCCGAGTGCCGAAAACTTGGATGAGATAGGTGGCTAGCGGAGCTACCAGCAGGGCACAGGAGATACTCAGACCGCCGGTGAAGGCGTATGAGAGTGCCGTCGTGTTGGGGAAGACATTGTGGGAGAGATAGTAGCTGAGGAAGACGCCGTAGCACTGGAAGGGTTTGTTAGCGGGTTTATACTAAGTGTCAGGAAGGATAGACTCACGCTGTTGATTCCCCAGGTATGCGCGTTGATCCAGAATACACATGCAACGCAGACCCAGCCATATCCCCCGTCCGGTGGGACATCGCGTTTATACTTCTCATCGGGATCGGTTGGGGGTTGTATCTGCGGTGAAATTTTGTCCTCATGCTTGGAACCCGCTACCGAGTCCCGATCGTCATCTTGATGAGACTGGATCACATCGACGGGGGCATTATCGGCCATGCCGGGGATCTATAACTCGAAGAGCCCACCAAATTTGGAGTCTACCGGTGTATCGTTGCCAATGGCAATGAGCAAGTGGTCGTTTTCGTCACGACATAGGTTCTGGCCGTTGAAGAGTGTGTATAGGAATGAACGTGCAGTGAAAGTATTTAAGAAACTAGAAAGAAACAGGACCAAAAATGACACGAAATAACCACCGGGGTTAGCTTAAGAATTGACTCTAAATTATGGGGTCCACGTCGGACTTGGGGCCGACTTTTCTACTGAAGATGGCATTTGGAGTCGGCGCTTGGTCGAGGGACTATACTAGGGTAGTGCTAGTACCAGGCCGCGGCCGGTCGGTGAATTCAAACCAATGACGGAGCATATTGGAGTCGGAATGGATCACAGATACGATGCGAGCTTGATCAGGTGCAGACCATTCGCACTTGGCAAGGAGAATACTGTAGTCATTGGGGCAGCTTGGAGTCGTGGAGATGGGAAGTGGGGTTTTTGGTGCCGAAGACCCGGTGCGGAGAAAAGAGACGTCGAGACCGGAAAAACTGCCAGGAAACTGAGCTGGTAGGGGTCTCTGACTCATGACGGGCGGTGGAGGTGGCTGGGAATTCGATCTATCGTGTCAAGTTTGTTCGTTGGCAGTTGGGTATCAACACATTTTATCTATGGACCCAAGACGGAGAAGTAGTACAAATTAGCTATATAGTGTCCCAATCCACGTCACTACGGTCAACACAAAGATCTCCGATCAAATTGCCAGAATCCATGACTCGGCATCTGATCACAGATCACAGACCCCGAGTATGACAGATGAATCGCCGAGTCTACAAAACGTGGAGCAAGCCCTAAGCCCTATCCCAAACGGGCAAGTCGATGACGGCGTTGCCCGGGGCCCGTTTGTTTTGGACTCCGCAGTGATCGGGACGAGATCGCGACTAAGACCCGCCTTAGCTGGTCTCGAGCGCATCCCTGGCTACTGTTCGATATTTCGATATCACAGAGGATTTTGGCTAGATCTTGACGCCCTCTCCCCGCTAGAGGAACAGGCTGGACCAGAGAAATACATATACTAGCGACCATGATGCACAAACATCCCAAACCCATCGGCCAGCGCAAGGTCTCCCCCCCTGGCCCCAGCTACATGAACAATGACCAGATGGGTAAGCTGCCCTTCATTCATCACGTCTTCGAGTCGGGACTTGCCCAATGCCTCTTGGCCCTGGCCCCCAGCCAACATTCGACAATCTCCAATCAATTGAAGCTAACGCCCACTCGCTATCCGCAGCAAATTACTTGAAAGATCTCCGCACCAACCGTCCAGCTCGACCCACAGGATCACGACCATACCCTGGCAAATCGACGACGGCATCCTCGCCCGAACTTGAGGACAGTCTTCCGCCTCGCGCAGCTTCTGCCTTCTCCATGCATCGCACCTCCGGGAGCCCGCCTGAAGAAGAACCTCGCTGTGAAAGCGCCATGTCCCACCGTCGCTCGAACTCCAATGCCGCCGAAGGTGGTCCAACCGGTCGCCCTCTCGCCCAAGAACCACGATCAGTCTCGGTGCGAAAGACCGTGTTTCCCTCGCAGATCTTCTCGCGTCCCGTGGCCGCATCCCCGGTTCCCTCCTATCGGTCTTATCGCGAAAGTAAACAACGGCACCAAGAGAAGGAGGAGGCGCGCGAGTTACGCGACGCGCTACAAGGACTAGATTTGGAAGATGACGTTCGATTGCACCACGCAGCGCAGGACGAGGCGACGGAGCTGGTGTGGATGCATCAGAATCCCGGCATGGCGTATAAGAACCCGTATGCGCCTTACCATAACCCAGATGCCGTGGGGCCAGAGCCTTCGATCCAAAATCAGCCACGAAAGAACTCTGGATCAGGCTCTTCCCCAGTGAAGCACCGTCATTCAATTGCCTCGAGTGGTACCTCGAGTGGTACCTCGAGTGGGCCTTCGAGTCCCGAGTATACGGAGGCCGCCTTGGATTCATCTGCCCGGAGGCGCTCGTCCCTCGCCGGGAATTCGAAGAAGAACCTCAAGGTCAACTTTGCCTTGCCTGAAGAAGAGAAGCCAACGCCCAAACCCCGAACCGTGAGTGGCGATTCCTCCAAGGGCGTCTTTCGAAACCCCGAGGACCATATCTACGAAGAGCCTCAGGCGACCGACTCCCAGCCCGACTTCTCCAAGTCCGACTCCTCGGCCCTGCGGAACAAACCACGCAATGCGCTGCCACGACTCGGTAAGCCGCTTCCCTGGTTGCAGGGCCGAAATACTACCGGTTCCGTACGCGACAAGATCTCCAAGTTCGACATCCACAAAAACCCACCAAGCCAATCCCGTGATCCGGGTTATACAAAGAATGAGCCCGTTGCGCCATCGCCTCCTGCCAAGGATGAGGAGCCCATCCCCATGAAGGACGGAAAGGAAATCCGTAGCGATGATATCCGGGCCGCTACCAGCAAAAAGCTCAGGGACCGCAGTGAGAAGCTGCCCATGCCGTCTGCGGTCAGCAATCGCATGGGACGGCCCATTGTGAGCTTTGATCCGAAATGGCAACCGAGTGACCAGCCCAAGCCCAAGCCACAAGCACCAACAGTGGCCCCTCCGGTGCCTACCATCATAGTGGCTCCCAATATTGAGATCTCTGACCAGCAGCCTCCGCCACCAATCCCTGTCATCAATCTCCCCGATGTTAAAGAACCGACAATCTCCGAAATGATCGAGCCCGGTCAACAGCAAAGCAAGCCAGGGAGATCAGTTCCACAACCTCCAGGCAATCAGAACCGTCAGCCACCCGTAAGAAGACACCCATCAGAACCACAACGCCATGCGTTCACTCCATACGCTCGATCCGGTGTCCCCACAGCGCGCTGTGAGTCCTGCTCCCTCTCTATCTCCGGCAAGATCGTCACCGCCGGTGGTTGCCGATTCCATCCAGAATGCTTCATCTGTCACCACTGTCACACGGCCCTAGAGTGTGTTGCTTTCTACGAGGAGCCGGAAGCCTCCCGGGCCGAGAGACTGTCGCATAACCCGGACGAAGAAGCACGTATCCCGCGGTTCTACTGCCACTTGGATTTCCACGAGCTTTTCAGTCCCCGCTGCAAGAGCTGCAAGACCCCCATCGAGGGTGAAGTTGTCGTTGCATGTGGCGCAGAATGGCACGTTGGCCACTTTTTCTGCGCCGAATGTGGTGATGTAAGTAACAACCTCCCCAGCAGGGTTTTCCTTCTTTTATCCTCGCAGATCATATTTGCTTACACTCGCTTCTTCACAGCCCTTCAACTCGACAACTCCCTTTGTCGAAAAAGACGGTTTCGCATGGTGTCTTCAATGCCACGGCCGTCGCACCGCGCCCCGCTGTCTGGGCTGCAAGCAGCACGTCCTCGATGATCTGGTCATCACCGCTATCGGTGGACAATGGCACGAGCGCTGCTTTGTCTGTCACGAGTGCGGTGACGGATTTGGATCCGAGGGCCGTTTCTTTGTTCGTGAGGGCGAGCCGAAGCGTACTGCTAAGGGTCGAATTATTGGTGGGCCGGTGCAGTTGGCTATCTGTGAGCGGTGTGAGGGTATTCGTCTCAAGGCTCCTGGGATGTGCTAAGGTTACATATACGCTACACTTACTTTCGGCACTCTCGCGATGGGTATCGGAGCATTTGATGCGATTTATGAATTTACTGCATTACGATTTATTGATTGACTTTGGTGGGGGGGGGGGGATCCGTTTCGGGTTATGAGAGTGCATTATTCGGTTCTATGATTGTCTTATGTTTTACTTCTGACATTTCGCTTCCATGTTGCCCTCTTTGGCGGGAGTCTTCATTTTGATTTAGCAAGCGCAGATTGTTTATTTTGAGATTTGTTTCATGTTTGTGGTATCGGCAATGCATGCATAATAGAGACTTTGAACTTTGGACGTGGACTTGAAGATGGGAGGGAAAACGCCTATACACCAGAGAATCTTTTTCAGGCCATATAAAAGACCAATCAAATACACTCATGCACTCGTTTTCTCCTCTTAAGCAGGCCACTCGGGATCAGCCTTGCGTCGGAAAACGGCAACATACTTGTTACCATTGTTCCGAGAAACCTTCTTCGACTCTTCCGTCTCAAATTTCATCACCCGCACACAGGGATCCGCCTCGAGTTCCTCGTCAGAAACGAGTTCCCACAAATCCCTAATCCCCCCGGTAGGCTCATCCGCCGACTGCTCATCGGCATTCTCCCCCTCGACAGTCTCGTACTTGAAATGCCGCAGGACCCAGTGGTGATACTCCTCCACGTCGGTGATTGTATACAACAAACCACCCGGCTTCAAGACGTACGCATACTCGGCATTCAGACTCTCGGAAATAATACGAGCCTTGTGCTTGCGCGCCTTAAAGTGCGGATCGGGGAAACACACGAAGATCTTGGAGAGTTGGTGGCGGGCAAAGAAATTGGGGAGAAATTTCATCGTGTTGGCTCGGATACCCGAGATGTTCTCGTAGTTCCCGGGGACGATGGTCGTCGTGCTGCCGACCTCGTCGTCCTCGTCTTCTGTGGCTGCGGGGGTATCGGAGGTGGTAGCACCGTTTGTGGATTTCTCCGCGGCGATCTTCTTCAGGACTTGCTGTTTCAGGCGGAGGGCGGAGATACGACTGCGGACGTATTCGAGGACTGAGACGCGGATTTCCATGCCTGAGGGGATTTAGATCAGCATCGTTATGATATGGAAGACTTGATTGAGGGTTATTCAGATCAGAAACATGTGGGCATGTTGAACGTACCAACCATCAAGGTATCTGGTAGTATAGGTGCCAGGCCAACCAGCAACCCGCCAAATCCACAGCCAATGTCTACGACTTCCACATCCTTGGTCAATTTCCTGGTACCGCCGAGATTGATCTTGGACGGATCGGGATCCACAAAGGCAGGGTAATGCGACGCCCAGTCCATATGCGCGGGGCTAATAGGGCTATAGATTCATCCAAGGTTAGCTCTCTTCTCTAGCGCAGACAAATAAAGTAGTACCCCAGAACCGCAAAGCTCCACGAAGCCAATGTCTTCAAAGTACACTCCACACTATTCTCCAAGATGGTAAATGGGCCACGTACTAGTCCAAATTATGATCCGAGAAGACATTCGCATGCGCGCGCTGCCGGAAGAATCTCTTCTGCGGCATCTTCACATTGGAAGCATCGCCATCACCGCGCTCGACCTGCTCTTGGATCTTGCGGCGATATTCCTCGCGCTGTTGGCGCTTACCCGCTACCTGGGTCGCCATGTTGAAAATGACGGTTAGTATTCGGGAATTGCGTGGGAGAGAAAAGCGAGGGGTCAAGGACTGGAAAGTTGGAGGGTCGTTGAAGGAGGAAATAAGCTAACGAGCTAATCCCTTTCGGGAACCGCCACCATAGTAACTTCCTTATTCTACTCTTTCCAACCTACTTCTTTCCCAACTCTCTCCCGAATCCTCGCCTTTGAGGAACTGTCCTATTCCAACATGTCTTCCAAAGATATCCAGATCTCGACTTCGACGTCTTCTAAGACTACGGAGTCAGCCTCCCCTCTTCGCTCGACTGAGTCTGCGATTTCCTCTGTTTCGTCGCCTTCGGATATCAGTCCGCAGACTTTATTTTCCGCCGCGGGCTTCAAGTCCGAGTCTGAGGCTACAGCCTTTATGCTGACGACTTTAGAAGAGCGGCGCCATCCAGCCGCGTCTTTGGAGCCGGATTTTTATTTTGTCGACGTACCTCGAGACTGGGGAAAAGCGGTTTTTTTTGCGGTCGAGCAGTGCTGGGAATTACGAGGTTTACGGTAAGTGACTCTCTATCATAACCCTATAGTGACTCCAAAATAGCTAAACTAGATAGGAAAACCTGGAATGCGGTGGCCCAGACTTTACGGTTCAAAATGCCAACTCCGGCTCATAATTGCGCCCAACCCTGGCTTCATGCTTGTGTACGAGAATGGGAACTCACTGGAGCTCTAACGCCAAATGAGATAGCCTCTCTTAATGTCGTTGCTAGCACTACGCAAGACATTCCGCAATCCCCATACTCCTCGAGCCAAAAGGACCCTGATGTGATGATTTTTCCAGAAGGCTATGATCTCCGTCCAGCTAACGCCTTCGAGGTTGGCTGGTCCGAGACTACTAACGAACTCGATTCAGACGCTGAAATGCTACTCCGAGGGCACGGAACAGTCAACGTCGTCGTCACTATCAAGTGGCGTATCCATTTCAGGTCTAGAACAGTCAGAGGGGATCTTATCGCTTGGAGACTAGGTCAGGACGAGATACCTTTCAAGGCCCAGCATGAAGTCATCTTCCCGGCACCCAACCCGCCTCGGCCGCAGCACCTTCTACTAAGTCTGGCGGATATATTCTCATCGGCGGTGCCACCTGGGCGAAACCCTCTCGATAATCTTCGCCTCGACATTAGCTTACTCCGATGTAAGGCTTCATCTTCATTGAATGCAATGAACTTAAGCCCGGCATGACAGGATGGCTGGTGCCTGGCACGGGGCGATGGGTTGTCTGAAGAGTCTGAATTGCTATGTTCTATGTGATTGTTCTTGGCTATTCGTTAGACAGCAAACGCTTAAAGAATCCATCCATATTACCGGTTAACCCGGACTGCTAATACTCCATACCATTTATACTAACCCCGTCGAGCCCAACGATTTGAATGAATGGCGAGAAGAGTCCTACTCGTCTGCATCCTCAATAGAGCTCTCGTCTATCTCGTAGTCACCTGCCGCCCGCAGTTCCTGCGACATGGCCATGTCGAGTAGCCAGTCTACACGCACAATGCGAGGGGTCCGCTTGACGTCGCCGGCCAATTGACGGAATCGAGGCCAGAGTCGCGCATGCTTGCGCTCAGCACCGCTGAGAAGGATTGCCTCGTCGCGACCGGGTTCATCGTCCTGCATCCCCTCGTCTTCATCATCACTTTCCTCCCGTCGAGAAGTGTTGTTCAATGCGAGGCGGCCACGGAAGAGCAAACACTCGCCGCCATTTGCCTCCACGATCGATTTGAAGGCTTCAAACCCACCGCGGATATCCTCCATGCAGTAGACACGGAAGCCACGCAGAAGCTTGTTCTTGTTTTTCTTGGCATTTGCCAGCGACTTGGCAAGGGACATATGGAACTTTGACTCGGCCGTCTTGTCCACGAGTGGGAAGTCCTTGGGGTCAAGCAACTCATCCTGCTTGAGACAGTTATCGACGAAATCAGTGCTCATAATCACTGGTGCATAGGCCAGTGCATTCACGAATTTGGCGGTGCGCAGGATGGAAGGTGCAGCCAGATGAGTGCATCGGCGGGCATCCTGAACGACCATAATCCCCAGATCTCGGAGATGGCGCTGTTGATATAAATTAGCATTCGCATATAGATGCAAATAGATAGCATTGACGAACCTTATCTGCGTCCTCTTTCTTTTCATTGCCCTTGCCCACCCACTTTTGGTAGCCGGTGATCAGCAAATGCATAGAGATTGGTGGTCGAGACTTCTTCTGTCGCTTCGCATCCGAAGCTTGTTCGCCGTCGCTCTCGTCTTGTGGCTCAACGGAGCGGCGCTTTTTAGAATTGATGGATACACGATCCTCGTCGGACTTTCGCCGGCCCCCGTAGATAACACCACCAACGCGTTTCATCTCTTTCTCATACAGAGCAATATCGGGGGCGATTTCATGGAGCCGGGCAGCTGCTGCATCTTTAGATTTGCGGCTGCTGGTCGAAGAAGGTGTCTCGTTCTCTTTATCATCGGGAATCAGGCGGGACCGCGCAGGCGTCTCTGCCTGCCTGTGGTCCGCTGCTCGGCGAGTGGTTTTGGTCTTGGCCTGAGGGGTGCCATCGGCAGTCTCCAAAACCTTTTCTGTTTCCTTGCGAGCCTTCTCAGCGGGTGGCTGCATCGATGCCGTATTCTGGTCTCTGGCCCGCATAGCACGGGGAGGGCTTGAAGGCTGCTCCATGTCTTCGATAGAGAAGAAGTTCCGTTCAAGAACGTCAAGATCCAGCATCTTCTGTCCAGCAATATCGCCAAGGTTAGTCCGAGGCGGGAAGTGGTTGTAGCGAGGGTTGGACACCGGTTGCAGTTTCCATGCGGCGTAGCTGTCTTCCAACCACAAATGGTTAACCACCTGTAGTCCCCATTCTCGTGCCGCACTACACTTTTCACTGTTACCATGAGCGGTGATTAGATGCGTGTTCTCCTGTTTCAACGTCTTGGTGCACTCAGCACCCGCTGCTGCAACGAGATTCTCGAGGTAGATTCTCGCCTCGCCAACATAGTTGGACAGGCTGATCTTCAACCCTTCGAACCCAGGAATAGGTGTGCGCGACACGGGGTAATGCAGGAGCTTAGTCAAGGGTCGAGTCCAAGTGCCAAATGTCATAAGATGGTACAGCCAGGCGAGATTGCCAACAATCTTCTCCAAGCGCGATGCCGTCCTATACACAAAGCCCTCTCGGAATCGGCAAATCAACCAGTCCGCATCCTCGACCTTGGATGTTATCGTAGCGCCACCTTGCGTGAGCACGGCCTCGATGGATTCCAGCATATGTGAGCCAATGCCCAGATCTGGAGAGAGCATGATGGCTTTGCCTGCAAAGACACTCGATTGGTCGCCGGTACGTGAAATACTTGGTGGGGTGGGCAGTATGGAGGGTTCAGGGATGGATGCCCCTGCCAGACCCTTGTTCTCATTTGATCGAATGGGAGTATCGAGACCTGGGCGGAGGATCTCGGGGTCTGGAAGTGTGTACGGGCGTTCATCAATGCGTTGACCGAGTTTCAGACAGTCGTCAAACCTATTGTCCCGTTAATCCATGTCGCGCCTGTAGATAACGAATCAGACATGAGCGAAGCGTACCAGTGTGGCAAAACAATCTTTACACGCAACTTCTTGCCCTGTACCAGTTGTGCCTTGTCCGATCCCACGGTCAAGTCCACCAGGTGGGTAACCATTCCAGTCATTCGAGGACTGTATAATCCACCCTTGGCCACCACCCCGCCAATAATCGCATCCTTGTCGCCTTCTGGAATATCACCACAGGTAACGACCACGTCGCTGAGGAAGAGCCGTGGATCGGGGCTGTGTTGACGGGGGTTGGCTACTTTCCGCTTCGCTAGCGAGTTATGCACCCACGAGGGCTTCACCACGGGAATAAGAGTCTTGCGAGCGAGGTCGTAGGTTTGGAAGTGTGTGTTGTTCGCAACAATGTGAGTACATTCAATAGTGTCCTCTTTTTCGGGGCTAGACTCGTGTATTGAGGGTTCGCCGCCATATTCTCCGATTACTGCAGCAAGCTAATATGGCCAAAATATGAGTTTCATCTCCAGTACATGCGCGCGCGCCATCAGAGTAATACATACCTGCTCTGCAGTCTCCAGAGGAAGATCATTCGAGCACACAATGCAGATGCGACACTGATCGAAGAGCTTGGTGTCCTCGTCAGCCATGGTGGCAATACCGTGTTGCTCTCGTTGTAGTTGTCAGTAACAAATCATCGCAGACGCGCCGCGCGTAAAGGGCCGACGCCCAGTCACGTGCCGACACGCGGGGCGAGATGAGTGTATGGACAGTTGGGCGCGGTCACGGCATTTGAAATTCATTGTAAATTTGACTATTGCTATTCACATGCATTCTAGAATCTATTCTTGCCGTTCCATTATAGTCCATTGGCTGATATGCGATCGACTTTGATTGTTCTTGACTTGAACGGCACCGATCTATATTCGGGTCAGTTACAAAGAATCTCGAAACAAATTGGGGCTCTACACAAGGTCGAACATACGCCACGAAGATCCTTTTGTCTTTTATTCTCCTCATTGTCTAGATGAACGGGAAGTTTTCAAACAAAGATGCAAGCTTAAAATATCTCCTCGCATTCATGAACAATGCATAAGCAAACGTCCAGGTATACCGAGTTCCAACGCATATCCCACGAGTCCTCACGCATAAATAGCCTCCTCAACCCTCCAAAGTAGAGATCCTCACCAACTTCCTCATCTTCGAGACTCCCATCACTCTTCAATATATCTTGCACCTACCGACCATACTTCAACAGTTCGTCTAAATCGCCTCTCGGGCTATTAACTCATCACACTCCCACAATGAGCTCCAACAACGGCTACCACGACGATGGCATTGGCCCATTTGACGTGGATCCCAACCAGAACTCCCAACCTGAGGCTCCAGGTAGGACGCCTCCACTCTTCCCAATGACTGTCCAGGAGTTCCGCACTAACCGCGCTGATTTCGTGGCTATGTTCAAGAGATGGGCGGGTGGTTCTTCGGGAAAGACCACCACGGACATGGCCGAGACGCTCGAGTATATGGCAGATGATTTTGATCAGTTCAAGACTGCCGTTATTCCCGACACAACCGCAACCTGCTTCCCTCCCAAGTGTGATATGATCAAGCACGAAGTTTTGCAACTAATTCAGAAGCTCAAGAATAGCCCGAAATTGACCCTCGAGATCGAAGAGATCATGGCTTACATTGGCAGCGCTACCGGTCGACTCACACTTGAAGGGGATACTGACGACGATGCGTGGAATGAGACCCTTAGATTTGTCCGGATTCATGAGCGAAATGTGTGGGATATGTCCGAGATGGGCTTTACCCAGGAAGCCGAGGAACTTCGCACTAGACTCTGGACGGTCTATACCAACGTCAACTTCTCGATGGCTGGCTGTCGCTGCTTCCAGTGTGCAATGCACTGGCGCGGTTAAGTAACCCGCCGGTGACTAGAATTGATAACGAAGACAGGTCAGTTGGTCACTCTTTTTGTCTATGTGGATTTTGTTCGTTTTTTCCTGCTTCTGCCTGCTTTTATTTGCGATTGTCCATGTCTTCTCGCTGCTGCTTTTCACAATCGTTTCCCAATTTCATAGTACACACCAATCTACAAAGTTTGAAGACACGTTTTGGTTGCCCCTTTTCATTGCAAGAAAATTTCGTATTCACGTGCAGTAATTTCACTTAAGCTTCTGTAGTTCAAGCCTTTGATCGCTGGCATTGGGCTTCTTCCAAGGCTAGAAGTCAAGGACTCGAGAGGGATCAGCTGATAGCTATAGGCCATACAAATCAGGATGTGTAAGTATAGGACCAATATTCATTTTTTTTTACGTATAGATATACCCACTCAATATTCCACACCTTAAAAGGTAAGGAATCCTCCTGTAAGTCGATTGGAGGTACCGTACTCCGTACAGAACGTGCCAACGTGGGGCCCCGGCAGTTGCGATCGCGGAGAATGCCTCTCGGTCCCAAAAGGGCCTCGGCTCAATGGTTCGGTTGCCTTTCCATTTAATACCCCGGACATCCCTGGTGGACGCGTTCCCCCACAGAAAGTCTTCACAACGGAAGGTAATTGAGGTCCAACCATGTCATCCTCCCCGTTTCAAATCGTTGAGCATGTCGTGCCTAGCCAGCACATTCGCGAGTATCCTGGCGCCACGGCCAACGAGCAGGAACAACCCTTACACCTCGCCGTGAAACAATACATCCCACTCGACAACCCGAATCCACAACCCGGCGATGTGACCATCCTAGCTGCACATGCCAACGGCTTTCCCAAGGTATGTTAGGGTCAGAAGTATCCGTGCGCATTATCGCCGGGCCGATCGCATGCACTCGGCGGCGGCACATTGTAGCACTATAACTAACCAGCAACAGGAGCTATATGAGCCTCTTTGGGAAGAAATCCACGCTCGATCTAAAGCCAACGGGTTCCGCATTCGAAGCATCTGGATGGCCGACGTCGCACAGGAGGGCGAGAGCAGCGTCATCAATGAAGATTCTTTAGGCAATGACCGTGAGCGACATTTTCCATAAAATACTTTTATACGAACAAGAAGAATACTCACAGTGCTACAGCTAGCTGGTTCGATCACCCCCGAGACCTCCTCCATCTGGTCAATGTCAAGCGCGCCGAGATGCCCCGGCCCATAATCGGCGTTGGCCACAGCATGGGTGGCGCACACCTGTTAGTCCCCCCAGACCGTGGCACCCATGTCTAATCGCCATCGTACTAATGAGAACCTGTAGTACACAACTGAGCTTGATGCACCCCCGACTGTTACACACACTTGTGCTATTGGACCCTGTTATTCAACGGCAGACCACTCAACTCGACACGCTAAGCATGCTCGAGCGCAAGCGTATCATCGCAAAGACCACCCAGCTCTCCACCCACCGACGCGACCTCTGGCCCTCTCGTCAAGCTGCCGCAGAGGGCTTCAAGCGCAGCCCCTTCTATCAAGCCTGGGATCCGCGCGTTCTAGACCGCTGGGTCAAGTATGGCTTACGCGATCTCCCCACCGCCATCCACCCACTCGACCCGAATACCGTCATAGACAAGAAGAACCCACCCGTCACATTACGAACCCCACTCCATCAAGAAGTCTTCACCTTTTCGCGTCCAAACTATAATCACATCCCCGGCAGCGACAAGCCCGTCAACCGCGTAACCCACCCCGACCTAGACGCCGATCACCCAGACTCGCACCCATTCTATCGGCCCGAGCCGGCGCGCATCTTCTCTCAACTACCACACCTCCGCCCAAGCGTGCTCTACATCTTCGCTGGAAAATCAGACATGTGCCTCCCCGATATGATGGCCGACAAGCTCTCAAATACCGGCACGGGGCTCGGCGGTAGTGGCGGCGTCGCAAAAGGCCGCGTGCGAGACGTCTATCTCAAGGACTTTGGCCATTTGCTCGCCCAGGAAGCTGTCAATGAATGTGCCGATGCAGCGGCTTGCTGGCTGGCGCCGGAATTGCGGCGCTGGCGCGATGAGGAGGAAAGCTTCCGGTCGGTGTGGAGTAAGAAGTCTAAGATTGAGAAGATGACAGTCGATAAGCAGTGGATGGAGAATGTTCCTGCGCCAGCCCGTCGGCCGAAGAACGGCGAGAAGAAGGCTGGTGAGTCGAAGCTGTGAGGAATGATCGATCACCCTGTATATAGATTTGCATCTCTACATTTTCTGGCATCTCCCTTTCCTAACAGGTCACGTAGAGTGACCGGGCGGATTAAGCCTTGTAAATATCGATTCTTTGAGAAGTTTTGTATTGAGAAGGTGGCCAGTATTTTGAAATACAAGATCAAGTAGATCGAGCACGTTCAAGCCTGTTTACAGCATTGATTCTTTCTATCGTATAAGGACGGGGGTAACTAAGAAGCATGACAAATTGACAAAAGCAACATTACAGAAACGAGCCAGTAGCTACAATAAAGAGAGCCCCGACTCCTATCTATAGCAACACTATTGCATGTCCTTTTTTTCATTGCATATCGTCGGGAGATATGAGACAAAGCCATGCACCCTGAAAAGAGAGGTATCAACTAAGATCAGCTAGGATTCCGCCACCGGGGCGAATGGAGGATATGCCGGAGGGTATCAGCCTGACGAACCCCCCCCCCCCCCGAACCGGCGGAGAGTACGAGTCAACAGACATCAAGAACGACGTGGAAGTACAGTTTCCACTGCAGCTAGAGGGTCACATTCCACTATTGTCTCCATCACCATGCCCCCCCCCACAAGAGTAGCAGAAACGAACAAGGTAATCAACCGAGGAACTCAGGTAGACTTTTTGGCTCGAGCAACCCCATTCTCGGACACGGGTGTGGTACGAATGATCTCGGGGATGTGCCAGAAACGCGCACAGCGCAGATGGTAGTCATCCTGGCGACCATTCAGGCAGTGTCGCAACCATATACCCCAGATGATGTACAGGTATGCCCCGATACCGGTCATGATATGCCTGGATTCACAAAAATTAGTAAAATCAATAGCAAGGGTCGCAGTTTAACCGGTAAACGTACCACCAACCATGCCCCTCCAGGAAAATTCCCCACGGCAAGCCCACCGTCCGACGCCAGACGCGGATTTGCGAACAGAACTTGTTGTCCAGGTTCCAGATGAGAAAACCGCCTAGGAACATACTAAGTCCGTATGCGGTCATAAACCACATCGTTTTCAGAATCTTCATGTCACGCTCATTCTCAAAGTGCTGGCGTTCCTTTGTAGGTACCGGGAGACCCTTCTTCTGGCGCTCCAGGCGATCTTCCTCGCGGGAGTGGCGCCACTTAGGTCGAAGAGTGGTCTCCATGGTGTACATGCTGCGCAGGACTACGACCGTGGTCAGGAGAGCATAGGCATTCTGGTGGAATATCGGGTCTTGGAGATAATGGTAGTAGAGGGTGATGAAGACCGCCAGACTGAGGAGGGAGATGGCAAGGACAAGGCGAACACCGGTTGGGCGCGAGTATGAGAATGAGGCATAGGCCATCAGGCAGGTCGTGTAGATCATGGACAGCTCGTCGATAAGCTGCATGGGGTCTATAGATACATCTCACAATTAGCATGCCGATTGCCATGTAACTTGGATCGACCCAGCTGGACTATACAACCGGGATATTTGGGATCTGGGAATAGCGAAGATCGGGATTCGAGAGCATTGACACTTGCATTTCAAAGTGGAATGGAACAAGAAACTGCCCGTTCCTACAACCAGATAGCCCAAAAAGGCAACGGTGAAGATCTGGTCGTGTCCATTTCGGCGACAGCTGAGGATGCCCTTGATACCCAACCACATGAACAAGAGGTTTGTCAGGGTATTGACAATCTCTGCGGCATAAACGGTCGCATAGTAATCCTATAAATCCAAAAAAAAATACATTCTGGTTAGTTTGATTCGTAAAGTCGAGAATATTGCTTCCAGGCAGCTGCCTGCCCACAATTCAATATAATCGCGGGGGTGATCGGCGATAAATAAGCAAATAGAAAGACGATGAAGTACAACGTACCTCTTCGCACCAGTTGAGTGTAGACGTGACGGGGCTCCAGAATCCAGCCTTTGCAGGCGGATATGGGATATGAGGCAGAGACCACCGCATTGTTGCAGAGCAATGAAGAAGAGAAGAAAGAGGCAACAGCGAACGCCCCAAAGGCTCCAAGTGACGTCGATTACACACGCACCGCAATTGGGGTCCACTGATTGGCTCCGGCGTGACTCCGCGGGTTGCCGGCTGCTTGCGGGTTGTTTGGGCGAGAGTCAGCGGGTTGGTCAAGAATGGAAGAGATTGAAAATAAGACGAAGAGATTTTCTGGAAACAGAAAGTTATAGCGTTCACACGGGCGACAACTGGTATATTCATACTAAGTCGTATTGTTCTTGTTATAAAAGCGATAGTAGTACACCGTAATCCAACGAGTAGATCCACGCCTTATCGATAGGTATCGATAGGGCCGATACGGGCGAGACCGAGGCCGATGACTTGAGCAATCACTGATGACTTCACCGAGTTTTGTGTAATCTCCAACTCGCCCAACTACCACCTCATCCCAACACCCTCCCTTGATTCTGCTCTCGGTGTGAATTGGGTTTTACTCGGGAATGCAGACTGCCTGACATCCATTCCCATCGTGACCGTTCCGGAACGGGCGGTTTTGCCTCAACTTTCGGCCGATCGTGAACCCTGCGGAGAAATCTTCCACCCCGACTGTTGACGACTCTTTCTCTCCGATATCGAAGGTTTCTTCTCTACACATACACACTCTTGCAACTCCTGCCCACCGCCAGTTGATCTGGCGTGAGATTGGGCGCCGAAGCCATGTCGAACAACAGCGCGTATGCGGTGCCGCAGGTGAAGAAGACTAGCAACTCCACATGTATGGATATCCCATGCAAGCCCTCACGAGTCCAATATTTCTATGAAATCTCCAGACTAATCCACTCTCGTCGACGTTCTAGCATCAAAAACGGTCTTCCACTTCGCCGCCGGCCTTTGCTCTGGCCTTACCTCCTCCATCCTCCTTCAGCCAGCCGATCTTCTCAAGACCCGGGTCCAGCAATCCGGGAAAGCCCACGCGCTCCTCCCAACCCTCAAAACTATTCTCTTCTCTCCACATCCTATCCGTAGCCTATGGCGTGGAACGCTTCCCTCTGCCATTCGCACGGGATTCGGGTCTGCCCTCTACTTCACCAGTCTAAATGCCCTGCGCCAGACGATCGCCCAGGCCAATTCTCCTCTCGTCCTATCAAACACATCAGCCACCGGCAAATCCTCCTCCGCTCTTCCCAAACTTTCTAATATGGCCAACCTGGCTACGGGTGCTGTCGCTCGCGTCGCCGCAGGATTCGTGATGATGCCCGTTACCGTCCTCAAGGTGCGCTATGAGTCAGACTTCTACGCCTACCGCAGTCTCTGGGGCGCGGGCCGCGATATCGTACGTACCGAGGGCATGCGCGGTCTCTTTGCGGGCTTTGGCGCCACGGCAGCTCGAGACGCCCCCTATGCCGGCCTTTACGTACTTCTCTACGAGCAGCTAAAACGCCGTCTTGCATCAATGACCACGACGAACCCCGACGGGACCGCTCCGGCAGGCGTGTCCTCGTCTTCTATCAACTTTGTCTCCGGTGCCTCGGCAGCCGGTCTTGCCACCGCTATCACAAACCCCTTCGACGCCGTCAAAACACGACTGCAACTGATGCCCGCCAAATACGGCAACATGGTCCGGGCAGTACGCTTAATGATTCGCGAGGACGGCATGCGTAGTCTCTTCGGTGGACTGGGCCTGCGTATGACTCGCAAAGCATTGAGCTCTGCGCTGGCCTGGACGGTCTATGAGGAACTCATCCTCCGCGCCGAGAAGCGCTGGGCGGCGAATCACCAGATGAGTTTGTAGAATGGAACCTAGGACCTCTGCCTCACTCTCAACTGAGACACGACAACAACCCTGCCCCAATTCTGTATTATTAGCTTTCATCTCCAAATCTCCACTTGCGGGTCTATCCTGCAGATGCATCGCGCACGCACCCTTGCGTCGAGTCCTACCCCAATAGGGCTTTTTTCCTTCACGATTTACGCTTTTAGAGTTGACAGCTGCACGATGCAGCTCGTACGAAGACTATTTGAGATTTCAAATTCAACAACGTGGCTATGGACCTAATGTCCACCTATGGAAAAATCCGACTGAGACTGATCCGTCTCAAAACGAAGACACGCCTGTCTACGGCAAAGTAGTGTTTCATCAAGAAGGCATACATTCGGTGATATGTTTGGATACATAGAACAGAGTGGGGAACAAATGCAATCGACATGGCATGGGATAAAACATTCATCAAGCAAAAGAGGGTCAAAGTCATCAAACTCGTGTCTCGTTACTGTACCCCTCTCACGGGTGACAACCAGCTTCGAGAAGTCTGGCCAAAAAAAAATCTCAACTCAAATAATGAAAGAACAAATTCAACAGGCATGATCTGGGTCTCGTAGTAAAAAGCGCGAAAATGTCAAAATAATGAAGAAAAAAAGAAACCGATACGAAAGAAAAGAGAGCAATGACTCGTCCAACTGATCCAACTCATTTTGGTTGGGGGGTATGGGTGTGAACTGAGTGCGGCGAAACGCTTTATGCGAAGATGCGCAGCCGTCGGCTCGGGCTCTTCTTCCGAACCAGATACATCTTGTCTTTGTTGCGGTCGTTGATCTTGAGTTCGGTGGTGGAGCTGGAGGTTTGGGCGACCAGCTTGCCTTCGCGGATACGGCGGGTGTGGGCGAAGAGCTCTTCTTGGAAGTCTTCGGTAACCCAGCGCTTGATGATGATGTAGTTGCTATCGCGCTAGAGAGAGAAGAGAGATATGGTCAGCAATGGGAGACGTACAGTGTGTTGTGATCTTAGATCATGCTTACCTCGTCCCAGTCCCAGGGCAAGTTGTAGGCCAAAAGGGTTTCGGGGAGGAGATGCTTGCGGTGGACCTGAGCCAGAGTTAGTATCCTCGCAACCCTAATCTGATAAGATTCCATCTTGGACGTACCTTAATCCAAGTAGTCTTCTCCTCGATGATCTCCTCCTTCTTCTCTTTCTTTTCCTTCTCTTTCTCCGCCTTTTTCTTCTTGTTCAGGATCTGCTCGATCTCTTCCTCAGTGTACCCAAACTCAAGGCGCAGGCGCTCTCGGAACTCCTTGTCCTTCTTGATCGCCTCCTCCTTCTGCCTCTGCTTGATACGCTCCTGCTCAAGCTTCCACTCCTCAATCGCAGCAGCCTTCATCGCCTGCTCCTTTTTCTTCTTTTCCTCGGCCTCTTGTGCCTTGCGACGCTCCTCCTCGATGAACTCCTTCCGCAGCCTCTCGCGCTCTTCCTCTTCCTCCTTCTGCTTAGCAATCTCTTTCAACTTTTCCTCGCGGATTTTCTGCTTCAATTCTTCCCGCTCGGCGGCCTCTTTCTCGTGTTCTTCGAGTTGTTTCAGTCGCCAGGCCTTTCTCTCGGCAGCCTCGCGCTCCGATTCTTCGAGTCTCTTCAGACGCCAGTCCTTCTCTAGTTTGCGCCGCTCCTCTTCAGCGCGCGTCCTATCGGCAGCCTCGCGCTCCGATTCCTCAAGCCTCTTCAGACGCCAGTCCTTCTCCAAGTTGCGCCGCTCTTCTTCAGCACGGTTCTTGCGCTCGAAGCGTTCCAGTCGACGCAGTCGATCACTGATCTCATCCTCATACCACTCTTCTTCTTCGCGCAGCAGCCGTGACTCGCGTGGATCCCGCGGCTCGGCCCGCTCACGGTGCTTCTCCAGCTCCCGCTCCAGTCGCTCGATCTCCTGCTGCTGCTTCCAGATCTCCAAGTCTTGACGGAGGTCACTCTTCTCGAGGAGCTTCTGGTTCAGAGCGAGTTCGGTATCGCGCTCATGGATGAACGGGGACGGTTCACGAGAGACGCCGGTCGCGGCACGACGACGGGACGTGACCACCTCCTCGTCAAAGTCGTGGTCGATAACCTTTTGCTGCACGCGGCGGGGCTTGTTGGTGTTGCTGTTATCGGTCCGCTGAGCCTGCTCGTTGACGATCATGACGGCGGGGACTGCGCTGCGATCGCGGTGTCGGCGACCACCCGTTGAAGAGGACCGCGTGACTCGTGTAGACTGCATTGGCACCGTGAGGGTTTCTCGCACCTCGGTGCGACGAGGGCGAGAGACTGATCGTCGACGGGTCGAGGCACGACCTTTGCGGCCATGGACGGACCAGTCGGTCTCGGAGAATTCCGAGTCATCGGACTCGAAGAAGATATCGGCGGGCATAGTGGGCGGTAGGTGGGATTTCGGAAGAAATCAGACCCAAAAGTATGGTGATAGTAGTGAATAATTCAAGTCGAGGGGAGCCGAGTAATCGACCCTGATTGAGGGGGGGGGAAGGGTCTGAGCACACTCGATTGGACTTGGAGGGGAGTGAGGTGGGAAGAGAGAATAATGAGGTAGTGTTGGAGGAGGAGGAGGGGTGCGGGGTGGGAAAAGGAAGAAAGAGGGAAGAAATGGAAGAGACAGAAGAAAAAGCCCGGCTCCCCCAAGTAGCGAATTAGTACTGAGTATTCCCGATTAATTTAATTTCGATTTTAGTTTTTCAGGGTAAGGCAGATGAAGGGGAAAGGAGGAGAAATACGAGTGAGAAGGTCGGGCTTATCGACGATCGCTCAGCTGAACGGAGGGGCTGGAAAAGAAAAGCGACGAGCACGGCAGGGAAATGACTAGGCGGCTATTTATTCGAGCCAGATGTGCTGATGTACTGGTGTTTCATAAGAGGCTGGTTTTGTATATTTAGCATACTCCTAGAGGCAGGTCTAAAGCCAGTGACTACGCCGTGGTCATTCATCTCCCGGACTGTGCATATCAGCCTCAACGATCGTCTAGTCCGGTCGAATACGGAGTATAAGACGGTTAAGAGTCTGAGGCCAAGGTATAAGACTGCTTAGGGTGGAATAGACTGGACTATCCACCGATCCCACACTTTATTCTTCTATTCACCCGTTTCCTAGTTTCCTAGTTTCCTAGGACATCTTTGTCAATACAGTGTACACCACCCCAGGGTACCCCTCCTCTTCCAAGGTTTTTGGACGGGATAGCATCATCGTCTCCAGCCACCTAAAGGCTCCCCCCACTTTGGCAGCCCAGCGACCGTCAGACGGGTTGGACTGTTACAGGCCCTGCCCGGCACTGTGCCCCACTATGTACTCCGTACCGGAGTACGGAGTAATGTGCGTACTGACTGACGACTGTCCGTGATTTCGGTCTTCCAGTGGGTTCTCGAATTCGACTTTGAGTCTCTTCACAAGTCCCTGCGAATCATTTCTCGGGGACTAGTTTGGCGCCGCGAGCCCCTCAGACAAACGGTCGCAGCCCTATGCTGCTGCATCGAACGCCAATAATTGACTACCCCTGAGCGCTTCGAAGGGCAGACTTGCGAGTCAGCGTCCGTTGGAACTGACCGGGTCCACGTACACCGTACAGTACTACTCCTCTGTATGATTTACCCTGCCATATGATCCTTTTCTTTTGCTCCGTACATTCGATCCCTTTTTTTTTGACTGATTTTTGGCTTTGCTCTGGGCCTGCTACTAATGAGTCTGGACCTGGCTCTTGGGTACCTGTATACCATGCAGAGTACTTTGGGTACTAAGTGGCACTGTGGCAGTGAGGACTAACTGTACTTGGGTACCTGCGTGATCTCGACGGTAAAAAAAACTCGAGGATTGGGCAGCCGCTCCATCATTCTCAGGAAATGAAATTGGGCACAAGTCCACGAGAGGATAACGATCGATAAGTCATCGGACTGAACAAAAAAACAAAAACCAAAGGTCGAATCCAAGGGATGCGGTCGGGTGTTCCCGCAGGTGACCCAAGGACCGCTCGTGACTTGAACCTCATTCCACATCAACCTTCTCACCTGCTCTTGGGGCTCTAGAGCTGGCCCAAAATTGATGGCACAGGCACCGAGTGATCACAGTCAACGGGTTCTTTACGCCTAGTATCAGAGGTAACGAACTGTGTCTACCTTGGTGTCGGTGCACGTTCTTCGGTCAATAGCATCAAATCGATGTGGTTTCCAGTGTCTACCTTACGGAACTCGAGACGATCGATCTCACACCCGATTGTACCCTTTCCCAAGACAATTTTCGAACCGTCTGGCTCGGAGGGGCTAGAAGCGGAGCTACTGACTCGCTCTCCACTAACATACTAGCCTAACGTACTAGGAGACGGTTCAATGGGCTTTGGACATATTCGAACTATCGGATGTAAATCGTTCCGTTATCAACTCGGTAGATCCAACTATGCCATCAAAGAGTACGATGTTAGATCGCACATTCCCAATGACCTCGTTCAATACCGATTCAAATCTTTCAATTTCCAGAAAACGTTCCCTTTGCTACATCCATATAGGTATCTGCATCGTACTTCTCAAACAGATTGGGTAGGCAGAGCAGGGATGGACCCGGGCGATCCTCAAGTGTCTATGGGCGGGTCTTGACTCCCACGTCATTTTTAATTTATATCCCGACTAGGGCTGGGCGACCCTTCCTCCTCGGGCCACGAGAGGTTGAGAAGTAGCCAGTATGTACGTATGACGACGATGGCGGCGGCGGATTTTGGTCAATAGGAGAAAAGTACAGTACTGTGATTACTGTGCCACAGTCAATTTGGGAGTTGGGTTGGGCATGGTACAGGTTAGCCAGTAGTCTATCTCGCATTGGTGTGGCGGTGTCCTTCTCTTCGAGCAGAACATCGGGCTGTGCTGGCTTAGCCACATTTATCTGTGAGAAGGAGTTTCCAAGTGATGATCTAGCCGTTTTGGCTTCTAAGTACTTCTAATGTGATTCTCGGACCGAATGGATTTTGTGCAATGTTTGAGGCCTGCTCTTGGATGATCATCCTACCTATGACGTTCTTATCGGTTCACGGTATCTTTGCCAGGCCAGTAGGTTGGATTAGGGAGCATGGAAGGTTATCTGCGAAATATAAGCATGAAATTTTAATCTGAACAGGGTATTGATCTAATTATATTTCGAGTCCGCGCAATTCGATTCATCCCAATGAAGATGAATTTCTTTTTATTTAAGTTGGACACCAGCCCGTGTTGCGGCTCTGTCCATGACTTGCAAAGCTAATCTTCACATAAAACTCCTGGGTATCCAAATTGCCGGTCAATAATGCACTGCAGTCCTTCGTAAGGAAAAGTCAAAGGACAAATTTAACAGGTCAGGGCTCCGGTCACCCTGGACTAGATCTCTTCCATCCTCAAGTATGGTCTCCAGTGTCCCCCCACTTGCGTCTGAACCGATGCCCTCGTGTGAGTGAGGAACCTTCGCTCAATTACTTCACGGCCCTTAACATCGATGGAGAAGCAAGGCCGCGTGGGTAGCCTTTTTCAGAGTTCCCCGAGCCCCTCGGTATTGCCGTCGACGACGATTATCTCTTCCCCAAAATAATGTCCTTTCAGTGCCATAATCGCTTTCAGCGTTCCATCACGATCTTTTCACGCGCGGCCTCCGGACGACAGAATCTGCTCCATGTTCTGCCGGCTATTCTTGAATGTAGTCTCATGGTAATGGAGCTTCTTCTCGAGGTTGGTGATCTCGGAGGAAGCCTCCGCGCTCTCGCGAGTGAGACGCTTGTTGACGGTGCCGATGGGGACGTTGACGAACCTAATTTCGTAGGTGGTCAGCTACTAACCCTTTATTATATACACGATTATTTCCCCCGTGGTCCGGTGGGAGATCCAAATCGGTGTTTGAACGCGGGGAGTAAGGAGAGATCGGTGGAACTCACATCTTCCCAACACCCTCGTATACGGGCGTCTCCGAGGGTAACTCGGCCAGCTCTTTCGATGTTAGCTGCAACATGCGGATATCGCGCTGCCTGGTGGTGATCTGAGCCTTGGTGACGCCAATCTGCTGCTGCGAGGCAATAGCGCGAGTCTCGATCTCTTGCAGGATCTGTGGTAGCCTTGTGTTAGCATCTGTGGACTGTGGCAGGTGTCTTGCTAAGCCCCCGATGCTAGCTGTAGCATTGAAGGTTTTCTAGAGAGTACGAATTTCTCACCTTCTGCAGGGCCTCGTTGGGGATGGACATTTCGGGGAATGTGGGGGTTGCTTGCCAAAGTTGGCTTCGTCGAGGGAGGGGGAGGGATAAGCTGTAGGTCGGCGAGGGAATCTGAGTTTCGGAGTGCCGATTCTTTCAGACGGCAATGCTCTTGGGGGCAGGGGATGACAATTGATTCTTATTCGGAGCTGCGAGCAGATTAGGAGTAGCAACGAGTCCCGCTGTCGTGAATCCGTGCCGGAGGTGGGGATCATCTCCAAGGCGGTGAGCGTCTCTATTGCTCTCAAGAGCCAACTCATGCTCCTCAACTCTTGCCATTCTTTCAGATTAGGTCAATGACCCTATTTTGATGCACACGGTGCAAGCTACAACTACTTCTCTTGGTTGGATGATAATATTCAGGTGGATCTTATGCTGAGAGCTCTTCACAACCATGACTATGAGTGGCTCGGCAATGTCACCAAGACAACACATCTACCGGTTAAAATTCGGTGTCCTCTTGGATTCGGTGGGCTGGGAATGGATGGTTCTTGGTAAGAAGATGCAGGTATTTCCTAGTATGTATCTACGTTTGGGGGGTGGCTGGGGGGGGATTGTGTTAAATACATACGAGACCAGCATGTCGAGATATCCGAAGTCCAACTATTACCACCCACTCCCGACTTATATATATTGACTAGAAGCAGCGCAACAAGGGAGCATGAATAAACAAAATACTCAGACAAGGTTACTATCTAGTAGCATGGTACATTTGGTGTACATTTAGCATGCCAGCTATCATGAAACATGGTGATAAAGCTATAAGCTACTACCACTACCACAGACATAAGCATGATATTAAAGGAAGAACGGTAGAAAGCCTTTAGATCACCTGCTCACAGGCTCAATTGGTAATATTTCTTGCCATCGTACATACAACTGGGCTTGTGGTTTAGTGGTATAATACTCCCTTAGCATGGGAGTGGTCCGGGGTTCGATTCCCCGCGAGTCCAGATCTTTTTGTGACTTTTTAGTCCACTACGGATGATGGGGCTGGTGGAGTACCAATTGAGGATCGATCCATCTTTGAAGATTTTGTCTTCCAGGGAACGGACAATCAGAGCGGCAAAATGGCAGTTGGGCGGAATGGGCGTCGACCAATGGTAGTAGCTCATCGCAGAATTCCAGCGAGAGTATACACCCCATGCTGGTCAACATTCCAGTTGAATATCAAGCGGTCAGTTTCTTGTTTTGTGAATAGTCTCCCAGCCGAGTTAAATCCCTGATGACTCCCTTCTGAAATTGTTATGTTACAATCAGCAAGACTTCGATGCTCGGATTTTCGATAATTTTTCGATGAATTTTCGAAGGTACTCACTCGTTCCTCATAGGGCCGATCAAAAGTTGGTCGTCCTGTCCAGTATCTTGCCTCCTCTAGTATCCTGTATGGATCCTGAACCAGTCAAACCCTATTGCATGGGGAATCTGCCACTGATAGCTTTGATAGCGCAGAATCACATGGGCTAGCCATGGGAGACCAGCTGATCACCAGACTACTCATGCTGGTAGCAAAACCCATCTGTCGCCTCGTAGACTTCCACACCGGTAAAGGTCAAGATAGTCATTGTATCACCAGTGACTCAAAAGGCCTTGGGTCAATAGATTACTGCAGAGGGTCTGTCGTTGACGTAGAAACCGAAACTACCTTCAAAGCAACACAATTGCTCTAGTTGCTCTGAAAATATGAAAACAGAGTTAAAAGACTTCTACACTACGTCTAATGAGGCCCCGATTATAAAGTAAAGATGCTACAATAATTGGATGGTTTCCCATCCCCCTCTTGGAGCGAGCTAAACTACAAATTTGTGGTTATTTAGACTATCAACTAACCGGGAATGATACGATGCAGGCCACCCTGTTCCAATAATCTATAGTCTAGAAGAGAAATCATTGAAAAGGGTTGACAAGATTCAGTTGCATTGGTTCAAACAGATAACCGCCCACCATTCTTTGACATACGAGGCATCTATCATAAATTAAACAAAAACCCACAAAACCCAAGACCCAAAATAACAAATATCCCCCCAGCGTGCAAAACATGAAAAATTCAGAAATAGCATAAAGGCAGAGTGCAAATAGATGAATGGAGACGGGAAGAAAGCAAAAAATAACTCCAACCATATTCCAACTCCCCACGGCGCCTGTAGACGCCTCGCTAATCTAAATCCATTCCAATTCAATTCTGGGACTTTGATCCACAAAGCCCGTCAGCGTGGTCCCTCTCGACCCTCGTAGGCTCAACTAGGAACCCAAGGGACCGAGACGTGGAACCAGGCAGATTGTAAAGTGAGATATCCTTCGAAGACACTGCTTTTGTTCGCATACTTCATGGCTCATCTTCGGTCATGGGCATCCAGTCGTTCTTCTTCAACACGGCCCCCTAATAGTTTGAGGATGGTTGATCCAACCACGAATCTATTTCCTGACTCGTTGAGTCACCCAAGAGACTGTTGGGGTCGGGATACTTGGCATCCCAAGAAGGTCCATGCTGCATGGGGACGGGGTAACTAGCAGGGAGAGGAAATGGGACGGGGCTGGGCACTGTGGAGTCCGTTGTTGGAAGATAGCACCCTTCTTCAGCCCAAAGATGGTAAGGGTTGGTTGGGGGAGTGGGTGGGCCAGGGAGCATGGGGAGACCGTTAGTCTCGCTCGTGTAATCGAGCAGCTGAGGGTCCATGTGGCCACCGATGATCTGGGTGGACACGGGGTGGGTGGGTTGAGGCTGGAGCAGCTCGTGCGAAGCGCCGGGAATACCAGTCAGACCATTGGTGGACGAAACATAGGGAAGCTCGTGTGGCATTGGGCTGGCTCGAGAGAACTGCAGGTCCTCCACATGTGTTCCTATGGGATGCAACCCACCATTGGGGTAGCTGGTATTGCTCCACATGGGGGTCAAGTACCCACTTGCACCTGCGCCTAACGTCGAGTCAGGAGTGCCGAAGGGAATTGAGCCTCGACTGCTGGCCATGTAGCCAACATCAAAGCTTTCCAAACGGTGGTGCATCATACTGGGAGTTCCCTCTCGCATGTGCCTGTCGTCCCAATCAACCGAACTCCCACGAATCGAAGCCCCCGGAGTAGCAGACGAGCGCGGAGGAGTATATTCACCTGTCCTCCGCGTAGTAGCTGGTCCTTTGTGTGGCTTGAACTTGTATCCCGGGTGTGAAGTTGCATGATTCTGGCGCTCGACGACGGCCAGGTTCTCAAACTTCTCACGAACTTCCTTGGTCTCTGCCCTCCAACTGATACCGGCAATCCGTGAAACGTTTTGATTGCAGTTCTTCCCCAGCAAGGTCTTAATGCGAGCAATGTAGGCAGATCGGTAGAGCATGAAAGAGTTCATTGGACGAGGAATTTCACCATTCTTAGCATCAACCTCCTGTTGGCGCTCCTCAAGTGATCGATTGACCCAAGCCTCCATGTCTCGCACTGGAGGGTCAACCATGTCCTGAGTCATGATACTCAATGGCCCAGTAAGGTGAAGGTTACAACTGGCAACCGTTCCGTCTCTTTTCCCACGAGACCTCCCACCGCGCGACTTGGTGACCTTGGATTTAGAAGCTGGGTTTTGGTTGCGAGTAGGCGGAGACCATGATGGGGAAGCTGATCCCAGACTCTCTGCTGGGGGTGTACTGATGGGAAGCTATTTAATTGAGAGTCTTGTAAGCCCAGTTTAATTTTCTCTCGCAAGGTTGGATGAAGCTTACCGTGTAAGAAGGCTGATAGTCGCTGATTGGGGGATAAAAGGATGTGGGCATAGGATAAACCTTGGGGCAAAGTTACTACTTTGATAGCGTAGATCAACGGGAGTGGGATAATAGATACTTACGGCCTGTTGAGGCTGAGAAGGAGGGCTGATTTCATGGCCGTGCAATACCCCTTGATCGAAAACATTGGTAACAGCGTACGTTGGCACTGGGGGATAGGATTCCATAGAGGCTTTCATCCGGCGCTCTGGAGTCTTCTCCTCCTCCGATGTCTGTGGAGGAGTTGGTGGAAACCCACCAGCACGAAGAGTAGGGTTCATTGTAAGTTGATAGTAGAGGAGTGTATTGAGTAGATGACTTTTCCCAAGATTGAGAAAGTGACCGGTATCCTTGAAGGATCAGGCCGGTTCGCAAGAGACCCTGGGAAGGATAATCGCTAAGCTAGCCCAGCGATGAACGGGACTTTCCAGAAGAAGATTTCTTCCAGAAAGAGAAGAGAAGAAGACGAGAAAAATGAAAGGTAAAAGAAAAGCTCCTGCGCGGCTGCTATCTGACCCTACGGAGAACAGTCTTTCATTTGAGGGCTGCTTTCCGGGTAAGAGAGCTGATCTCAGACACCTTCACCGTATAGATGGAAGAAAGCTGAGACAAGCAAGCACGGTCAACCACAATTCAGGTTGTCGGGTAGAGGAAGAGTGGGTTTGTTTCCGTCAAGTGGAAGAGACGGGAAGTTGATTGTATGTTGAAGAGGGAGGGCAAACAATATGTAGGCAAATTTTATAGATCGATGGATTGATCGAAAGATGACGGTCCACCGAGGTTCCACCTGGCGGGATCACTTAATAAATAGGAAAAATGATAATAATGAAGAATCTGGTCTGCCGCGGAGGAGGGAGTGGCAGGAAGAGAAAACGCCTGGTGGGTAAGAAGAATATAGGAGGGTTTGGGCCTTTTTGGGGGGGGGAGCGCTTTTTGGGGCGATGCCAAGCGGGAGATCACTTCTTTCCAGTTGCAAATACCCGTCATAAACCAGCCGAACCAGAGGCTGAAACTGACTCAAGAAGAAGGGTTGGCCCTTGGAATACGATACAGATGGCTCAAGATGGCGTGGGGCTATTTACTCCTGGCCACCGTTAGTGCCACTATTTTCCTCTATCGTTAATTATGATTTTTCTGGGCCTGATTTTCCTACTACTACAGTTGTCGGCTTTTGGAGCTTTTGGAGCTTTTGTTTTCTCCCTCTCCCATCATTATTATTTTTATTAATCCATTTTTTTGTGTTCTATGCTTCCCCTCTAGCGGCGGGGCGTTTTTGTCACAGATTGATGTCTTTGTTGCTAAATAACTCTTTCTCTTTCTTTTAATTGGTCCACCATCGTCTTATTTCTATTCGTTCTTTGATGGCGAATTATTTTATGTCATCTCGAATCTATATCGCATCCCCATCCCTCCTGCGCCTCAATCTACACCACTGTCGCAGTAGCTTCTCCGTATGCCCCAGTTTTCTGCTACACCTTTGTGCCAAGTATAGAGACATAGGATAGAATTCTTCGAGAATGGGCAGGGTCCGTTATTTTGGGAAACAGACATAGAATAGACTGTCCGGGTTATTCGGAGTGTGGAACCCACATGGACACATCTAGTACCTAGAGCCCTTGATCTGGCCCATTCAATTGCCTGGATTAGAAGAGAGGGGGGGGGGGGTGCCATAGGTCACAGACCGTGGGCGCTCTGGGAAACTTCCAATGACCGTTGCAAATCACCCGGGGATGGAACGGGACCGATAGAAATCGTAGGAGCCGATGGCCGGGGTATGGCAGTCTGCCAATTGTCCGGGGAGATTAACTTCTCAGATCCGTGGACTTTTTTCTTAAGTCTGACTGGGGTAGTAAACGCAGGAGAGGGGGCTGTATGGGAACTATGGGACTGAGCGGGAAAAGCAATCATGGAATGAGGGTTGTGCATTTTAAGAATGCAAGTCTCCAGATTGAGTACTGATAGGGCGGACAGAATTGCCATTCATTCCCACTCTATAATATCTTCCTTTTTGCTTGCCAGTCCCCTCCCGCCCGGTGGAGGTGTGGATGGGACGCGAGTGTTGGCTGTTGGGCACACCGAAAATCGAGGGATATTTAGATAACAGCTAGCGCCAAAAGAGCCCGAGCTAAGCCTGCAAGACATTAGTTAACGGGTGTCAAGTTCGTGATGGTAACGCAATCTGTAAGAAATCAGGAATAAATGACACCAGCTTATGGAATAGTGTTATGTTATATCGATACTGCTAGAGCGCTCGTGGAAAGTATGCCGTTTCTCTGTAAACTGTCGATACTACCGACAAGCCGCCACTCACTTCACACTCCAAAAGTTACGAGTAACGCTAACACGATGATCGCCCTCCCTTGGACGTATAGAAGAGGGTATTCTCAATAGCATCCGGACTTCAAAACTCCTTGCCAGGTGGCATCTGACGATCTAGTACATTACGAATAGGGGACCATGGTTTGGACAACAAGGTCGGCCTTGGCAACATATCGAGTCTTATTATTATGACGATAATTATGATAATATTATTTCACTATTATGATTATTATGATTATTATTTTATTATTATTATGGAAATTAGACTACCCCGCTGATTTGGTGGTCGGTAAAACTAACACAGCCGTTTGGCTATTGGTTGCCTGGCAAAAGAAGTATAGGCCGACTTACAAGGCTCCAGTTGGACTTCGGGGAGCCGGGAGGTCACGATAGGTCTCCCCTACGGTCAGCCCCGTCTAGCTCGACTGCACAGGGCTCGGTGGGGTAGGATCCTCCTGATCGACGCGGGTCAGGCCAGACACTTGACAGGCCGAAACTGGGGTTCGTTCTCGAGAGATCGTCCGAGCATCTCCTAACAGCCGCCACCATATACCAGTAGGTGGACGCCACTCATGCGTTGATTGGCCCTGGGAGTGCTGGGATATCCGGTCGGGCTAGACTGGACCACCGACTAAACGCTATGCCGAGGACGGACTAGCATGATAAGCCCGAGCCAATCTAGGGTCTGGAAATGCCCACCCTCTTCCCACCCCTCTCTCACGTTAGAAGGCTTGAATTGGTTGTCGAGATTAGCAATCATAATCGCGGAGGGCTTCTAAGTGGATTCCGGGATTTTTTGGCTCAATAACTTCGTCCCAGTAACTAACACTTGTCACGTGTTAGTCATGCGAATGACACGCCAAACTCCGAACGGCATAACATCATTTCCAACTCTAATTACTTTGGGGAAGTATCTACTCTAGGAAATGTTAATCCTCGAGGTGATTGGTCGAAAGGCAGGATTACCACAGGTGTCCCATCAAGCTCTAATAGAGACAGTCCATGTGATTATTAGCTAGGAATATGCAAGATAAGCATTCAAGTGGGACAAAAATCAAACGCATAGAGGCTGTACGCTTAATATGACCGTTCTCTTTTCTACGCCCCCACCCAGATTGAGACTACAATAGCCTGTAAACCCAACAGACTACACCCGTCTCATTGATAGACCCACATACTCGTTGCTCCCCGAGACTCACGCAGGAACGCTTTGCCCCATTTTTGCTGTTATTCTCGTCCCGTCTTTGGCCAAAGTCTTTTCTTTGATGGCTCCCTGCATTTTTCTCATAGGCCCGTTGAACACGACCCCCGCAAAGACCGAGCGTCCGACCAGCCTGTTCAGTGGACTCTAACTTGGATCGACAGCCATGTGGTTCACCAAACGGGAAAGGTTGAAGGCTGAGTCGTGCATGAACCGCGTGGATGCCCGGTCCAAAGTAGAAGAAAGAGGCCTGTCGATTGCAGGCTCAAGCTTATCTTCGGCCCTGCCAGGCAGTTGGATGTCCCTGTCAGCACTCTACCCTTTTCGATCACTTCCGGGCGTTGTTCTCGAGAAGAAACGTGGCACCGCCTCCTCCACCATCTAGTCATGAAAGCGGAAAATATCACCTTTGCCCCACTATTTAAAAATCTAGGTTCATTCCAGCCCTCCTAATGCCGAAGGGGCCAGTGATATACTATCGGGGAGATACTCTGGAGGGGGCTCGGACCTCCTATCCTTACATTGACCTGCCAAACCTTGCAAGCCGTTATCCAAATGAGGACAACGATAGCCCAGCCAAGGTTCACATATGCAAGGATCACCCGCTAGCAGAAGGCCCTCCATGGCTTCTAGAAGAGTTATATCAGGGGCCAAGATCATGATGACAAAAAGAGAGACACATGAAGAAAGAAAATGAAAAAGCATCGACATCAACACCCCTGTCCCTTGCAGTGCCCTCGTGGTCTGGTGACTCTACCACGAGTATCTTTAGGGATTGTCTACATCTCCTCATGGTCTACCGGTCAGATACGCGTTTCAGCAATGCCTCCTGATTCCCTAATCCGGCACATATACTATAGATATCTATGGCATGCCTCATACGTGTTTCAAAGTCCTCCAGATGTTGTTATTCTTGTCTGCTCCGCCTCTTTGAGGATCTATGGGAGATCGACAACAGTCATGGAAGCAGCCGAACCTATGATACGGCTTGGGAGTGTAAAGATGGGGACCCCTTCAACGGATTGCGCTGCTCAATCATGAAGATGGATCCACCCTGAGTCCACTACAACTCCACTTGGTAGATCGAATCTACCAAGGGTTGGGCGGGTGCACATCAGTCGCTGTCGGCCATCATTACCACGGACCGCGTGAAACAGGAGACAAAAGATGAGGGAAGCAGCCAAAATTGTACACTTAGCGTCAACCTTCCAGATGAAATGGCGCGGATACACAGATTGAGTAGTCCAGCCACCTCTTCCAGAAGGTCGCGATCAAGAGAATCTGGATGATTTCTTTGGGTCTGGTGGAGGCTATGACCCCGTGTGAAGAGGACTATCTGCGTTGACAAAAGTTTCCACACATTTATCGCGGACGGAACCTCATCGGAGTTTGGAGATTCTAGCTCTTCCCAAAAAGTATGGGACACCAGGAACAGTTCTCTGGCTATCCTTTATCCTACGAGGTAATTGGAGGGTGCCCCGTTGGAAGGACCCCTCCCAGCCATCGTCCCGAGTATCATGAATGACATGAATGGGCCCTTGAAAAGTAGAAAGGGGATTCATGAACGCCATCGCGATCAAACCCCTTCTACGTATATACTTCTGACCGCTTCTCTGAAGAGACCACCCCGGCGCAATCGGCAGTGCAAGTGACCGGGGAGTGCCATGAACCATACCGGGGATTCAGCGAACTATACAGGGACGTGACGGAAACCCCGGTCTACCGGCAGGACGATGACTCGTACTGAGCGGAGCACAGTCAAGAATTCTTCTGGCAAAGTGTCAAAATGTCAAGAGGCAACTGCGTCCACAGTCCGCCGAATGCACGAACTTTGAAGTTATCACCAACAGGAAGCGGCTCTTACCATTGGCCCTGTGGCCAGTGAACCGTTCTGCCCGTAAGGCACAGTGTCCGTCTGTTGCGCAATGCGGTTAGCGCGTGTCATTCTTCTCCTATGATCGCTCTGGTTTCCGCGGTTCATCGCCCCCTCCCCACAGGTAGACTTTCCCTCTTCCGGCCTGGTCAACCGTTCTGGAGTGTTGCGTTGCTCTATTTGACTTCCCCCAGGTCAACCTCGTCGAGAAAAGTACCAACGTGCTCCACGACCAACTTGCTCCGCGTCCACTTTGCTCCGCGACCACCTTGCTCCGCGATGGCCAGTGACTTTAGCAACTGAACTGGCCGAATAGCTAATCGGCGTTTATCCCGTGTCTCGATCACTACTACAGAGTGTAACCTCGAAACGAATCTCAGAGTATGCTGCTGTTCGTGGAGGGACATCGGGCGTGCGTCAACACCCGCCACAGCGCTACAAGCCGTTCTTCGCTACGACTTTCTGGTTTTTGAACAGGGTAAGTGACCAGGGGTAGTCCCCGAATCCCCGATGATTCTATTCATGTCCCATGCATTCCACGTGGTGGGTTGTTGTCTCAACACGATGAAGCCTGGCTTTGTCTTGAGCATCATTGTGTGCTGGATGATGTCTCCCGCGCAAATAGAAAGGTATACCACTCTCATCCCAAGCACATCTAGAGAAATAGTTGACTCGCCGAGGGTTTGTATTAGCTAGCATAGTGCACGACAATCTCAGGTAGGTTTCGGATGCGTAATTGTGAGAACTGTCATCATCGCGGCGACTAGACGGAACCTCCCCGAGAGGACGCACCCCAAGCTCCATCTACCTTTCCCTTTCTTGGTGTAAACGGAAAAGGTCATGATGGTCTTGATGCCTGAGCATGGGAACTAGAGAGCCATCAACAGGGCCGTTCTGAATTCTACTAGGCAAACAGTGGAAGGTGCTTTCGTCATGATACATACCAGGTGATTACCCGAGAGTACGCTTCAGGAGGACACTCTCGATTCCGGCAGAGGAACCGCCATAATCCTTGTCATTCTGGCCATGCGAGTCATGTCAGTCCCCTCCATTCGCCCCCTTGTCGACCCCTCAAGTGGAGCCATTCACATCTCAGGGTGCATCGCCGTTCAGTCATGTGCTCGACGGGGCCCCCAATCTAATGAGAAATGTCGTCCATACCCCAAAAAGTCACCAAATAGCTATGTATTAACTCCTAGCACTTAGCATTCTTCCGAGAAAGTTACACCCGCTAAATTAGAGCGCTGGATTAGAAACCTCTCTTTCTTTTTTGACTTTCGGCCGGTATATCCCCGGTTCGGCATTTGCGCGAGCTGTGAGCCCCACGCGACACGGCATTTCCGAGCCATCCAGAAGTTGGAACGAGAGAATAAACGATAGGAATACGTGATCGGTCGAAGTTGTCTGCCGTTTGGCGACGTAATGACGAGGATGAATGTTGATCCATCTCGGCTCGTCCGCTCAGTCCACTCTACTAGCGTCGCTCGCCCGAGCGTACCCGAGCGGACAAGAGATGCTAGTGGCATCCTGTTGGGTCCACTATGCCGCTGGATCCAGCCACTGTAGTTCTCGTGTGCCCTGGCAGATGTGTGATACAGGCGTACTCTTTTTACGTCCCGGCCGTGCTGGGTTGCCTCGTGGGGGGATGATCGAGACGGTCCGTCACATATTGCGGAGTCGTGCTATACCCCTTGGACATAGTTCAAGGTAGATTTGTTGCAATAATCGGTATGCCATCCAATCAATAGCTGCACGACAACCTGTATAGCATAGGATCTCCGGAAAGATGATATCCCGGTCTCCTTTATGCTCTGTCTGTGCAAAGGAACGAGTCGTCACGGACGTGCAAACAATCTAATCTCGCTGCACCAGGACCAAGAGAGTAGTGCTATGGAGTAGAATAACCGATAAGAAAATAGAGAGAAAAGGACGAGTTAGAGAAAAGCACTAAATCAATTAGCCAACGGTAGCAAGCCGATGAATGACAAATACCTCGAACCCTCAGATCAAGTGGCTCTCTGAGATCCGACCAGGGCAGCTTATTTTCCCCGCCTTCAATGTTATATACTCCGGACTCTGCACGATATATGACTAGCATCAAATGGTGCAAGTTTTCCTGTTATTTTTTTTTTAGCCATTTTGGATTTCTTATCAGTTCAAAGCAAAATAAAAGGGCAGATATTACTTACGGACCTCACCGTCGCTTTCTCCGAACGAGACTACCAACGAATGCGGCGCTCGAGCGTCAACCGGGGAGGTCTCCCGTGGATCGCGGGCCAGCAACGCTTTACCAGTGGCCAGAACCATTCCGAGCTGGTCCGTAGCTCTCTCGAACAGTTGAAATGAGTTGCATAAGTGGATCTCACGATGGGCGTGATGGAGGTACTTTAGGAAGGAGCTATAATCTGGATCGTCCTATAACAGCGGGTTTCCGAACGCTAAAGTTGCTGTGATTTAAACTGTGGGACCGTTCTTGGTGGCTAAAAAAGGGGAAAATGGAGGGGGCTCGAGAGGAGGAGGAATAAGAAGAAAGTAAGAAATCGTAGGTAGAACCAGAAGAATCGAGAAAGGATGGCAGAGTATGATTCCTGGAAACAGTTGAAGCAGCCAAGGATAGGAGGTTCCTTGTCACTACGTCAGCCCCAAGTACAAGCGCCCGTGGTCCAAAGTCTGCTATGGAGGGAAGTTATTTACTCCAGTCTCCAGATCGTTTATTAGGTTTGCCAGAGGCCTAATAAGGCAACAGGTATGACACCCACAGTAGTAGATTGAGGCGTCCCCGCACGTCGCGGCCCAATCTAACGAGTTTGCGGCCCCCCTTACCCGGGGATCTACCGTCGAGGCAACGTGAACTAAATAAACTCGACACTCTATTCGGCCATGGTCCAGACTCCAGCACAGCTATAGAATAGTTCAATTTAAACTCCAATCCATTTTTCTCAAGATGCCTCCTCAATTTCAGGATTGTTATAGCAGCAGCCATCCTAACAATTGACCATCCTCCCCCAATCACGTCCACGGCGGAATGATTGAATCACGTTGAGACATCCACGGCTCGCTGCGAGTAGATAAACCGAGTTTGCCGAAAGTCTCAATATCTGACCAGAATTTAATATCACGACGCAAGTCTATCGTGTCCATCATATCTACTTTTGGTCAAGGTGGCCCCCTCGGCAACATACAGGTATACACGATACAATACTGTACATGAACGTACGAGTGGATAGGCAAACTCTCGCAGGACGGAGTCCAGAGCCCAGATTATAGCATTCGTCTCCTCAAGGGGAGCTCGTACCAATCGCTAGATGTAGTGTAGATCGCGCGCTACTCTGTTAGCGAACTAGTGCCATCGGTTAGTAACCCGCTGTTGGGCGTTAGCTGCTTTAGTGACTATTTTAGCGTGTGATGGCAGGATGCACTGCAGCCTCATGCTACGGTAATGGACCCCCTATCCATCAATTGATCTCAGCTAGGGAGATTGGAGTTACGAGAAAAGCCCCCTCCTAGGACGTTTGGGGTAGGAGGTAGGGTTATTTGTTTTCTCTATTCTCCACACGGTCTTACATTTGTCGATTATTACGCATTACTAGGGTGGTTCCCGCCCAAGCTGCTTTTTCCACTTCCCCCTGTCTTAGTTGGTGGATTAATTGGGGATCGCGTACTTTTGCAAGGTACGTTCGGCTTATCTACAATAGGAATGTGTGATACGATCGCGTCGCAGGTCTCGTTGCAGCGGCATTGCGATCCCGGTATGCATTGCGAATCGAGCTAAATGTGCGTGGTGATCCATCGATTGGAGCACGGGCTGTGTACAATAGTCTTGTTGAGAAGACTGCGTATTATGCAGGGCTGCCTGTATGCTAGCCTGAACAAATGAAACGAAAGAACCCATGGAGAATCCCATATGTTTGCTTCGATGTCAGGATTGCACTAGACTAATGTCTAGAGATTTCCAAATTGAGCTCAGCGCATACGAAGGACTACCATTTGTGTCGGCCTAGGGCGAGGATTAAATCACAACCGCCGAGCCATTCAATTCAGAATCACAGCTCTATTCAAGCCTCGGAACCAAGCATAGCGAGCCATTTAGAAAAACCACTCTTGTCGAGAAGAAAGAACCATTGCCCATCAGAATAAAAATCTTTTCTATTACGGTACACATGATCCCAGCCAACCGTCCAGGCAAAAGAAACACCGCCCCATGGCCATCTGAGAAACGCCCAAGTATCCAACCATCTTGATGCACATTGAAATCGGTGGGAAAAAGAAAACAAAAAAAAAAGACAACGCCAATAGGGCCACGGTAGACTTGGGGGACGCCTGACTCTCCAAAGCCATTCGAAGAGAAGAAAATGTTGGTACAGGGGTACCCTCCGGCAGACCCAAAAATAACGACCACGACATTCACAGCATGAAATGAAAGTGATATTATCCAAGAGGGAGGATCAAGATAAGGTTGAAGTCAGTGTGCATGTATGGCGTTCGATTCCACCATCAGCGTGCTTCCCGATCGCCGATCGAGGGAGATCGGGGGGCCGTTGGGGATAATGACTCCGGACAGCCCCAATTCGTGTCAATATCAAAACGACAAACGCTAGCCTCAAAAGCCAAATTCAATGTCAATTGAAAGGACTCTGTACTAATTTTGGGTCAATTCGTGAACCCTGTATTTCTTGAAAAAAACTTCACTTTTTTAATCCGCTGCCGGGACTTATTGCCGAGCCGAGTGTCCACCGTTCTGAGGTGATGGGATTGGCTCGGGGTGCTGGGTATGAGCAGCTGGGTCCAGCGATGGGATGCGACTCATTGTTGGAGACGACATGAGATTGGCCTGGCCATTGGCCGAAAAGGACTGTCCATTGTGTAGCAGAGACGCGTTCTCCCGCTGGCGACGCTCCTCTTGCTCCGGAGTCATGCACTTCATAGGTGCAGGTATCGGCGCTTCAGGGGAGCTTCGACCCATAAGCTTAGGGCTGGGCTCCAACCTGCGGATAGGAGGAAGCACCGGGGCCCCAGCCATACCGCCTGCGGTGATGGGGCGGGGAGACTGCTTAGTAGGACTGATTCCAGACATACCAATTCCATGCGAGCTGTGCGGGGGTGAAGAATGGTTGCCATTCGGGGTTGCAACGGAGGAGAATGAAGGATAATTGTGGGACATGGCAGGGGTTGCTCCATGGCCAGATTGCGGACGTGGCGTGGCGTAGCTATCGAAAGATGACCACCCGTTCATGGGAGCACCGGATGGAACCCCTGCAAGAGGTCCAACGTCGTGGTTGCCCTGCGTAGGTGACATAGAGGGATGATTCTGGGTTGGGCCATACCCAGAATGAGATGAGGAAGGTCGGGCGGAAGAGAAAGATGCAATGGGAGGAAGGTGAGGTCCTGCCTGCATCGGAGGCAAGATATGTTGGCCAGGTCCAGGCGCAAATCGAGGTTGTTGAGTAGTGAGGGGTTGCGCCGGTCCATTCGAGACCTTTGAAGGCGAGAATGGTGGGCGAGGAGGACTTGAAGAAGGAAGAGAAGAATTAATTGCAGGGCGGGGAAGACGCTGAGGGGAAGGAGGGACATAGAACTGGTGTTGTCCTTGAGCAAATTGCTGATTCTGAGCAGTAAGTGAAGGAAGTGCAGGCTGAGAACCCTGCTGCCGGGAAGGCCCGTTTTGAATGTTCGACAGAGCATTGTGGGTGTGCTTCACCGGAGAGGGTGGAACACGCCCCTGCGCGTCGATCTTGGGCTTGACTCCGGCAGCCGAAGGCGACGGAGTCGCGCTGACTCGGAACTTCAGCGGCGGGAGTTTAGGCCGGTTGGCTTCCTCCTCCTTGCGCTTGCAGTCCGCGCAGACGAAATGGAAGTCGTCCTTCTCGGCGTCTTCTTTCTTAATGCCAAGGCAGCTGCTATGCTGCCATACATTACACTTCTCACATGCAACGCTGTGGCTCCCGTCATCCTAGAAAAATGGTTAGAATCCAAAGCCTGCTTCAGATAGTCACACCGAGGAAGTACTCACAAGGTTCTCGCCATGCACACCACAACCGGAGCAGTCGAAGATCCAATTGTCCTCTTCATCAAGCTCTGCCAGGTTCTTCTGCGACCGCTCCATCTCAGCCTTGAGATGCCGCGCCGAGACCCTACCCTCACCCCGCTCCAGCTTCTCCTGCTCAGCCGCAAGGCGTTCAACCTCGGCCTCGTGCAGAATCCGCTTGTGTTCACGATCCTTGATGCGCTGCTCGCGGGTCATCATGCGGGACTTGCGCTCATTCTCCATCTCCTTCTGGCGAGCCTGCTCCTTGCGGGCTTCAGCCAGATCGGCCTCTCGTTTGCGAGCGGCCTCGGCGGCTTCGCGATCAACTCGTTCCTTCTCCTCCTTGGCAGCCAGTCGGCTAGATCGCTTGGCACCAGCAAGCATCTGCATTTGGATAAGCTCCTTCTCGCGCTTGATACGCTTGCGCTGTTGCGCTTCTTCCGCTTTCTCCAACAGAGGCAGGATATGCTCCTCAATCTGGCTGCGCAGGTACTTATCGTCCGCATCCTTGCTCTTGCGAATGGTGTCTAGGAATGCATTGTACTCAGGGAGGGTGACAGCAACGCATTCCCACTTAAAGTTGGGGAAGACATTGGCATTGGCATTAGCATCGTCCTCGTCCTTGTTCTCGTCCTCGGAAGCTTCGTCGACGATCATGGCGGAGACTCGTCTCGATGCCCGAGATCCTCGAGAGGACCTGCTCTTCGGTTTCTTCTTCGGTCGCAGAGGCGCAGGGATGGGAGGGTCGGTTCGGCGGTAGAGGCGGTTGTCGTCAAGGACGTAGTAAGAACGACCATCATGGTCATATCCGAACTCTTCGATGCGCTGGTGAAAGTCAGATGACATGGCCACTTTGAACCAATGGTCAAGGTGGGAGTAGAACTTACCCATTCCAACTGCTCTGAATCCTTCTTCTCGGGCATCTTCTCGCGGAGGCGATCCGGATTCCAGAAGGTCCACACAGAGAGCTGGTGGAGGACGGTGAGTTTCGTGAAGACGTCAAAATCGAGGAATCGAAGAGGGGTCTCCTCGTAGCCGAACGGGTTGGGAATGTGAGGTGCTTTGGCATTGTACTGGCGTCGGGTGTACTCGTCGAAGTTCTCGAACCTGTGTTGCGCCCGTCAGTGCATTGCCCCCCTGTATTACCATGGAAATTGCATTTATCAACGTACGTCAATCCACGATGCGACGAGATCCACTTCAGCAGGCACAGTCCTATCTCGAGTAGCTTGTACGAAGGTTCAGGCTTGAGGCATTCGTCTTCCAGGTCCTGGGTCAGATGAATGAAGGTCAGCTTCAGGAAAACCAGAGCAGGGCAACAGCACGTCAGACACCATTGCCATCATCGCTGCATCAGTGTAATGCAATGCGCGACAATCACAAAGCCCCACCAGATAACAAGGACAGGGCAATACCGCTTAACATACCTCGATTCCAAAGTCCTCGTCTATCTTCATAATCTTTCCAAAGATGTGAATATACTGCATGATATTCGCGAATTCCCAGCTGCTTCGGATGCGCTGGAGCAGTCCAGGTTCCTCAGTGATCTGAGCTTCGGGGGCATCGATCGCCTCGGAGCGGCTACGCTTTCGCGGTCCCATCGCGGCGGCGGGACGAGGCCGTGAAGGCCGGGTATGAGCAGTGAGTGTTCAGTAGGAAGGAGGGTTGGCGATGCACGTCAGGATCACAGCCACACGGCGTGAGTCTGTGAGAGACAATATCAAGAAGAGGATTGAGTCGGAAAAAGAAGAGGGGGGCAGTTCGTCTTTTTTCCTTCGTGTCGAGAGGCGACGGAGATGGGCTCTGCAAGAGGCGCGTCGAGACGGGTGTGTCACGTGAGGATCGCGTTTGCGACCGGCATAGAAGTGGGAAAGAGCGGGGGATGCTATTCAAGGCAGGCTGGAGGATTGAAAGACTTTGGTAAAATGGACAACCAATTGGAGTTTCTTTCATGCTTCACAGTGATTGCCTGATGGACAAACATGACCGCTAAAGTATACACGAAAGGCATGCCTACGAATGAACAGTCCCCTACTGAATTGTTGAAATGAAGTCAAAAGTACATTTTTGGCACACATGTACATGAGAAAATAAAACCCAAATGCAGTATAACGATAGAACATCAAATCAACGACTGGACCGTGGTATCTCGGGCTCAAAGGTCTATCTCGTAGAGCAATAGCAGGACCGTCAAGGACAAGAAGAACAATGCAAGCGACAGCGCCGACCCAGAACCCCCCCACACCACCCGACTGCGAGCGCCACGAAAAGAGGACGAGATGAAGGCAGAAAATGAAAGCATGTCTGAGAAAGGGAGGGAAAACCAAAGGGGGCAAAATGCAAGAAGAAAAGGTAATAAGACCATAGGAATACACGAGTCCCCTCCCATCGACATGAAAATTCACCGTAGCCCGGAAAAGTGTCCCATAAAAAGAATAGTGCAGAGAAACTTGAAAACGAAGAGAAAGCAGCCGATGCAGCCCGGTTATCGCCGAGAAAACGACGATAATGATCATGTGGAGTCCATCAGGTGCTTCTAGCCAACTTTTGCGCCTTTGTAACCGATACTCGCCAGAAACCTGTCCCATGCATATCGTGAGGTGTAAATAAAAAGGATATCCCGCGAAGAAAGAGAATGCGTTTTCGTATGTTACATGGCCGCCGAGGCTCCGTCGGAGACGTTGTCCGACAGGTTGATTAGGAGCTGGGCCAGGCAGCGCTTAGTGGCTGCATCGTCGCGGAGGACCGATGAGAAGGTCGCATCACGAAGAGGCTCCGGCAGACATTGTCGCAAAGCCTCACGGGCCCGGCTGTTGTCGCTGAGACTGTGTCTGGCTGTTAGAAAGAGGGGCCAAGATCAAGTTGGGTGCCAACCAAGACACGAGAACAAAGACCTACCGAAGGAAGCAGCGCACGACGTGCTTGAGCAGGCGCACCGTCTGCTGCTCGACCAGCTGAGTGACCATATTACTGAGGACGGTGCCCACAGCGTAGAAACGCTCATATGTCGCACAAATATACGCCAAGCCAATATCATCGAGAAGAATCTTCTGCACAATGAAAATGGCAACGGTTTTGCTGAGTTCCGACCCGGTCTCCATGATGCGAAGACAGAGGGGAATGATCTCGGTGGTGAGGAGGAAGTTGATCACGTCCGAGGAGTCATTCTTCACCAGCGCTCCAATGACGCCGAGCGATGTGAGGCGGAGGTACTCAAAAGGACGAGATTTCGAGGTGGTGTTCAGAAAGGGATAGAGGAACAGGGGGATGTGAGCTGCGAGAGACCAAGAGGCCAAGGAATTAGTCTACTTATCCTATCACGCTTGGCTTGGATCAGTGGTGAGCAACTAACCGTTCAGGAAGAGAGTGCGGGTCTCATTGTGGGATGCGACGCACTGCAAGAGCGCCAGCGCGTTGCAGACTCGATTTGATGCCGCAGCAGTCAACTGCGAAGGGTTCAGGAGGGGATAGACAGAAATGATTTCCTGGAGAAGAGCAGTCATGACACCTGCACGTTGTCGACGGGTTAGTCAAAATCGGGGAAAGGGTCGCCCCCACGATGCGACGGGGATCATACCGAACGAATGCCAGATGACGAGAGCCAGTTCGGGAACCTGCTCCCGCTTCTTGCTAAGCTCCATCAGTGCCGCCTCTCGACGGGCCGGATCCAAGAGTTCGGCCACCCAGATAAAAACCTTGCGATTCTCTTCACTGATGCCGCCGTCCATGACGGAGACCGCATTTGCAAGGCCCTCTCCGCCCATCCCGCCGACAGCCCCAGCACCCTGCGCAGGGTTCGCAGCGCCGTTGCCGCTCATGGCAAGGCGACCGTAGTGTTGCTGCTGCGCAGCGGCGGCGGCAGCAGCTTGGACTTGAGCATGCTGCTGGGCGACCAGGGAGGCATGCTGCTGCTGATGCTGAGGATGCGGCTGACCCTGGTGGTGCTGCTGTTGCTGTTGTTGCTGCTGCTGCTGCTGCTGTTGTTGCTGCTGCTGCTGGTGCTGCAACCACGAGGGATCAGCCTGGGGGTACTGATGCTGGTGCGAGAAGACGTGCTGGCTCTGCGCTTGGAGCATGGCGAGCGGTGGTGAGTCGAAGTCGGGACCTCGTAATACTCCGAAAGGGTCAGGGTCGGTGGGTTGAGTACGGGGATGCGAGAATAACTCCAGGTAGGAGGAAGGCCGATAGAAATGATGTCAGCTGACTCGACTCAAGGCGAGGGTCATTGATGAATTGGCGCTGGAGACCCGAGTTGAAGAAGTGAGCGTTGCCTGAAGAGAGGGAGAAAGGAAGAGAGAAGTTCGGGTCGGAAGGCGGGGAGAAATGACCGGGCCAGTTAATAGTGTCCACTAAGCCTTTGTGCGGCCCCGTCACACTCTCAACACTCGGAGCACACGTACTCTTTAATCGGACTGGAAACACCCACTTGGGCACAATGATCTCGCCCCAAGGCCTTGTAATTTCTACCGCAGAGCTGACTATTCAAAGCTCGGATTCGGCTTCTGGGAATCGCTACCTATCTGCATCACCCGTGCAGGTAGTGCCGGGGTGTCACCCTTGCCAACAGAGCCTAATGTAACGGCAAGGCTGGTCTTGATTACGGCCTTCTGCTTAGTATAACAGCCCGTGGTCGTCACGCTCATCCCTGGTCCAGAGGCTTGAGGATCATTGAGAGGAAAATTCCGATGAACTACTGTGTACACATAGGAAGGAAGTGGCGGCAGTGCCTTGGCCAAAGGCCTAAAGTACTCAGCGTTAGGACTTTGTTCTCTGTCGAATGCTAGCGATGACCTTCCCCCCTAGTGAGCATTGTACTGTCTTGATATCATTCGTCGAGTTCTCATATACGGCGGACTATAGAGAGGAGAAGGCCATAACCCTGAATTTCTTCAAAGACCATTCACCGCTTTCTTCCGCCCTAAGTACATTTCATGCTTACTACCTCACTTGGAGATTAACGTAGAGATCAACTAAGAAACTATCTATGAAACTGTCTAGGAAACTACCCCTCTTTCTCATTTACGATTGTAATAATCAATAGGATTAGGTAAAGATGTCAGGCCGTAAGAGGATTTAACATCAGATTACGGATTATATCTACATTTTAGCTCCAGTAATCTCATTAGTCATTTAGTCTGAATCGATCTCGCTTGTTTCGATGCCGGAAATCGGCACTTAACAAAGGGTATATAGGATATGCGTAGATTATATGGGGGAAAGGATGCCTGAAAATGAGATCCTGCCGATTCTAAAATTGCGGATAAAGGGTTATGGCGTACTCATACCTCACATTTATATCGTATTGTGCTCGGACAGGAATTTGCCCGGTAAGCGTGACCCCCCCAAAAAACAAATCCACATCCAACGTTCCAAGTTTATATTAACATTGGAGAAAGGCAACGCAATATCATCACACCCATAAACAGAAAACATGGGTTGGTCATAATGGTACATAAATCATAATAACATCGCACGCCGGCGCCTTTTTCATGCATAAATCATTCGTATTTCAAGAAGTCGGAAGAAGACAAGAGAGGACGAACGCAGCCAAGTTGTTGCGTTGGGTACTCTCTCCTCAATCTGGACTCTCATCAACGTCGTGAGCTTCTGCGAGACCGACGGGACCGTCGTGTATCGCGTGTCCGTCCACCAGAGCTTTGGCTACCTATAGAAATCGTTAGTACTGCCGTCTCCACAAACATTATGTCAGGAGCTCAACTTACTGCGTGTATAGTCCGAGTAGTAATAGTACGAACTCGGGTACGTGTAACTCGTCTTATCATCATCGTCATGCTCCTGATCTCTGCGTCTCTTCAATCCCAGGCACAATGCCAGAGCACCCAGGATAATCGCAATCTTCGCCCATTTAGAACCGGACTTTTTCTCACTGATTTCACTATCCGTTCCCGCAGCGGCTGGCTTCGTACCGAACCAAGTACGTCTGGGAGGTGGTGGCCGACTGCCGTGCGAATGGTGGGAATAGCGTTCCTCGATCACGGTGGTTTCCTGTCTGCGGCGCTTGCGGAGACCCAGAGCTGCAAGGAGGCCTTCTAGAGCTCCCTTGAAGCACACGCAGGCACACAGAAGTAACAATATAAACACACCGGCGATCACGCCAATGACAATTCCGGCAATGGCACCACCACTCAGTCCTCCGCTGCTGGTGGCTTTGACGCCAATCAGCGTGGCGCCGTCCGTGCCAACGGGGGCGATGAATGCCTCTGTGGTAGTTGGAGCGGAGGTCTGCGTCACGGTGCTGGCACCGCTACTCGTTCCTCGGACGCCAGGGGTAGCTTCGGCACCGGTCACTGCAACAGAAGAACTCTCGGCGACACAGACGCCATCCTGGCACTCCTGTGCGGCATCACAGCAAGTAGTCCCGCATGTTGACTCGCCCAGATCGACACGACAGGTTCCCGTGGCCGTGGCTGTGGCGGTTTGAATATGAGTGCTCCAAACAGAGGTAATGGTTGACTTGTCCACCTCAGTCACGATGATGGTCGTGGTGTAGTATTCCCAGGTACCGCTCGAGCTGTCAATGCAGACTGCTTGGTTGGCCGAGTTGGTGGAGCAGGCTTGGCTGGCACTACAGCAGATCTGGTCATTCCAACCGCAGGGATTCGAACATCGCTTTTCAAGGGGGTTTTCGTTAAAGGCGAATGGCGAGGCGATCGCGATCGGAATCAAGTAGAGGACCACAAGCATCGATAGCACTGGGGCACCGAAGCAGGGCCGCATGGTTGGAGTTGAGCGTGGCAACGCTTGCAACTTGCTGGTATGGATGCTATGCCTTCGAGGAATGTAATCGACGTCTGAAAGATCGGATTGCACAGTGCTTGTTGGGAATGCTGGACTTCCAATGCTGGCTTGCTGTGGTGGTGGATTGGAAGTATACCCCCGTTGGCGATCTACAGTACGGTTGATCACCACGTTGAGGTCGACAGAGTACTAAGAATGTTGAGAAGGTACAAAAACCGATGGAATGTGTAAAGTAGCGATGGACAGAAAAGTAGGGAGAGATGAGAAGGTGGGCAAACAATGGAGTGGGAAAGAAAAGGCGTTGCTGGGCAAATTGAGTACATCCCCAGCCTCCCCAAAGGTATACCCAACCACCCGATTTCCCATGGCCAATGATCTACAAATCCACCTCTGACAGGGCCACCTCGCTATTCTCGGGAGGCTGGGTTTCAGAGTGAAGAATTTTATTATTAACCTTGATTTTCCACGGATCTTCCGTGCCTAACAGGTCCCACCACTGTCGTACTGCTGGTGCATATGTACAAAGGATGGGCGGGATGTCAGCAACCAACTTCCCCGCCCTCGTGGCAGCGATCAGCATGCGGTCGGATCCCCGAGCCAGTCATTGCGGTGGAATGTTATCGAACTGAGTTTATTGTTTATTGCGAAAAGAACAACGGGTAAACTGTGAGTATGAGAAGAAATTTTACCTCTACAATGACCGTGTTACTTTAATACTCGTCTCGTCCACGATGGACCCGATCCAATGTCATTATGTCTCTGTTTTCGGTGCCACCATTAGCAGCCCAACAGTCAACAGCCCAATCCGCGGTGACGAAGGTCTGAATCATGTGGAACTAGTGGACTTACACGCACTGTCAATGCCGTGGTCTAGTGCATTAGTGCAATCGTAGAAGAGATTTGGGCAAAGCCGAAAAATGCGGTGTACATAAATTGAGTCATTCATACCAACTATGGGCTAGTCCAAGGTTCATGATAGGGGGCATCATCACAGTTCAACATAGACATTGGGGGAAAAAAGAATATACAAAGCATCATAGCAAAGACCAGCAGGTCCAAATCCCGAACGTAATGTCATATCACATCAAATAAACACACCCGCAATGCCCACCATCAGGCCCAGCATCAAATCGTGTAGACTCGTCGTCCGCACCGGCGCCGCCCCATTTCCGCTTGTAGCATGGGCTGTACTCGTCGCCACGGTTGCGCAATAATTTAATTGAAGACCGTGACAGGCCTGTTGGCTCAAACTGGAGCAGATAGACGTAGCCTGCGAGGTTGCCGTCACTGCTTCCACCGTGACGCCTGCCCCGCCCGCTCCTCCGACCGTTACCCCGTAGCGACCCATGAGCTGTGCTGTACACTGGGTGTATTCAGACCGGCAGAGCGAGTAGTATGACGAGCAAGTAGCGGCATCAGCAAAGGTCGTAGGTACGTAAACGAACGGGTATGCCCCCGAGATCGTGGAGCCGGTGATCGAAGCCGCGCTCGAGTCGGCAGTGGTGGTCGTCGTCGTCGCGGTCGCCCCCTGGGGAAACAAGAAGCTGGTACCGGTGGATGTGGCTGTAGAAGCTCCGGTCAGACTGCCCGTACAGCTGGCGCCGGTCGGACAGCATGCGATGTTGTTGGCGGCATCGCGTGAGCAGTTTGTGCCTTGTTTGCAGCAGGCATTCGAGTTGCCTAGACTGGTACACGGGTTGTAGCCCGTGGGGCAGTTGTTATCGGCTCGTCTGAGAATTTGGAGGACTTCAAAGGCTCGTTTATTGGACTCGATGGTCTGCGGTGCTGAAAAGGGCGCCGTCTCGATCGAGAGGACCAAGGGGAGGAATGAGGCCCATCCGATCCACCACGAGGCCCGCATTCTTATGACCTTGGAGCGGGGGTGTAGATTGAATGCGACCGAGTAATTTCTCTTCGTTAGACAGAATGAGTTGACTGTGGTGGTAGTAATGCAGTTCAATCTCTCATCGTTGAATTTTATCGAGGTTGCTTATGGAGGGCAGCGCCGGATGTCAACAGACTACTAAAAGCAGTAAGATTAGCGTCAGCAATGGTGTATAGCAAAGGGGGGGGGGACCAAGGCCATTAATGGGTACTCTAATTCTGGAGGAATATAAGATCAACGACATACCTGGCAATATAAAGTTCCAATGCCTTCGAGAAATCGGGCAGAAACCAGCAAGGTCTTGGGTGTGCTGGGGATGATGTAGTTTAGTTGAAAGTCGAAACTCCCGCCTGGCCCACTCCACCCATCTCCACCGGGAGTCCCTGCCACAGCAACCAGTCGCACGATGCCCAACCCGCTTCAGCCACCGCCTTTGCAGCCCATTCCCTCGAGACCTTGGCAGTCTAAATATATGGCACGGAGGTTGATGACCGCCATTTGAGAGAATCGATGGCTGCATCACTATTGGATTCGAGTGTGTTCCTGCTTGCAGAACTTGCTGCCTTAGATTCAAGGCTTTATAGTTGGTCATCTAATCATTTAACAGAGGTCGCTGCATCCCAGAGAATAAATCAATGAACTAATCATGAAACGAGTGTTTGCAGAGGGGGCTATCAAGATGTTTCCAAAGAGATTTTAATAGAGATATCAAAAGTCATTACCAATGATGTCAACGCATAAGTTCGCATCTACGCTGAATGCTAGCGAAGTGCAAGACAATTTCATACTTAGCCCTCATAATACACCCTATTGGCATGTGGTTGGCTGGCCCTTACAAACCAATGGGAGAAACCTTGTCTTGCAAAAACAACAGCGGTGAAGTTACTCATAGGACGAGGATATATTTGGAGGACGACAGGACCACGAGGGGATACTCAACCTTCCATACCTATGCCATTGTCGTCGACCACCTCTCCTAGAGACTTCGTGTCCTCGTAATTGATGAGAACCCCATACACACAGCCCAGATTTTGCATATACAGTATATCTTTTGTCGGAGCAGATGGAAGTATATATTCAGCCATCCATAATGATATATCCCTCGCAACCCTGAGGAACTGGATACCGTTCCACCACGGTCAGAAATCACTGGAGGCTATATTTATGTTGCATAATAAGATTTTGTTACTGTACGTGTCGCTGTCGTATGCAGAAAGAAAACTAGTAACAACTTTCCCACACACTACTATATTAAGTCTAATATGGCTATAACCTACCTAATGGGATTCTACCAAGGCTCCAACGGCGCTGCTAAGTAGGTTTTCCAAGTTCCCAACGGGTCAACGTCTCACCGGAAGCTTGGTTAACCGGCATAGTTAACTACGAGGGTGACCAGGACTACAGGAACGCGTCATATTGCACCAGATTGCTCCGTATCGCGCAAGCTGATCCTTACACTTCCCATAATGTAAATATGACTACCTTGTCCATCCCAGTATGCTCAGCCTGCCAAAGGATAGCTAAGCGATGTTTACCGTCGTTTCTCGCACGGGCACGTTTGACTTTACGCCAGCCTTTGAGGACGCCGTCTTGCGTATCGTCCCTTCAGGCCTATTTCTAGTCGTGGCCCTACAGCGTCTTGCGTGGCTGGCAAGACAACCTCGCAAGGTCGCCAAAAGCCACCGGCCGCTTGTCAAGGTGGTAAAGCCCCCGCTATAGATTCTGCCGTGGAATGTCTCTGACGGGTACAGGGGTTACTCGGCGCCTACACGGCCCTACAACTTACAGTCTTGCTGTACTGCGCCCTAAATACACATAAATGGTCCTTCTCTCAGCTACGGACGTCGGCCGCCGTGCTCGCCTTTGTCGACGGATTTTTGCTCCTGTTCCTGTCCCACGTTAAGCACGCGCGCTCGGTGCGACCATCGACCATCATTAACATTTATCTGCTCTGTACTCTGCTCTTTGACTACGTTATTGCCCGAACCCTATGGCTTACCCACCATGATTCCATCATCTCGAGCCTCTTCACCTTAACTCTCGCGATCAAGTTAATTGTCTTAACTTCGGAAGCTTAGGAAAAGCGACCTATTCTCTTATCCCAGTACCAGCATCTCTCACCAGAGACAACTAGCGGTATCTTAGCCCGGAGTGTCTTTTGGTAGCTGAATTCATTTATGCGAACTAGGTCCGCTCGGTCCCTTACCGATCATGACCTACTCCCCGTTTATGACAGCCTCGCGGCACGAAAATTACTACTAGAAGCGCGAAACTCATTTACTACATCAAACCCTTCTAAACGCCATGCCTTAGCCTTATCTACACTATGGGCCACCAAGTACATTTTTCTAGCGGGCGTGGCACCCCGTCTTACATTAGCAGCTTTTAAGTACACGCTACCCTTTCTAATTACCCGGACGACCTCCTAGATAGCCGATCTTTCGCAGTCAGATGAAATTAGTTAGGGATTAACAGGCGCGTAGCTACTGGTCTTTCTTAGACAGGCAATTTCAAACGGCTTCTATCATTAGATGACATATCGATTCATTACTAGAATTCGCGGTAGTCTCTACGGTTTAATATACACCAAGACGCTGGATCTCAGCAGCACGGCTCTTAACAGGTCCATGGCGGTATCGCTCATATCCACCGACACCGAGAGCATCTATCAAAGTACCGCAACCTTACACGAGCTTTGGGCTTTACCTATTAAGTCTAGAGTGGCTATCTTTCTTCTGTACAGGCAGATTGGCCTTACCGCTCTTACCCCAGTCGTTGTAGTAATTATTACCACTACCGGCACGCTGTAGTTGGCCTAATTCATTAGCCCAGCCAAGAAACGATGGATAAAAGGTATTCAAACGCAGGTCGATGTGACGGCTACTATCCTCGCATCTATGAAGGTGAGAATCCAGCAGAAAGGCCTAATAGTACCTATTTTGAATAAGTAGGGGCAGAACTAATCCGTTATATACAGGAGGTCAAAATGCTTAGTTTATCAGACATTATCGCGCACATGGTCCAGAACCTCCGCGTAAAGGAGCTAGATTTATCCAAGCAGTACCGCAGACTTCTGACGATACAGACCTTTATTGGTATGTCACTTAGCTATAGGCCCATTTGTGTCAGCTGCTTTACCGATTAGCGATGAATACCGCCACCATCGCCCCTCTAGCCACCTTTACAACTTTTATCATTATTTCCCAAACCAGTGGCCAATCCCTGAATACGGAGTCTGCTTATACCTCGCTTTCGCTAATATACCTCTTATCGGACCCTATGGTCATCGTGTTCCGTACAATCCTATCCGTTAGCGCCGCCCTCGCGTGTTTTGCGCGCGTTCAACACCATTTACTATCGGAAAACTACAATGATTACAGACTGCCCTTAAACGAACGAAATCATCGACCAGGGGAAGGTGATAAGGAAGGAGACACGGTTATATCGATATCAGGAGCCACTTTTGGCTGGTTTCCCGGAAAGCCGGAGATCCTCAGCAACATCGCTATCAATATACGTAGGGCTTCTTTCACCTTCGTCGTCGGACCAGTAGGCTCGGGCAAGAGCACGCTCCTACGAGCCATTCTAGGGGAAGTCCCGCTCCGGGCGGGTTCCATTCATACTGATCTCGGCAACATTACGCTTATTAGCCAGGATCCCTAGATCCAGAACCTAACAATACGGGAGAATATCCTAGGCAGTGCCGGCTATAACGTAGGATAGTACGGCAAAGTTATGTACGTATACGGGCTAGAGCAGGACATCAGCGACCTTCCCAACGGAGATACGACAATAGCCGGTAGCGCGGGGGTTTCGTTAAGCGGCGGCCAAAGGCAGCGCCTCGCCCTAGCCCGAGCCGTCTACTCGAGGGAAAAGACGGTCATTCTAGACGATATCTTTACAGGGTAAGATGCGGCGACCGAGGAATACGTCTTTCAGAATCTCTTTGCCGAGACGGGGCTCTTCCGATAGATGGGCACTACTATTATCTACACTACGAATACCATTCATAGACTCGCCTATACCGACCATAAGGTAGCTCTAGATATTAACGGCTATATTATGCACTAAGGCTCGTTTACCCAACTTCAATCCGACACAAACTATCTATATAGGATCTCGGTTAAGTAGAATAGCAGCCTTAACGTGATTGACGCAGCAAAAATATCGCTACAGCACCGCCACGAGACTATCCCTTAAAGCCGATCCGAGAACGATGCTAGCTAGAGCAGCAGCGACTCTACATCACACGGTCAGGTCCTCGGCGAGTTTGCCACCTATATATATTACTTTGGCTTAGTCCCCGTATAGCACACCATTCTGTTTGCCGCTCTTATTATTATATACGCTAGAGGGGATCGAATGACGGGCCTAGTCCTCAGTTTCTAGACAGATACTATAGAAAAGTCTGGCCAGGCCACGAATGACTACTTCCTAGGGCTCTTCGGCATACTTACCGGCCTTACCGTCCTAGGTATTACCGGGGCTGCTTATTTCTTCCTAGTTATGATAGTGCCTTTAAGCTCTAACATTCTCCACGCTCGGCTTCTAGATTCCGTTATAGACGCCCCTATAGCTTTTTACTCACGCACCGACGTCGAAGCCACTATAAATCGCTTTAGCTAGGACATATCCGTCGTTAACACCGAGCTCCCATTTGCCCTAGTGGATTTCTGTGTTAACTTTGCCCTTATTCTTATGTCGGTCATCCTTATGTGCGTCTTTTCGGGATATTTTACAGCCTCCCTTATCCCCTTTGTTAAGGAAGTATCTACTTTACAGGGTAGATGGCCTGTCAACTAGGTAGGAGAGGAAAGCACCAAGTCAGATTGAGACAAAGACTGTTTCTTGAGGAAGATGAATCCCACTTCCTCAAGCATCTGTTTAAATACATCATCTTTTGTGCAAACAGGAATCAAACACGAAGTAAGGGGGAAACCATGGCGAAAGGCCACCGCATGGCCAACGCATGGCACATACTGTGGGTGCGGCCTGCATGCAGCGTGGCTGTCGCGTATCGCGGCCGAGGGGCCACCGAGTGACCGCCGGATGGCTACCGCCTTGGCAGAACCCTCGGTCCACGCATGCCTGAGGCCCCAATATCAGTGTGTGAATAGTCTCATCGAAATATCATAACACCCTTTGTTGTTTTCTGTTACTATAAGTCCCTCTATTGCCCCCTCCACCCGCCCTTAAAACCTAGCGCCAAAAATGAGGCACTAACTATCGTCCAAAAGTGCTACAAAAGTTCTACGTAAGGACCTCCTAGTAGGTCCGACTATTTAATCTCGAAGCTAAATCGCCCCTCTTCACACAGTCCCTAGACCTCCTCCAAGGCCTATTAACTATGCGGGTATTTATATAGGGCCCGCGCTTTATCGAGCGGTATTTAGATCTTCTCGACGCCTCACAGAGACCTTTTTACCTACTCTTCTGTATCTAGCGCTGGCTGACCCTCGTTCTCGACGTGATGACGGCAGTCCTCGTAACCGTTATGATGGTCCTAGTTATGAAACTTCGGGCCCAGCTATCACCGCAGCTTATAGCCCTAGCCTTAGTGTAGGTTATATCTTGTGGTCAGTCGCTAGCTCACGTTATTCAAGACTGGGCGTAGCTTAAGACGTCGTTCGGGGCCGTGACGCGCGTTAAGACATTTTACACCGACACCGAGTTAGAGAATCAACCCTCTAAGATAGCCATTGTGCCCGAGGGATGGCTAACGTACGGCCGCGTTACCATTAATAACTTGGTAGCATCGTACGATATATAAATCGGCGCCGAGCCTATACTACGTGGTGTAGGGCTCGATATACCCGTCGGTACCAAGGTCGCTATCTATGGTCGTAGTAGGAGCGGTAAGAGCTCGCTCCTGGGCTGTATCCTGCGCCTCCTCGAAGTCGGCCCCGGCTCGCGTATTACTATCGACGGCGTCAATATTAAGAACCTACCACGGTAGGCTGTGCGCGCTGTAATAGCCGTTGTACCGCAGCACCCTTTCTTCCTAAAGCATACAAATCTTCGCGATAACCTTATTATCCTTCACCGACCGCAGGACAGGGTAGAGCAGCAACAGCAAGATTACAGCGACACTAGAATCCTCCATATCCTACGGCGACTGAAGCTAGTTGACCTTATAGATCGGCTAGGTGGCCTCGACAGCCCACTTAACGCCGAGCGGCTCTCGCAGGGCCAACGCCAGCTTCTGTGTATCGCCCGAGCCATACTAGCCGGCAAGCGCATCATCCTAATTGACGAGGCGAGTAGCAACGTCGACGAACGGTCTGAGAGGCTTATCGGGGAGGTCATGCGCGACGAGTTTGCCAACTACACTATCATCGCCGTTGCGCATCGGCTCGGTGCTGTCGTCGACTTTGATCGTGTTGCTGTCATGGGTGGGGGTCGGCTTCTCGAATGGGATAGTCCTCGCGCACTCCTGAAGCGGGAAAGCGAGTTCAAGAGGCTTTGGGATCTTAGATCGAGTTAGAGGAGTGGTTAGCTCCTCGGGCCTTCCCAGTGGATTTTTTAGTCTGCGGGGCATTGGATGGGTGACTTCAACGGACGTCTCTGACGGAGTCTGCGAAATGAACGACCTCTGGAATTGTATTTTCCGAAGGGTCAACCTTATTGGTCTCTGCTGCATTCAGGAAGTCGGTTATGAATGAGTAGTCACGAAAAAGCATGGCCAGCAGATGCTAATGGTAAGAAGAAAGCGAGAAAGTTGAATAAAAGGGGCACATCAGCTTTGTATATCTCGTAAAAATCGTGGATCGGAAGCTCCCATTCTTGTTTGGGTGACATTTACGACACGACAAAAAAGTTCATGGCTTTTCCTCCTGTTTCCCTGTGTGAACTCCCGCTGGTAGATTAGTACAGGCATAGGCACTCCTTCCACACAAGCGATGGTAAGGACAAAATGCTGGAGTGAATGTTAGAATATTTTTTATATATGTACTGAGATCTTCATACATACCTTGTAGTTAACTTAACAAGCTGCCATTACTCATCAGACTCATTCGCCGGGCTCTCTCGAGATAGGCTGACCGTCAGCAGGCCAACTTCAAATTCTAATCGACGCTTACAGGCTACCAACAAACACCCGAGTCTTCAAAGAGGGAATTGCCGTAAATAGAATAGCTCAGTGCATTCCATACACAATGGACCCCTCTAGCTCGCAAACCCAGATCCCCATTGTGGATTTCGCAGGGTGGACCTCGGGCGGCCCCAGTCGCCAACGTGTAGCGCAAGAGATCGTCGCGGCTTGCAAGCAAGTGGGGTTCGTCTATATCATCAACCACTCCCTCTCAGACGCCCTTCTCGATGAAGCGTTCCACTGGTCTCGAGTCTTCTTTGACCTGCCCATGGAGGAGAAGCTACGTGCTCCTCATCCTGATGGGTGGGCTGTGCACCGAGGCTACTCGTGGCCGGGGTTGGAAAAGGTCTCGCAGGCTGTCAGCGCAGATAATGATGATGAAAAAACTACCCAGTTGAGAGAGGTTCCTGATATCAAGGTTGGTTCCCGGTGGGCTTGGGTGGTGGCATTCTCGTCTCTTGAGCGCTTCAAAGCGTGGTAGGCCCACCTCTTCTGATGGTAAATAGGAAAGCTATGACATCGGCAGCGAGGAAAATCCGACCCAGCCAAACCAATGGATTCCCGAAGATACACTCCCGGAATTCCGTACTTTCATGAATCAGTTCTACTGGGAGGGCTTCCGCGTGGGAGGCGAAATCCTGCAGGCTCTAGCAGTGGGCCTTGGCCTCGAGGATGAGAATCATCTACTGCAAAAGCACTCGGGCCATAATAATCAGCTTCGACTTCTGCATTATCCACATGTACTGACTGATATCTTGGAGACAAAGCGAGCAGCTCGCTGTCCTGCACATACGGACTGGAGCTCCATCACCCTGCTGTTCCAGGATGACTGTGGGGGGTTGGAGGTAGAGGATATCAACAATCCTGGCCACTTTATTCCAGCGACACCCATCAAGAATGCCATTGTGATGAACGTGGGTGATCTCCTACAGAGATGGAGCAATGGTAGGTTGCAAGGAAGTCCATTCAGCTCTTCCGGTTCTCTGCTAACATGCAAGGGTAGACCAATTGAGGTCAACGAGCCACCGGGTTACCCTTCCTCCTGTTGCCGACCGGATTGAAGAAGAGGCTCGTATCACCCGCAGACGGTTTTCCATTCCCTACTTCATGGCTCCCGATCCCGACTCGGTAATTGAGTGTATCCCGGCTTGTATGGGCCCTGATGAGCCGGCCAAGTATGAGCCGATCACTCAGGCAGAATATAATCAGATGCGGGCGTCTATGCAATATTGAGGAGTATTGTTGTTCTCGATGGAACCGAGACGTTGTCAGGCAGCGAATTCAATATAATTTAAGGGTCAGCTAATGATAAAACGTCAATACGTTGTCATGTACCCTCGCCTCTTCCTCTGCTCTGTAGTGGGGAGGCTGCCATAACGAGCGACCTCGGAACAGAGAAACCAGCCAGCTAAATGTGTAGAGGTACCTAGTCACTTTAGAACCCATTATCATATCACCATTAGCATTTGAATAGTTGGCCTGTTTCGACACGTTCATAGATTTTGATCAGCCGAAGACGGGATTTCCAGTATACAGTTCTCGGTATATAGCCTCATCGTTCAACTAGTTGAGGCTCCTCTACCCAAATCCGTCCAATTTCAATATTAACTAGTTGAGAGATCCCCAAATCTACTCTACTCCCACTCGTCTTGCAGCGCACTTTCAACTTCTAATAACCCAAATCCTCACTCTCCCTCTGGCCATTTCCAAGGCTCAGTATCCAAACTCATATCCATACCTCTCCCGTCGATCCCCACTCCACCTGACTAAGGCCGTTTCTTGGCGCGTCATGGAGAACCCGCCGAGTCGCGTCCCTCCGTCGCACATCGACCCCGATCGCGTGGCCACCATGTACGGCGAACTCGGCAATAAACTGGTACGTAACGATCTCTCGCCATTGCTTAGTGCATTCGCGATTTTCCTTCCAAACCATTCCTGTGAAAATCCACACTCTAAACGAAAATCTACAGGTCCAACATGCGAAGCGCACGCAAGCCCTCGCCCATCTCCCACCTTACCAAACCGAGATCGTCCGCGCAGTAACCCGCGAAGTCCGCGATCTCGACCGCGATGTCACCCGTCTCCTCGATCCCTTCGAAGGCGCATTTAATCCCTCCGCCGACCCGGCCACCGCCTGCGCCCTACTGGTCGACCACCTCTGCATGCGCCGAAACAAGCGCTGCCTCATGGCGTACCACCGCGTGCGAACGGAGAAACTAGAGGAACTCTGCTGGACGGGCGTGGACGTGTTGGAACAGCAGCAGCCTAGCGAGAGTGGTGAGGACCGGGGCGTGGCGCAGGCGGGCGCTGGACAGCATAGCTCGTTGAGTCCCGAGGAGGAGGAGTATTTTCGACAGTATGGGGATATGTTGGCAGCTTATAAGGGGCAGTGGACGGATATTGATTTGACGGGGACGTTGGAGCCGCCCAAGGACTTGTTTATTGATGTTAGGGTTTTGAAGGATGCGGGGGAGATCCAGACCGAGTATGGGTGAGTTGATTATACGCTATTTCCCGTGCTTGATCGGTGCCCGTTACGAGACGGAGAAGCTAATGTCTTTCGTGATATATAGCGTGATCAATTTGACCAAGAACAGTCAGCTTTATGTTCGACAGGGGGACGTCGAGCGGTTGATTGCCCAAGGCTTCCTGGAGCGATTGAGCTGAGGGAGCATTGCGATGGGCTGATGGTGGGAATTGGGGAGGAGTTTTGCGATTTGTTTTTGATACCCCGCCATGGATGAGATGGCTCATGTGAAGATCGTACCATTTATTCTGTCGATCTCCAATCTAGCAAGCATACAACAAAAATTATGTGAAGCGCTTTCAATTCGCCATTTTGTAATGACGGGCACTACTCGCCTCGCAACTACAGCCGCAGCTGCATAGGAAGAATAGGATGAGATTATGTGGTCGGTCATTATCTCCGTCAATTCAGTTCTTCTCTTTCAGGCAATCACGCTAGGGGCTATTCCCAATCCTTCAATGATCTGTCCATCATCTGCATGGTAGACGTCGCTACGAGCCGAGCATGCGGACTGAGCAAGCCTAGGCCCGTCAATCAATCTATATCAGACGGCCTCGATTGTCGACAATGATGCTATTTTGTAAAAGAGTTATGTAAAAATTGAATTTGAAGCCGCTTAGCCAGCTAGCATAAAGAGCCGGGGTGTGCATTGGCGGAGATGGCGTATGGCGTGCATCTGGCCAGTCTTGGAGCAAGCACTGGCCAGCCGCTAGCGCCGATCGTGCGTCCGTCGTCGGAGCTCATAGGTACTACAACGTACGTTCTTCGTAGTCGGGAGGGGTCGAGGCTACCTTGGGGATGATTAGAGGAGATGACTCCGGATTGCATTAGCGATATGCAGCAAGAAGGACTAGTCATGGTGGCCGTCAGAATGATCCAATCACGACATTATTTGGAATTGCGCTAGATGAGCCCAGGGGAATTTGCCGTCACGCAAGCCTTTCACGAGCCGGTTAACACTGGCGTGCTCGGTACATGGAACGGTGGAATACTCTTGACAGTTTACGATCAGCGCCCGTAACGGGCTTAGCTCACGATAAAGATCGCTTGATAAGAAGAAGGAAAAAGTGGGTGAAGTTAGTCAATCCGGCCCGATGATTCAATTCCGGTTGCTAATTCCCTAATGATTGCGCCCCAAGATAAGCCTGGAATCTGGAACCTAGAACCTGGAACCTGAACTGGACACTCTTGGACGAGAGAGTTTCTGCTGCCTCTTGATATCGCCTTCTTCTCGTACCATCGGCTAATATTCTTGCAACATTTCCCCCCCTCTCTCTCTTCTCTCTTCTCTCTTCTCTTCCTCTTCCTCAATGCCTCATTCGCCCCGTTGCGTCATCCGCCGTTTTCACCAACGCCGCTGCATGCGCTAGTGGGCCGCAAATCCTCCGAACTTTTTGCGACTCGTCCATTCTAGCTTTCTGCGCGAACCTTGCCAATCAACCTCTGATGGGCGTGCTACAACCTCGTGGCCGTCGCGACTCGCGCGCCTCGATTCCGTCTCACCGCAATCGGGGATTCGACCGCGATCTCGACGTCGCCATTGCGCCAGAGTCCCTGGTGGAACACGCCAACGCTAACTTTGGCAGCTCCCCGGGGGCCGGCCTCGAGGCCTCGAGCTATAATGGCTCCAGTTTGAGAACCCCTAGTCGATCATTCTACCACCGCTCTTTTAATACACCTACTGGTAGGTACCGCCTCTCTAGCGCTCTTCAGAGCCAAAGCGCCTCATGCATAACGGGAAAAAGAAAAAAGTTAAAAAGCAAAAAAGAGAATTACGTTCTCCTGCAGCGCGATTTACTGACCATTTGTCGTGCTCCACAGACCCAGCCCACTATGCTTCGGATGGGCTCCGCGAACAAACGGCCGAACTAGCGACTTACGGTTTGTCGCTCAACAAAAAGCCCTCGCGTGGCAGGACCAGTTTACCTCCTGGTCTGGACATTTTCCGCAGCCAGCTTCAACATTCCCCGTCAACGTCGCATGATGAATTGGCGAGCTCCCATCCCACGGTTGGGGAAGACTCGTTAGATTCACATGCCGTACTCCTCGATCCAGCCGCTGCCTCTGCCTCTGCCTCGTCGGCCTTGACAGAGATGATCCGCCGGCCTGCTGCTGGCGTGGTCGACCACTATGCCAAGCCGATCGAAGACACGTCCTTTTCGCCGCTGTCGACGATCGACGATGAATCTGAAACCCGGGATACGGAACGCACCTCGTTGCTGTCGAAGACGCGATCCAAGTCTCTGCATCAGTATGGCTCAGTTGAAGATATTGAGAGTCAAAGAGGTGCCGCTCGGCGGGCATCGACTGCCTTTGCCAGCAGTATTTCAGCGGTGGGCAAATGGTCTCGTATCATATCCAACCCCAAGTCATGGGACCGGCGTGCCATTTGGCAAGAAGGCGTAGTATATCCAGCCAGTCTGATCCCTGCCGTGGTTCTGGGTCTTCTGCTCAACATCCTCGATGCCCTATCCTATGGAATGATTCTGTTTCCTCTGGGAGAACCGCTGTTCGCCCATCTCGGCGCCGACGGTATCTCAATGTTCTACGTCAGTACAATCATTTCCCAGGTGGTTTTTTCCTGCGGAGGCTCCATCTTCAAGGGCGGTATCGGTAGTGAAATGATCGAGGTGGTCCCTTTCTTCCACCAAATGGCATTCACAATCATGAACCGAGTAGGCAAAGAGAACCCGCAATCAGTCATTGCAACAACTATCCTTGCCTTCTCAGTCAGCTCCGTCCTCACCGGTCTGGTATTCTTCCTAATGGGCGTCTGCGGTCTGGGCTCGCTGATCGGGTTCTTCCCTCGCCATATTCTCATCGGCTGCATCGGTGGTGTGGGCTACTTTCTTCTCCAAACCGGAGTCGAAGTCTCTGCCCGGCTTCCCGGTTCTCTCGAATACAACGTCGCCACGCTGCAGAAGCTCTTCCAGCTCGACACCCTCCCCCTTTGGACGATACCCCTTTTTCTTGCGGTTGCTCTTCTCGTTTTGAAGCGTTTTATTCGGTCGAATTTCCTTGTCGGTGCTTACTTTATTGGTGTGGGTGCTGTGTTCTACATTGTTATTCTCAGTGCTCGGATTTCAATGGATACATTGCATCATAAGGGGTGGGTGTTTGATGCTCCGTCTTCTAACAATCCGTGGTACCACTTTTATACTCTCTATGGTAAGCGAATTACATTCCATTGTTCCGGATCTCAGAAAGCTGATATTGATCGTCAGACCTTTCCGCGGTCAATTGGACCGCCTTTGCCGACACTATCCCTGCAATGTTCGCGTTGACCTTCTTCGGTGTACTTCACGTGCCCATCAATGTCCCAGCATTGGGCATCTCGACTGGAGAAGACAACCTCAATGTAGACAGAGAGCTCATGGCACATGGTGTGACAAATGCCCTGTCTGGCTTCGCAGGCAGTATTCAGAACTACCTGGTTTACACCAACAGTCTTCTCTTCATCGCTAGCGGTGGTTCGTCGCGATTAGCTGGTCTTATGCTTGCTGCAGCCACGGCCGGGATTCTGGTCATTGGGCCGGTCATCATTGGCTTCATTCCGGTGATGGTCGTCGGTGCATTGATCTTTCTACTGGGAATTGAACTTTTGCAGGAAGCCTTGGTGGATACCTGGGGCAAACTTACGCGACTTGAATATCTGACGGTACGTGGATATATTAACTAAAGTTTTATCACCGAGCCTAGTCTAACTGTCACAGGTCTTTATTATTGTGGTGACTATGGGTGCCGTAGACTTTGTCATGGGAATCCTTGTTGGCATCATTCTCGCCTGCGTCAACTTTGTCGTTCAAACGTCTCGCAAGTCTGCCATCCGTGCGACCTTTTCTGGAGAGATTGCAGGATCCACCGTCCGTCGTCCACCTATTCAGCAAGAATTCCTGCATGAAGCAGGGCAGCAAACTCTCATCATGAAGCTTGGCGGTTACCTCTTTTTCGGAACCATCGTCAATGTTGAGAATACCATGCGGGGACTGATCGAAGAGGAAGCTTTCAATCGGCAACCCATTCGCTTCCTGATTCTAGATTTCTCTCGGGTCTACGGTCTCGACTTCTCCGCGGCCGAAGCGTTTACTCGCATCAATCGTGTACTTCGCAAACGCAATGTGCAAACTGCTATCTCCGGATTGAATGTGGAAGGTGAAGTGGGCAAGTCCCTTCAGAACGTTGGGCTCTTCGAGCCCGAATCCGGCGTGCCACTCTTCGAAGATCTCAACTCGGCTCTCGAATACTGCGAGAACGACTACCTCAAAGTCTTCTACAGTCGCCAGGAAGCCCTATCTCGCACGCCAATCGGGGCAACTACCCCTCAAGACACCACCAGCGACAACAACCTCCAAGTCCCCCTTCCCGTCCCACAGGTCCCCAGCGCCAGCCTTTCCGACAACATGGTCAGCTCCCCACGCGGCCAATACCTCCAGCGCGTAGCCACAACCACCCTCCGCGAACACGAACATGTAACCGCCCTAATGGCCGCCCCTGCCTGGTCCTCAATGCGCCAACCCCTCCCGCTCCTCCTCCAAACATTCCAAGGTCTATCCGCCCAAAATGAAGACTTCTGGTTCCCCGCCTGCGCATACTTCTCCCGTGAATCCTATCCAGCCGGTACAGTCCTCTATCACGAAGGCGACGTCCCCCGCGCCTTCTACCTTCTTGAATCCGGCATGCTGCGCGCAGAATACGATCTTCCACAGGGTCGGTACTTTGAGCTCGTCGTCGCTGGCCGACCGTGCGGTGAATTACCGTTCTTTAGTGACACGCGGCGTACGGCGACCGTCAAGTCAGAGCATGACTGTGTGGCGTGGTGTTTGAGTGATGAGCGGTGGAAGGCGTTGCAGGAGGAGGAGCCGAGGATTGCGAGGGAATTGCTGACTGTTAGCTTGAAGTTAACGACTGAGAGGATGGATAGTATTACCTCGTGAGTCTTTCCTTGATCGTTGGGATGTTTTTTGAAGATGATTATGCTAACTTTGACTGCAGATATGTGCTTACGATGGCTGCTTGATTGCATTTCTTGTACATTTTTGTTTTGCATCTATCCTCGGCGGTAATCTGAGCGAAATTATACCTTTGCTTGATCTTTAGCTTCCAGTTTCCCTCTCTCTTTACATGTGAAATGCGTACATAGCTGTTCCATACTTCCACCGCCATGCCAATTGGCCTACTATCGTCTCCATGGCACCTTTGCAATGCAAAACACATAACTAATGACATTCATCGAAATTGTTCACAACGCTAAATCTCAAATAAAAGACCACTGAACAAACAACAAATAAATGGATCTATCATTCGGCGACATCGCCGCTATTCGTTTAAACATCAATTCAACATCAAAATGGCCATATCTCGTAAAAATCCTTCATTATTTCCAACACAGGGCTTAGCACCCTCACAGACGAGACTTGACGGGCATGTGAAGCTCCGAATCAACCGACAACCCATCAGCAAGCAAACGCTTGTTATCGGGATCGTACAAGGGCTCAGTCGTGACGGTAGCCTTGATCCGGCGACCAAAGTACTCAATGTCAACGCTTGCGCCTTGGTCCAAGGTCCCAGGTAACCAGGCATACGCGACAGGCTTGCGAACTGTAAACCCAAACGCCGCGCTGGTCACATACCCAACAGCCCTGCCATTATAAAACACCGGCTCTTTACCGAGAATCATAGACCGGCCATCATTGACAGTCAGACAGCGTAGACGCCGGGAGGGTTTCTGCTTGACAGGGATATGCTCGAGGGCAGACTTTCCCACGTAATCCTCCCACTTGCTCACCCTGATTCCATTCGCCACGGCAGCTTCGTACGGGTTGTGCTCCGTGTTCATATCCGTGCCGTAGATGCGGTATCCCTTCTCCAGCCGCAGGGCATTGAAAGCAGCACGACCAGCAGCGATCAGGCCGTGGATCTTGCCAGCTTGGAAAATCGTATCCCAGAGGCGTTGACCGTATTCGGCCGTTGTCTGGAGTTCCCAGCCCAACTCGCCGACGTAGGACTTGCGGAAGGCTGTCACGGGGATACCACTGATGAGGGCTCGTTTCACGCCGAAATAGGGCAGACCCTTGTTGGAGAAGTCGTCCGTGGTGATTTCGTTGATGACGTCTCGGGCACGCGGGCCCCAAAGTCCGATGCAGCAGGTGCTGCCGGTGATTTCGCGGACTTGCACGAAGTCCTTCTTACTCTGGTGGCGGGCTTCGCGGGCGAGATAGGCTAGATCGGTGGCGGTGTTTGCGCCGATCTGGAAGAGGTTCTCTTCCAGTCTGGAAATGAAGATGTCGCTGCGGATACCGCCCTGGTCGTTTAGGAGGAGGGCATATGTAATGGTGCCGGGCTTGGTGTTGACGTCGGCTGTGCTGAGGCGCTGGAGGAGATCGAGGGCGCCGGGTCCGGAGACTTCGAATCGGTGGAAGGAGGTCATGTCGAACATGGCTACCGCGTTGCGTGTTTTCCATGCCTCGACTGCGACGATGGGGGAGTAGAACTGGGCTGACCAAGCATCGCGCTCGACTGGTTTCCACTTCGGTGGCAGGTAGTTGAGAAGTTCCTTGTTCGCTTCATACCAGAAAGGTCGCTCCCAGCCACCGAGCTCCAGGAAGTAAGCACCCAGCTCTTTCTGCCGAGCGTAGAATGGACTGGTCCGTAGCTGGCGGGGGGATTCTCTGGGTTGAGATGGATGCAGGATGTCGTAGATCTCGACAAAGTTCTGGGATGAGGTCTCTTCGATGTAGGACTGGCTTAGCTGGACTTCTTCAAAGCGAGACAGCTCGCACTCTGATATGTCGATCTGCGAGCGACCGGTGGTAAGGACCTCGGCGACGGCACGAGCAACACCTGCAGAGTGTGTAACCCACACTGCCTCGGCGACCCAGAATCCGTCCAGATTTGGTGCCTGTCCAACAATGGGTCCTCCATCGGGCGTAAACGAGAAGATGCCATTGAATCCGTCCGCGATTTCAGTCTCTTGTAGCATGGGCAACAGCCGTTGTGTTTCCTTCCAGGCAGGGTCAAAGTCTTCCGCAGTGAATTCGAGGCGGGATGGCATATTCTTTTCATCGACGTCCTTAGGGGTGAGACCTAGAGACGAAGCCTTAACGGGCATGGGTCGATGGCCATAGTACCCGATACCGTATTGGTCCCCGTGCTCGCGGTAGTATAGATCCTGGTCTTGGTGTCGTAAAATTGGGAGTTCGGCATTCTTTCCATTAATTTGTTTATTGAGCTCCCTGCCCACAAGAGATGGCACCGCCGTCGTTTTGGCGTACTGGTGAGCGAGCGGGAGTAAAGGAATGGACACGCCGACCATGGCGCCGAGTTCCACGCCCCAGAACCCAGCACAAGAAATAACAATATCAGCTTCGATAGTACCATTGGGTATCGTTACCCCGGTTACTTGACCATTTGCTTGCTTGATGCCCGTCACGGGTGTTGATTCGAGGTATTTGACACCAGCCTTGCGGGTGCGTTCAATGAGGAGCTGGGTTGCACGAGCGGCGAGCGCAAGGCCGTCACTAGGAATATGTAGACCCCCGAGCACGACATCCTTGTTCAAATGAGGGTACAATTTAAGACACTCCTCCGCATTCACGAGGCGAGCCTCAATGCCCCATGAGGAAGTATAACCATGCTTGCGCTTGAGGTCCTCAAGCCGTGCCGGCGTTGTTGCCACCTCGAGACCACCAACTTGATTGAAGCAGTTCTGGCCATCTTTCTCAATGGACTGGAGTTTCTCGACAGTGTATCGTGCAAAATGCGTCATCGTCTTGGAGGGAGTAGTCTGGAATACGAGGCCGGGGGCATGTGATGTGGATCCGCCGGGCATGTATAGCGGACCCTGCTCGACGACGGTGATATCCGTCCATCCGCGCGATAACAGCTCATCAGCGATGTTTGTGCCGACAATTCCGGCACCGATGATAACGACACGCTTTGTAGGTGACATGGTGAATGAGAGGGCGAATTAATCACGCTGCACGGAACTGCGGATGTTCTCGCTTTATGTATGTCTGGTCGGCAAAACAGCTAGATACTTAGGAGCTCCCCCGCAGGAGGGGGTTTCCGTCCCCGCAGATTGCGTATCGTGATGATATAGAAATGGATTCTAGTGAGGGAAAGCTATCCAGGCCCCGCATCGGCTCGGACGGTGCTCGGGGACGAGTACACCGGCAACGGATACAGGCTTCTGTTGCCCGGATGAGGGATGGCGAGATCTCCACAAGGTGCGATGTACCTTATCGAATTTCCTATATTCTGGTGAATGGCATGCACATCAAATAATGTTTCTCGCCCCAAACAGAAGAACCTCAATAATGTAGCTTTGAAACGACATACCCAAAGATCTCCAAGTAGACATGCGGCCAGTTCCTTCAAGCTCGGGCCCACCGAGGTATCTGGGGCATTGGATAAGGTTACCATTTTTGGGTCGATTCACACCCGTTGGGTCCAGACAATTGACATTACGATAGGCCATGATTGGCTATTGAATTACTGGCCGTGGAACGAGATCAAGTGATGACCCGCGAAAGGTCGGCGTGTCGGTTGGGAGCCGCTCACGTGCACGGATGAGCTTAATCGGATACGGTCCGCATATTCCATAGTCTATACCACATTTAATACCCGCGATCTAGGCTATGTATAGATCCGTTTGAAAATAGATCTCTATGTACATAGATGTAGCATGATCGCCCGGATATCGAGGAAGTGTGGATGAGCAGACTATCGCCGCAGTCTCTGTCCACAAGGTCGAAAGTTGATATTGTGGGAATTACCCTGTCAGCGCCAGCATGGGCTCCGAGTCATGGACGAGTGTTATTGTAACCTGGAGTGTTCTTTACATCTACTCTGATCGCAGTTTTCAAATGTTCATCGTGACGTTGATGAGATAACCAAAACGAGGTATCACATTGCTAGGTGACATGAGGCGCAACACGGCTGGTTTGAGATATCGGGCAGGTGGTGGCAAGTATCTACCATCTCGACATCCGGGAATGGCGTATAGTAAGTATTTCGGATTCAGTTTGACCTCTCACTCCGAACACTTGATTCCCGAAAACATATCCTGATTATGCGGGCTCCAATCAATTGTTATCTAAGCGTTGTGATATCGACCACTATTTACACTAATCCATGCATTATACAATACGACCCTTATACTGTAGGATCGGCCGTTTATGTATTTTACACGAAGGTAGCATACGCTACATTCTATCCCGTCTATCTTCCGGGACAATTAGCAGCTTCCTGCATAACAACATTGTAATACTATTGCCCAGGCGATACGGCTCTGAGATTCTGGTGTTCTAACCTTGCTTTTATCCGCGATATCATATCAAGAGAGTCATTCACCATATCTGACATGGCCGAAGGAGCTGAAAGTTTATAGAAAGCAGATCATTATCAGTACCCGTAACGACTTGGGACAATTCGGGGGTATACACGCACTAGAAACCCGAGTCAGACGGTGCCCCTAATGATAGTAACAAAGAGTGATCAATCATCGAAGAAACCTGGCCTCTACCTCGGCAAAATAGTTCTATTCTTTTGGGATAAAATGAATTTCAAGCTAAGATCACCATCTCCAGCATGAAGAAGCTTGGTCGTAGAGGATTAATATAAGAACTGCACGGAGATGAAATAACCAGATCAGCCTCCAAAAATCAAAAGCTATATATAGTAGCTAAGGCCCGGGTTACAGCCTTTCATTCATGATGCTATGTCACGAAACCAAAAATACCCCTATATGAATTTGTCAAGTACTCATTTGAGTACTCATCATACTTCTCACTTGTTATTATTGCGACTCCACGTGCGTTAAAATACCAACTGTTCTTGTAATACTTGTGCTATCTGGTGGTAAAGCGCCCGAAACTTCCGAAGCATTGGTGTCCCGCCGGATAGTTGTTCGGATCGTGGAGCTCCCTTGTGCGATATATATCCAGGTGTCTTCGACTGGCTCTGCACTCCGTGTTTCGACCCTTATCCTTTGTTCAGAGGTACGGGTTGCTCTGCTGCTCTGAGATTCGTGATCGAAGTGTCTGACAAAGGTCAAAAAGGCGGGTAGACATGTGCAGATAACTCCAATCGAGATTTCGGCATTTCCTAGCATGTTGATTCTCATGAAAGCAAGAGTAATATCCTTTGACTGTCCGGTAACGATAATAAGCACGAGGCGGATAATGCTGGCCAAAACAGCAAATCCACCTGCACCAAGGACCGCAGCGACCCTGATCTTTTTCTTCGTTGACATTTGTAGGTGCATGGTTAATAGTAGCGGTAAAATAAGAATAACAAAGTCGCTTGCCATGCTGATCACGGCGTCGGCTAGAATAATCGATCTCTGATCAAGACAGGTGCCATCGATATCAGTGTCCCAGAATCTAGCAATCGGATTGCAGATCCTGATCTTCACGACGAGAACTGGGATATAATAGGCAAGCATAATGCCTAAAAAGATATAGATCAAAATGACAACATTATGGACGGGACTGAAGACACGAGTCATAACCCATAATAGACACACCTTGGTCACATATGCGGTTGGTCCATACATGACCATTGTCACGTAGACGGTCTTATAAAACGGAACGTGGTCTTCGACAGGGACGTCGACGTAATGCAAGCCCCCTCCGTAATATCCCATAATGATAGAAATGACAGAATAGGAGACACCAAGGAACCATGCTATAGAGCATGCCCAATCCTCCTTTTCAAAACCACGGACCATGAAAAGCCGGGTATATAGGCGAATACCAAAGAAGGCACACATCCCAAAGATGCATAATGACTGGCACACGTAATTCCAGGTCTGCACACTCCGATCAATAGGCGTATCCCAGTTCTCGCGTTGTGAAAACGTTCGAGACAATCGCATTTTGGACGGCGAGGTGACCAGAATCGAGAGGTTATGTGGCTCAACTCCGCGGAGGAGCATTAACTATATAGTCCGAACTTTGGGCTATCTATATTACGTCATCATTTTCCCAGCGCTGATTTTTTCTTCCCAAGCTAAAAATGATGCTTATGATGAAGCATAGATCTTGAATGGCCGGTCAGCCTCCAAAGTTCGATGTTTCTGTCACTCAGCTATTGAAGGCAGTAGGATCGAGACGACAGAAGAGTAGGCGAAGTGGGGCTTCAAGGGCCAATTTCAAAGAACCGAAGAGAATAAACATGTTTTCAGATTTTCAAATTCTATAATTGCCTATCGGAACATGCTGGACGAGTATAGCTCCGTACTTCTGGTAGGCGAAAGAGATGGTAACAGGCTCAAGAGAAAACAATCTTCGATGCAAAAAGGTTGACGGATTCTGAATGAATCTCATGGGGCGGAGGAGAGTACTCGATCCAGCTTGGGTGGTGACGGCAATCAGAATGCCAAGAATAAGAACACCAAAGAGGGTCAATGAATAAAACTGCCATGTGTGTGGTAGTTTACTCCATAAATTTACCAAGTGGTTGTTGGGGGCTCGATGTACAGTTACAATATTATAACAACACCGTTCGTTCTTGGACGAGGCATGGTCACGACCACCATACCTCTTTCTGCCCAGAGAGACAAAGCGGTGACCCTAAACAGGACAAGTGTGGGTTGTATTAATTTTCCAGGGACCGAGTCCAGAGGCATCGCGATATGGTATTCGCGAACACTACAGGAACAATACGGACTGCAGAATGTTGACCAGGCAAGGTAACAAACACGAGAGGGTGGCAAAACCACAGGTATGAGTGCATCAGGGGTGTTGTTTTTCAACTACTGATCTCTTCTCCAAACACGGGTCATTGACCCAATGAGTGATGAAAAGAAGATGATATCCACGGGGTGGAAAGTGCCAAAGAATACGCCTGTCAATGACCCGAAGGCCGTTGAACAAACTGTTCCGCCGCGCTGTGCAATGCAGGGACCAATCTGTGGTGGGCCGCCTTCATGATCGCGGCCACCCAAACAAGGTAAGTATGAAGAAGAAAAAAAAAAGAGGTGGAAGGTCGGGGACAGGAGGAGATATTTAAGCAAAAATTTGGAGCTACGCTAGTCCTAAGCGAGGCACGCTAGTTCTAAGCGAGAAGCAGACAAACATCATGTGATTGATCAAAACAGCAAACATACCAATCGTCCATCACGTGATCTTACATGTGACTCATCCTCTGCTTTGTTGGAACCTGAGGTATGAAAGCGTCAGGGCTTCGTAGCGTTGAGCCTTCAGGGGAAGGGGGGGTTGGTGGTGAGCTGTCACCTCCGACTCGTGTTCCTTGCATTCTGGAATTTATAACATTGACGATCCTCGACGCGTGGGAAGATTCCATCCAATGATTCTTATGGACTCTCCCAATAATTGGACTCCTTTTACACCAAGATGCAATGAAAAACCAAGTGGATGCCTCCAGGTACGAGCTTGTGTGGATCCCTTCCCTCCCCTATTTCCCAGTGTCCCACTGGACAGCAACTTCGTCCCGGGGTCCTCGCGCTCAAGGCCGTATGGTGTACGGAGGAGTCCGTGATGTGGATTTTTTTTTTCTTCCCTTTGTGTTGGTCGAGGTCAGTGCATCAATTGAATTCAAATCCTCCTTTGATTTGCGTGTGCCCAAATTTCCAATTTGCCTGCAATCTCTGTCTTGCGCACTCTATACTTTGTGCTCCGTACGGGCCCAGTAGACTCTCGGACGAGGTCCGTCGGACAGCCACTGCTACGAGCCTAGTACGGAGTACGTCTCGTTGAATTTTCCTAGTTCTCATCTTAATTTACCTGCAAAATTTGGCAATTTTTCTCAAACAAAGTAGATTGTCGGGCGAGACGAATCCACCCACCAGGCACACGTAGCGAACGAGCGCGCATCCTCATCAAAGGGTGCCATGGTTAATGGAGGCTCGATGGCCAGGCTAGTGGACGCTAGAATCGACCGGACCTCGTTCGGCGTAGAGCTTAGATAGACAAGAGAGTTTCACACGAGCTTTGTGGTGTCTGGTTGCCGGGTGCGCGCTCACCGCATTGTTCAGCAACGTTGTCGAACTTGGCCTCGTTAGTAGTCGGAAGCTCGGTATGATTGTTCGAAATCTGGGTGGGCTTGGCAAGGCTTCCGAAATATTGGGGATTTTCGGGATCTTCGTACGTTTTTCCGTTTATCTGCTCTGCATGGCCTGCACAATTATTGAAGGACTAAAGAGTACCATGCACAGAATTTCCCGCATTCGAGGTATAGAGTCTGTATGATAATCTAGTCGCATTACTCCGTACATACTCCACACGTAACAAGAAGGTTACCGTCCCGCGCATGGCAGCTGCAGGCCAGCGACCGCTAAGGAAACGGCTCGCCAATTTCTAGGCGGAATATGGGCGGGATGAGCAGATGGGATGCTTGGCCCTGACGGGTAAGCAAAAACAAACAGGTCAGAGGTCGAAAAGGGGCAGATGGATCGTGCCATTGGCTCGAGAGCTTCGTAAGTGGATCGGCCGTGTGGGCTATCATTACTGAAAATGTTCCGATGGTCACATCCTGGCAGCACCGGGACTCTCCTGATCATCATCATTGATAGACGGCGAGCGGCCGGGCTATTCTGAAATTCGGGTGTTTCAAAGGCCTCCGAGGGGAAGAAAACCTACAGTCTCAGGTGATAGACGCAAGACACAATCACTACATTTGTGAAACCACTAGACACCGTGGTCGCGGTGATGCAGAGACTGTCGGGAGCTGTTGGCCTGGGAGTAGATAGGGGGGTAGGGCTGCCAGCCACCACAGTCGATGGCTTAAGACACGGGACCACCAAGTGGGGCTCGTCGCTAGGAGTCGTTAGCTGGCGGTTTAGTTCGTTTCCCTCGTTGTTAGTCTCGGGACTGGACCACGAAGACTGAGGAAGAAATTTCGGGAGTTTAAGAAAATAGGAAAATCATAATGGAGGCTAAGGGAGGTAAATTAGGGGGCTTCTACAGTACGGAGTAGATTACCTACTCGAGATGGGAGGTGGAGTCACGGTGAGAATCGTACCAGGGAGAAGTACATACAGTACCGAGGACATATACAGTAGTACATCCGTATCCGTACATAGTCCGTCTTGGGGACTTGATAGGATACATAGGATGAGAATGCAAGTTAATACGAGAATAACATCGAAGAAGTGCAAAGCAAAGGAGAATACCCAGTACCAATGAAAGAATGAGACCTGGACCCCGATTAACTGCACATGGACGTTTTGACTTTCGGAGTCGGGATCATGGGGTCCATCTGCTATCGCCATTTCGTGATTGCCTGCGCCAGCCGCAACGGTCCTGCAAACTGTTTCGCCAGTGATAGGGTAAAGGTTGTCCGAGAACAACTAGATATGACGACAAGGAGAAGAGCTCTAAGGGAGAGGGGGGTTGTTATGCAACGGCCACTGGTTGGCCACGAGGATTCGCACGCCACTCATCTCGTCGTGTCGGTCATGGGATTTCGCACCGCCCACAATGCAAAGATGGGCCACTAGGATAGAAGCCTACCATACGGTGCCGGGTCGCGATCGACGCCATGCGAGCGAATCCGACAAGCGCTCGACCCTGGATCAGCACCATGCAGCAGTGAGGACGGAGGAGTTCTATGGTTTCATGCCGAGCTGGGAATGAATGATTGGCCTGGTTGGTTCTGGTGCTTTTGGTGCCCGAGTGGACGGGCCAGATTCTGTCCTCTTTGTACGGTCCCTTCGATTTTGTTCCCCCTCCTGCTCCTGTTTTGCTCGGGATAGAGGGGGCTCATCGAGCCTTGCCGGAGGCATACAAAAGTAAAATCCTACGGTCCTCACTTGACTCAAGACAGTTGGGGGTTTGAAGGAGCTGATTGGTCCCCGAACGATACACAGACTGTACAGACGGACTTGGCCCCCTCCCCCTCCCTCTCGAACCGTGTAACGAGTATTGTTAACGGGCGGTCCACCGTGCAATCATGGCAGAATAGACTGAAGAAATGAAGTGGTCCAAGGGATAATATATAGCAATCATTTAAATGAGTTCCATCATACTCATCGCTTTGCAGATATTCAAGTTGTGGCGAGATAAAAGAAGCAGATTGGTCGCGTGGGCAGGCGATACGGCTCATCCATAAGTCCTGCAAATTTTATCTACATTGGGATACTATCTAGGTAAATTAGTCGAGATTGGTTCGTTTCCGCAGGAAGCGGGTCCGAGCTGCACGGGTCAATTAGGGGCTACATTAGGGGGACCGTTGTCCAGCTGCATGGACGATCTTAGAGGGAAGCGCTATTGGGCCATTGGTCTCTTGGACCATGGAGCTATCAGCTCATAGGACAAAACCCAGAATACGGAGTGGTGTGATCATGATCAACCTTGTTACTTGATTTTTTTTGAGGCAGTAAATTTTCTTAAAAATTCTCCAAAATTCTATGAATTCTACTAGTCTGGTTTATGGGCCTCATGTTGTTTCAATATGACACCAGTATGGAGTGGATGGTGGAAGAACTGGTGGCGCTGTCCATCCTTGGAGGGGCTCTTGATAGTATCGCTATCCATTCATCAGGCTTTGTTTCAGCTTGCCAGGATGGTGTATTTTCTCCTATGGTAATCTTGGGAGTAGGGGAAGCTAGTTCAGTCAAAGGTCAATGAAAAAGTGTATACCTCTGGATTGCGTTAGCGTCCCCTGAAAGGAAAACTTACCTAATCCACCCAGTCCCCACCCCAGCGTCTGGGCTCCCTGCAGCTCCTTTCCAAAAGTGGCTGAGAGCGCCATCAACACAAGCGCTGGTCACACCCCATGCCGCTTCTCTTTTTTTTCGCCCTTTCCTCCCTTTTTTTCTCCTTTCCTTCTTTCCCCTCCTTCCTTCCAAAGCTCAATACCCCCCCTTTCCTACTTTGTTCGTGATACCCAAGCTCTTTCTAAGAGCTCTTATTTCTTTGCTTTCCAAGATACCCATATACCCCCAAAACGCTTTTTCTCTTCGAAGCTCTGCTTCTTAATCGATACCCCATCCCGACACCTTTTCGGTCTAATAACTTTTAATCATGTCTGAGATTCAGAAGCCCGTTGAGGAGACCCCCGTGGTCGTTCCCGCTGCCGAGCCCGTTGTTGAGGCTCCTGCTGCCACTGAGGCTGCTGTTGAGGCTCCCAAGGAGGAGGAGGTGAAGGAGACTCCCGCTGAGGAGACCACTGCCACTCCTGAGATCGCTGAGACCACTGAGGCTGCCAAGGAGGAGGTCAAGCCTGCCACTGACGGCACCCTCGGCTACAAGGCCCCCGGTCTGGTCAAGTAAGTCGAAAATGCGACACGAGGTTGCGACAGCATTATACCATGGAGCTGATAAGGATTTTTTTCTTCTTTAGGAGCCTGCGCTTCGCTAAGCGTTTCTTCTACTTCAACGACAAGGCCCTTGAGGCCAAGCAGCTGTCTTCCTTCCACCAGAACGAGAAGCCCGCCGTTGCCAACCCTATCGCCGCCTGGGCCAGCCAGACCGGCAAGGGTCTGCTCTTCATCACCAAGCGCGCCGAGGACAAGGCTCACCCCAGCCACATCATCAACCTGGTAAGTTGCGCACAGTTTACAAAATAGACCACGAATGTAAGCTAACCTTTACATCTAGGCCGAAGTCTCCGATGTGACCAAGGAGGGCTCTAACGAGTTCCAGTTCAAGATCGCTGGCCAGAAGCACACCTTCCAGGCCTCCAGCGCCGCTGAGCGCGACAGCTGGGTTGTCGCCATCGAGGCCAAGGCTACCGAGGCTAAGGCTGAGAAGGAGACCATCACCTCCAGCGAGGGCTACAAGGCTGAGCTCGAGAAGCTGACCAAGCCCGTCGCCGTTGCTGCTGTCGCCACCAAGAAGCCCGAGGAGAAGAAGGAGGAAACCGCCGCTCCCAAGGAGACTGAGGAGGCTGCTCCTAAGGAGGAGAAGAAGGAGACCGCCAAGTCTCGCTCCCAGTCTCGCAAGCGCTCCAGCATCTTCGGCTCTCTCCTTGGCAAGAAGGAGGACGCTGAGGAGAAGAAGCCCGAGGCGAAGGAGGAGACCGCTGAGGAGACCCAGCCCGCCGAGACTGTTGCTCCCGTTGCCGAGCCCGTTGCTGAGGTTGCTGCTGAGCCTGCTGTTGCCACTGAGGGTATGTTTTTTCTTATTGGATGAAAATATTGGCATATACACCAACAGTTTACTAACATTGAAGCTAGCTGCTGCCCCTGCTGAGATCTCTGAGGACAAGGCTGTCGAGGAGCCCAAGGAGGAGAAGAAGGAAGAGAAGAAGAACAAGCGCGCCTCCATCTTCGGCAACTTCTTCCAGAAGGTCACCAGCCCCGCTCACGAGAAGTCTGAGAAGGAGGCCACCGCCCCCGTTGAGGAGACCACCGTCGCCAGCACTGCTCCCCAGCTCGAGAACCCCGTCGAGGAGGCCGCTGTCAAGCCTATTGAGCCCGAGACCGTGACCGCCGCTGCCGACGCTGAGGTCGCCAAGGCCACCGAGGAGGTCCCCGCCGCCGCCGAGGTCACCACCCCCAAGGACAAGCGTCGCACCTCTTTCTTCGGCAACTTCGGCAAGAAGGAGAAGAAGGCTGATACCTCCGACAACGAGGCCACTGATGGCGAGAGCAAGGCCAAGTCCTCCAAGCTTGGTGGTCTGTTCCGCAAGCCCAGCAAGGCCGTGAAGCTCGACAAGGAGGAGACTCCTGCCGCCGAGACCGAGGCCAAGGCTGAGGAGACCACCGAGGCTGCCGTTGCCGAGACCACTGCCCCCGCCCAGGAGACCGCCGCCCCTGCCGTCGTGGAGGTTGCTCAGCCCGTCGAAACCACCACCGAGGAGGCCAAGAACGTCAACCTCACCACCGCCGCCCCTGTCCAGGCTGCTGCTTGAACTGCGTCTCCGCGACGCGTGGAGTTTGAACGCTGATGGGATCCCTCCTATTCCTCGTTCACCCACCCTATCCCTGATGGCCTCGATTAATCCCCTGGTGGGGACCCCTTGAGTGCCTGACGGATGCAAATACGGAATTGATACCATTCTGCTGCGCAGTTTTCTTGTGTTGCTTTGCTTTGTTGTGCTTTTGCCTCGCCACTGTCACTCTTTCGGCCATTGATTGTCTGATCTTGCCGGGACATTAATGATCCGAATTGGGTGCCAATGAGATACCCGCCGTCGTTGCTTTATATTTGAATTTCTTTTGCTCTTGTCCATCCCCAAAAAAACCACCAAGCGCTCAATAATTTCTCTCGGCGCCCCTGGCTTATATGCCGGGGGCCGTTCATTCCTTATTATGACCTTGGCGTCCCGCAACCGAGATTCGATTCGCGACGTGCTTATGCGTTACGTGGTGTGTCGCCTTACTAGATTGATACCACTTTGCTTTCGTGCGCTTTGGCTTTCTCGCTTCGATACCCTCTGAGGAGGAAGGGTTGCTTTGATTTACTTGTGGGACGGTAGGAAATGTGGAACTGTCTTGTTTTGTCTCGTCGTGTCTGCAATTCAGAATGCCGCCTCGTTTCCTGCTCTATCATGTTGTTTTTGAGGCTTCCCCCCTCTTACCGTTGTTTACCGTTGTTTCCCGTCTCACGCGGTTTTCCTTACTCCGATGCTTCGTGGATGTGGCACATACTGCAATAGGTAATACTTAATAGAATCGTCTCAGTTTTGCTTTAACAGCTTTGCACCGTGTCGGCATAGAATTTCCGTAAATGTATCTTGCTATTGTCCTTTCAGGAATGTCGCAAGTCTCTTGCCCTCGTCATGAAATATGAAGAGTGTGCATTATAGCTCGGGTACATCATTCTATAGGAATGGGTCTTATGTGCGTGGGTGGAAACCACCCCATCTGCAGACCATTATGCAAGCCATCCAGGGCTCCATCGAGATGCATTGGTCGCCGAGTGCGGCTCTCAACGGGAAGACCCCCGAGAGAATCTAGTGTCGGCCACTATTCCGCACTGAGGCCAGAGTAGAGTGATTATGAGACCGTGCCCACAGAATTGGAAGCTGTTTCCGTGTAGATTCTGGATCCCAGGGGTTTTGTATTAGATTTACATGGATCATGTTTGGTGTGAGATCATAGATGAGTTAATCGGCTTATGGAGTACAGAATGGATCCTTTGGATCCTTTGCTGTCCAACCCAGAGTACTGCAGATCTCTCTCGGCCAACCACATTGGATGCCGACTTCGGCTCGTGCTCGCCGATTATCACCTGCACCGTGACAGCGGAAGCTTCAGGCTTCAATTATAATGCCTGGAGTCTTAAGGCTCCCGAAATCAATAAAGTCTAGTCTAGGTCTAGGCCTAGGTCTAGCTCCCGTCATCAATATTCGTTTAATTCTGGTTCGTGCGAAGGAAAAGTAGATTTATTCCATTTCATGGTACTTGTATATCTCCCGGATGTCGGCCCCTTGATTTAGTTGGTTCGATTTACAGTATGTAATATGTTCAATCATAATTATTGCATGGACCACCGAGTCCACATCGGACACATGAAAGAGGACTAGATCGTTTGCCAGAACCACGGGGCCAGCAGTCACTTTTGGGGGTCTCGGAGCGAGAGAACCCCCCGAGGATGTGCCAAGAGTTCTAGTTCTCGACTGCGAGATTTTTCTCTTTCTCTCTCTTTTGCTTGACTCGTTGTGGGGTAATACACCATTTCGACGGGGTGTGCTGGTGCGGTGTCGGTTGGCTTTGGTGGATCAAGAGGGACAGAGAGGGTGTGTCCGGGGACGGAGCGAGGACGGAGTTGGTATCCGTGTCTGGGGATCAAGTTACATGATGATAGGAATGATAACGGTCGTATACGGATACTGCGATTCAAACAACCGAGGCAGTCATTGTATTATAGGGGGGGGGTTGCAGATGTACCATGCTGCAGTGGTACTCTGCATATGAAATCAAAAGAACAAGAAATCGGTCGCTTCATTCCGTGTCCATGTAAAACCCACGGATGGATCAGACGTAGTGTGTGCAGCAAAGTCAATTTTCACGCCCTTCGGCAAGGCTAACGTGAAAATGGGCAGAGTAGGGACCACACGGACCAGCACGATGCCCGGCACAGCCCACCGCGGGGAGGCAATTGGGAAAGGATCGGTGGGTCTCTCCTAACCCTTTTTGCGCGGAGTGGGAGAGTCGGAGGGGCACGCCTGTTGTCTCCGAGAGGGAACACGAGGCATTGAATTTTGGATTACCAATGCTGGCATTCACATTCTTGCCGGCGCCCCGGTGTATACGAGGCGGGGAAGTTGTGGCCTAGTCATGGCAAATGTCGATGTGACTTGTAATCTGCCAAGTTGATTGTCGTAGGGTACTGTGACGGTTAGATGGTTTGTGTCTTTGAACCTCATTTGGGCCAGCCTGGGCAAGGGGAGTGCTTCTTTTTTTCTTTCTTTTTTTCCGAAACGACGCCAACAACGTTTGTAACGGAACGGATAGTGCGGATGCCTGGACCGTCAGAACTGGGGCGAGAGAGGAATGGTGATTGGACAATGGGGAAGGCAACAGGAATGGCTGACGGAGAGGTACATGAACGGTACCTGGCCGAAGAGGCTGAGAGTTGGACATCCAGTATGAAAACGTCATCGAACGGGGAAGTGTAAGCCGTCTGGAAAGTACATTCGAAGTACCCGCAAACTTCCGCTAAAGGGAGCGTCTGGGCCTAGCAGCCAATCAGAACGGACCATTAGGGTGTGACTCACACCCCGTGACTTCCAGGCTCGACTAAGCCCCGTGCAGATGCGATCGCTGATTGGCTCTTGGCCCAACCCGAGTGGATCCTCCCACACAGCCAAACCAGGTCGCCGCTTAAGAAGTGCCTGAGTCCCCAGTCGGTGCCTGTTTTTTTTCTTCTCTTCCTCTCTATTCACTTTTGAACCCTCCAAATCACTGCCATCACACTCCATATTATCCACCATTCTACCTCTATCTGACCAGCCATTTGAATCTCCACTGATCCAAAATGGGTGCTTTCTAAGCTCCTCGTCTCGAAAGATCTCGTCTTTCTCCGTTGAGAACGACACCATTCCTCCTCACGGAACCCCGTCTTTTTTCTCCCCTCAACAACCTTCTTCAGAGTCTCCTTCCCAAGGACCTCTGAACTTCAGCATCGCATCGCGTAGCTCAAGTTCTCCCCAAATTACTATTTCCCCGATCGACATTTCGTCGTTCACTACGGATCACTCCCAGCAATCATGGCTTCCCACGCCCCCGCTCACACAGCCATTGGCTTCCAATTCGATCAACAGCAACAGCAACAACAACAGTGCGCTACAGGACTTTGTGCTCTATCCAACCCCACCAGCTCCTCATCCGCAGCCTCATCCACGAGACTCGCGCTTGTCAGCTCCCTCGAGCACTACCCTTAGACCGTCTGCTCTTCAGCCTTTCTTGGCTCAGAACAATCCTAGAAGACATTCTTTCAGTCTGCAGTTGCAACGCCACCTCCAGCAACAGTTCTCTGGCTCGCCTATCCCAGACCCCAGAGTGACCAAGCTTGCCCGGTCCCCTTCTCACTGGTCTTATTCCAATTCCATCGCGCACACCCCGCAGCATCACGCCGCTTCCGTGCCCTCACGTTCCCCTCACCGTCCCCCAGTCCCCCAGTTTTCCACCACGCACAAGATTCTGCCTACGCGCACCTCCCGTCGCAATATGTCTACTCCCAACTTCTCAGGTAATACTTCCACACTCCTGCCACAGTCTTCTTCCAACGTCCCCGCTCACACATCATCTTCAGACCACGACGCTGAGCTCTTCGGCCTTCCCTCGGCCGGCTTCACCGGCGGCATGGGTTCGCCGTTTGAACTTGGCCTTCCACTGGAGTCCGACTCCGGTGCTTTCTCTCCTGCTCCTCAGGGAACAGTCTCGCCGAAAGATCTCATGAACGAGGGCGCATCTTTCCCTCCCTCTGCGACCTGGACCGATCTCAGCACCCCGTCCTTCGAGTCTCCCGAAGCAACCTTTAGCTCCAACACTTCGCCTCTGTTCACCGAAATGGACGCGTTCAGCCAATCTGCCTGGCCCTCTCTCTTCGAGGGTGACGAGGTCTCCATGGATGCGCTTAGCAACTTTGGGCTCCCATCTGTGGAGAAGCCTGTTAAGCAAGAGATGGTTCACCCCATTGTTTCCGTCCCCGCACAGCCTCAGCGTCTCTCCACCCCGTCGGTCTCGTCGCCAATCTCGGCCACCGGAGGTGCTAAGCCCTCCAGCGTTGCAGGCATCAGCCGGTCTCGCAAGGAGCTTTCGCCCATTGCCTTCGACCCCACTGACCCTGTTGCTGCTAAGCGTGCTCGTAACACTGAGGCAGCTCGCAAGTCTCGTGCCAAGAAGCTTCAGCGCCAGATGTCCGCCGAGGCTCAGATTGCTGATCTAAGACGCCAGCTCGAAGAGTCCAGAGCTGAGAATGCCAAGCTCAAGGCTCAGCTGCAGACCCAGCAGCAATTTGCCTGAATGAACTTGAGCTAATCTCGTTGCTACATTGCCGTATATTTCGGGAGTTTTTTTTTTCTTACTTTCGTGGTTTTCCTCTTTTCTCAAAACTGGTGTGCTGTGGTGGGCGTGGGTGATGGGTCAAGCCATTAACCCCCGACGTCCCACCGAGAATTGCAGAGTACCGTGTCCTGCATTCTCCTAAAAGTTACGACATGACTCGGGACGTCTCGAATATTGTCATTCTCATTTTATCTTGTTTTCACTGTCCCTTTTTTCTGTTATCTTGGCCGGTTCTGACTGTCTCGCCTACGATGGCGATCGACTCGTGGCTCGTTTTGTTTTAATTTTGTTATAATCAATCAATTTTGTACTCCCGCATTACTTGGACTCTCTAAATTGGTTTACCGTAGTCAACTAAAGATTGTAAATGACTATTTCAATAACGTGGCTGTCGATCATTTAGGTATTACACGTGGTCCCGGTGTATGTCTTTTTGAGCTGATATGTGTTGACGTTGACGGGACTGTTTCCCCGAGGATTGTAGCGTGCACATCTCAGAATTCGGAAATTATGTGCTCGAGTCTATGTGCGTCACGATGATATGTACTGCAAATTTGGCTATTATGCGTATGTCGCAATAATTATCTTTTTCAATAGCTGCCCCTCAAGACTTGTGATTACATCCCCACCTCGGTCGACTACCTAAGTGACCGCCCGATCATGGATCATGCTATCCTAATTAGACATTTTGTGAAGTCTGATTTGACTTTCGATGAAATCTTATTAGATTCTGGATGAAACCTATCTAGAGAATTGGTTCAAAGGCACACACTCCGTATCCAGCTCAGACTTGCCTTTTATACCCCTCATTAACACCATCCTTTCCTCCATCCGTAGTCAACCAACCCTCCCATATACTCTAGATCTTGGGGCTTTGTCCGGGAGGACAACACGTAGGACCGCAGCAGCCATGCCACCCATCCCGAGCTACACGCCGTCTAGGGACTGCGGTTGCTCTGGGTAGGAAGCGGGGCAGTGGGTATGTGAGAAGCGCCCTTGAAAGAACAAGAGTATGGAGGGAGGGAGGCTGGGCTGGACTTCTGGAGATCAGAAGGTGGATGGGATGGGGTTTCAGAAGTATCTGATTCCATATTTTTGTCATCATCGCTGGATTTTGCGGGATTGTGTGCTTGAGCAGTCATGATCACGCTCGCTTTCGGGGGAATTGGTGCTCGGGAGAGAGGAATAAGAAGAAAAAAGGATGGCGCACGTACAAAGGATCAGAAGCCTTTGCCATGGCCAGCGCAGCAGGATATCATCAAAGACAAGGAGCAGAAAGGATCATCAACTCAACGCATCAGTCCCCTTCGTCCTCCCCTTTTCCATCTTCGCCGTCCGCGCGCCAAACTGAATTGCCCTCTTCTTCTCCTTTGAAACGGAGACCAACCCCAGTCGAAGCGCTACAAGCCGCAGTGCCATCTTCTCCATATCAATACCCTCAAGATGACGAGCCTCATCTTCGCTCTGCGGCTCAGCCAGCCCGAACCCACATTTTTCCCACACTGGTGCCTGCAGCACCCACGCGACAAATTCCTCATCCAGGTATGGGAACCGGGTTTCTCGTCCCCAGTGCGAGAGAACGCGGTCATCGCGGCCGAGGTTGCGCTGTCCGAGTCGGCTCACATCTAACTGGATTTCGGCGATAAGCCCTGGGAAGCCGCCGCGCGAGAAAGCTACCCCGTGACGGCCGTACCCGGCGAAGAGCTCGTCTGCACCGAGACCAGAGAGAAGAACGCGAGCGGTGGTGGTGTATGGAGATGGGGTGGGTTCGGAGACAGTGCCTTGGCCACGCGAGGCAAAGTACAACGCGCAGGCGATGGAGAGATCCATCTCCGTGTTGTGCGGCCTCATGAGCCGCTTGACAGAGTCACGATGTGCCAGGGTTTCGCTGTAAGGTATGTCGATGGCGACAAAGCGCCATACCCGGCCTGGACAGATCCCTCGCAGTTCGGCGTGTGCTGAGCGGCCGGTGATTCGGTCCGGACATGCTTCATAAAAAGAAGTTGGTTCTGTTGAAGGTGATGTAGATGAGTTTTGTTGTTTGGAGGTGGCTGCTGCTGCGGCTGCAACGCGTGGATTTTCAAATGCAACATTGAGTAGATCGATAGGCTCGTTGATTGGGAGGATGTCGTGGGCCAGGCGGGCGAGGAGTGTGCAGTCTAGACCGCCGGAGAAGAGGACTGCAATCTTGGCGCTTTCGCCTTGTATGTAGTTGGGTGGTGCGGGTACATCTTCAATTCTGAGGGTGAGAGACTGGTGCAGTTTGGATTGGAGATCCTTGACGAAAGGCGTCTCTAGTCCTAGAGCCGGAGGTTGCTCCTCTGGGCTAGACGTGTTCATAGGGGGAATGGGGGTTTTCTAGGGATTTTAGCATTGGCCATTGTTGTACTTTGGTCGACTGCTTTTAGACTCACTATATGACCTGCAGGGGGGGACGAATCCGGACTCCAGGGCAAAACGTCAATCTTATAGGGCTCTGCAGAGTCCACAGACGTATCTTGATATTTCTCAAGGTCAATCATATAGACACCTTCGAACGCAACTTCTTGGAAATGTGTCGAGGATGATCCGTCACATATGCTGCAGATTTTCAGGCTGCCATCGTCATCCACGCCGCGCAGGAGTGATCTCCTACCGAGACAATCTCTGGAAAAGAAGACTCGCCCATGCACGGCATCGTAGAAGACAAATGCAAACGGACCTGAGATACTTGCAACTGCACGCGCAAAGTTCTCAATAGCCTGGTCGGCATCGCCCGCCATAGCTTGGAGGAATCGATCAAAGACAAGTTCTGTATCATTGCCCGAGACCCGCTCGTTAGCAATCTTCCAGGCTTCCCCATTCCAGCAGAGCATAGACTGGGTTGACGAGTCTACAAGGGGCTGCTTGTATACATGATCACCTCGAAGTGATAGCACTGTCGAGATGAACGTCAGGTACAGGGTTATTGGCGAGGACACTCCATCTTGTGCCGGGACCTCCCGTTGAACTGTGTGCATCTGACTGCTATCAGGGCCGCGTTGTATCAGTAGAGACTTGGTTTCCGAATTTGGTACAGTGGGCCTCCTTGACAAGGAAAAAAAGATCCCACACATGATAGAGTGGCGTGGGAGCAATGGAGGCGTGCCGAGTGTTGGGATGTGAATTCGAGTGTTTTTATGCCACGATTCAGGCCTGAGGCTACAGGATTAGTCACCCATATATTTCCGGCCGCGGGGTTAGCTCTTAAGAAGCTCTAGGTATAATTAAGACATGACAGCAAACCCTATAGTAATAGTTGCAAAGCCATGGCTCTCATTTTTACAATAGAATCTGTAGAAATGTCTTAATTATCGACCATGTTTAACTCGTCGTTGCTGTTGTAGTACATCATGACAGAGGCCTCGTGCATCGGCGGCCTCGGCTGAACCAATGATCCGCGCATCAACATGCGAGCCTTGACACTCCTACAACTCTGATCGTGATACCCCTGAAGGCATTTACGTGGCCTGCATGCTGATTTAGCTCATGTCGGCCACTGAACCGCTGTCCCATTCGGATACTGGGGGAAAGGGGGACCAGCCGGCCCACGAGGAGCCCGACAGCCCAACGCCCCCAACCGACCTCTCCGAGACACAGCATGACCCCTCGACCGAGAGCTCAAAACAAGCCGAGATGAGCACAGAACAGCATGCGGAGTCGAGAATCCCTGCTGGACCAATCGATGCCGAGAACAACACGGCGGCAGTATCTGCACCTCCAGTAGCAGCCCCGTCTCATCCGGACCGGCTTGCGGAACAGGTCGAAGCGCTGTCACTGTCAATCAAGATACCCGAGTCTGAGCTGTCCTCGACGACCATTACTCCTCCCCCTCCTCCGCCGCCCGAGAAAGACGACTCCTATGTTAACTCGAACCCCACCGTCCCCGCCACCACCGCTAGCGCACCCAACTCCGGCCCAAGCTCTGAGAAGGAGCTCCCAAATGTACCCGGCGAGAGCGACTCGGAACCCAACCAAACCGCCCGAAAGAACGGAGCTCGAGATGACAATGATTCCCAGCCGGAGATTCAGAATATCATGGGCCAGTTCCAGGATCCTGCAAGAACCACAGGCCAGCAGGAGATAATGTCCCCTCGATTAGAGCTGGCCGAGCAATTCCGCACGTCGCAGCACTTCCCACCTCGCAGGTCGAGCCTTGAACCCGTACACTCCTCCACATCTGGCCAGTCAGGGCCAGTCGCATCACATACGAGTCAGACCGCGTCAGGTCACCGACACTCCATTGGCCCAGAGGAGCTTACCTTGACTCGACAATCATCAGCATCAACTATTCCGCCACCGCCCGAGCCTGAACCTGAGAGACCATTCGATTTCCATAGATTTCTAGAGCAACTTCGTCATCGGACCGCAGACCCGGTCGCCAAATTCCTGCGGTCGTTCCTGACGGAATTTGCGAAGAAACAATGGATGGCCCACGAACAAGTCAAGATTATCAGCGATTTCTTGGCTTTCATCACAAACAAGATGGCCATATGTGAAGTATGGCGTGACGTGTCGGATGCTGAGTTTGACAATGCGAAGGAAGGCATGGAGAAGTTGGTTATGAACCGGCTGTATTCGCAGACGTTTTCGCCAGCGATTCCGGCTCCCCCAACAATTCCTAGGAGCACGAGCCGCAGTCGGAGGCGAGAGATTGAAAGACTTCATGGACCTTGGCGACGGGGGCAGCATCAAGAGGATATTGAGCGTGATGATATCTTGGCGCAGAAGATACGAATTTATAATTGGGTTAAAGAGGAGCATCTAGATATTGCTCCCGTTAGTGGCAGTGGGCGGCGGTTCCTGACTTTAGCACAACAAGGTAGGTTTTCGTTTCCCTGTCGACGTGTGCACACATGGCTAATATGAATTCTAGAGTTGCTGAAGATAAACGGCTACCGCGCGCCTCGAGATAAGGTGATTTGTATCCTGAACTGCTGCAAAGTGATCTTTGGTCTTTTGAAGAACAGCAGAAGCGCCGATACTTCTGCCGATTCGTTCGTTCCACTCTTGATATATGTGGTACTGCATGCGAACCCGGGAAACCTTGTCTCCAACATTCAATACATCCTGCGCTTCCGCAATCAAGACAAGCTTGGTGGAGAAGCGGGCTACTATCTTTCCTCATTAGTATGTTCATCCCCAATAAATACCGGAAAGCTTACAGCCTGTTGACTATTGACCCAGTCTGGAGCCATCCAATTCATCGAGACCCTTGACCGTACGAGTCTCACGGTCAGCGATGAGGATTTCGAGCGCAACGTTGAGGCGGCAGTCTCGGCGATTGCCGAACAAAACCGTGAACACGAGTCTCTGGCTGAGAAGTCTCCGACCCAATCCACCACCCCGGCCGGTCCACCTCCTCAAGTAGCTGGACCGAGTCGAAGAGATGCCTCCCAGTCCAGTGATGACGATACCTCAGCCCCCGTTGCAGGCCTCCTCCGTACCATTCAAAAACCTCTCTCCACCATTGGTCGGATCTTCTCCGATGATGGAGACTCCACTCCTTCCACCCCCCAAGACCGTCCACTTCAGCCCGCAGCAACTCCCCAGCCAGGTATCGCTCCCCCTCGTCTCACGCCCAACGTGTATCAGCCTCCTCGTGCAAGCAGCGAAGGTCGTCGATCTGGCGAGGAGCGCCGAGCACCCCCTCGGGAGAAGGCTGGCGGCGCACAGAAGAATCTGAGCCGGGTGCTCGATGCTCAAGATGCCGCTGCCCGCCAGGCCAGTGCTGAAGAAGCCGAGGCACAGCGCATTCAGCGTGCGGAGCATAACAATGTTGTCGAGACGCTTTCAAACATGTTCCCCAATCTGGATCGCGATGTCATTGATGATGTGGTCAAGCAGAAGGAAGGAAGGTTAGTTGTCCCTGTTGCCCCTGACAAAGAATTGTTATATTAACTCATTTCGACAGAGTTGGCCTCGCCGTCGACGCATGCCTCGCTCTCAGCGCAGAGTAGGGAGTACATAGAATAATGTTAGATCCAGGGAGCTATTACGAATGGCACGCTGTTTCCCTCGATGTTTTCTTCTTGCTCCTCTTTTGTCTTAAGAATCTTAATCATTATATAGCTTTTAGTAGGAGGACGGCGACGGGTTGACATGACCTGACATAGTGTGTGCTTGACGTACGCCATAATTGCATATCGAGTATGGTGTTTGCGCCAGTGATGGCTTTTTGATGTAACTAATCAGTATTTTTGATAGTTACAATTTTTTGCTGTCCATAACCTACAGACTAGTAATGAAATGATCTACTGGGTGTGGCAGTGCGACCCACCGGCCAGAATCGCCCCATCTTGGCCCATGACGTCTGACTCAAAGCTCTCGCCACACCCGCGGCAGCAACGCAGCAGCTCCAGGCACAAGCACCTACTCCACGGCAGTACTTAAGCTGCAACTTGACATCTACGGAACAACTCATACATCGTCTTCCACTACTGCTCGTCTCATCCGTTATATCCCACTACAAAACCAAACCAAAATCTCCATCACCCACAACTACCATCATGCCGATTCCAACACCCGACTTCCCCCCTCAAGAAAAACAAGCCCAGCCTATCAGCGCTGGCGCTACATGCTCAATCGGCCAGGCAGATAGCACTTCCTTTGCTGCGCTAAACGACAGTGCCCCACGTCTTGACTCTGGCGTTCGCGACGCCTCGGCGTCGCAGAACGATCGAGGCGATCGCCCGTTGAGCAAGGAGGAGGCGGACCGTTTGTATGAGGAGCGTATGGAGGACGAGTATGCGAAGAGAGAAGGTGGTGCCTAATTGGGTGATGCCTTGATTACTTCCGAATTACGGAGGATGATGGCCTTCTATGATGCTGCTGCGTTTCTGTTTGTTTTTCTCTCCATTGGCACGAGATGTTTGAAGCGGGACCGTGTGTGATAAATGTTTATTTGCAAGCTCGAAGATTGGAGCAAGAATCATGATGATATTGAAAGAGGTTAATTCACCCGTAGTGTACATCCAAAGAATGTGACTCTCCTATTATCACCTGTCAAGGGCTGGCTTATCAACGTCGCATAGTCGCGTTTAAAGCGGGGCATCTAAGCCATCGTGAGTCAGTCCAGCCCGTAATTGTCATCCTCCACAAGGTTGGCCATAAAAACCCAGAGGAGCCCTCCAGCGAATGATTACCTTTGCAGAGACTCTGAATCTCTGGGAGAAACCTCGTTGATTCCCTGGCCGGGTATATATAGTCCCTGAAGAGAGACCCACGCTCGCGCTGGGAATGCTTGAACCACCACGATGACGACCGATCTTCAAGCCACGAACCCGTCTCTCTATCCCGAGCAAGTCACTCAAGTGATCGTACCTGCTACGATAGAGCCTATCCGAACTAAAAATCTGTACCTTCGGACTCTCGACGTAAAAGATGCGGTGGATCTTTTTGAATATCGACGCCTGCAGAAGGTAGCAGACTGGCTGTAAGACCTACATTTATCTGTACTCGATCTAGGTTTCTATGCAACAATCATTTGAAACCCTATGCTGACCTCTGAAACTCTTGATCTAGATGGCCAAAAATCCCTCACAGAGACATCTCCGAGACAGAAGCAAAAATCAAGACCAAGACATTCCAAACACCCGATGCATCTGGTGCTATCGGGCGACAATTCCATTTTGCTATTATCCGCGCCGACGACCCAGCTCAAAAGGTCATTGGTTCACTAGGCATAAATGCGCTCGATCCATCACCTTCGATCGGATACGGCATTCACCCTGACTTCTGGGGCAAAGGGTATATCAGCGAGGCGGTTGCTGGTGTCATTGACGCGTGGTGGAAGCTCGAGAGGAAAGATATTGAGGGCTTGGGCGAGACAGAGAAGTTGTATGCTGCATGTAATAAAGCAAATATTGGAAGCCTGAGGGTGCTGCAGAAGAATGGGTTCGAAATTCTCCAGGAGACTCACATAGAAGGGGATGTGGTAGCTTTACTGGGGTTGGAAAGACCCCAGTGACCGAAATCGAAGAGATTTGATAGCAGACTCGTCTGTCTTTTTTGCGATTGACACGTCTAGAACCCGACTGTGGCTTCGACGAGAGAATTTGATATGGCCGATTTATAACGACCACTCTCTATTCCCTCTCCCCTCTTCCATCTCTTCCTCCAAGCTGTCTTTCCTTTTTGGATTCGCCTTCCCACCCCCGTTTCCATACCACATCATCTCATAAACAGTCCAGAATTTGGCGACCTTGCTGCAGCTCCCACTGGAAATATGGCAGATCCTCCCCTCACTCTGTCGACCATTCCATACCACTGTCAGCGAGAGATTCTCCGCCATCTTGATGTCCAAGCAGTCAGAATTCTTCGACTGACCAGCCGTCAAATGAAGAATCCCTGAGACGTCAGACCATGGACATTTCTAAGGAAACTCTGATATCACTCCGTCTGATAGCTTGCTATGAAGAGTTTCGGGGCGTCGTTCAGGAGCTCAGAGTTCGCGTCCCTCTATACGATACAGCTTGCGTTATAAGAATGATGTTCATGCAACAGCGCGTGACACCGGAGGATCACAATTTTGTGGCTGCCCCAGCGGTCACCCAGGACAAGTTCTTCGAGGCATCTGCTCTTAAACTTCTCACCTCGGCTTTGGAACAACTGGGTAGTCTCGAAATGATCGATCTCGATCACAGGTGTTGGACCGAAAATTAGTACCGAGACGAGATGGTGGGGCTGGGGAGAGAACATTCACAAGGGATTTGTGATCTGCCGTATTGCCATGTCGGCCATCGCAACAAGTAGAATTTCCCTGGAGGCATTGAGAATATTTCCAGACACCCCGGTTTGTTCTGTTGCCCCGTACGATCTCGCGTCCATTACAAATTAGTACCAGCAGAGGTCAAGAGTTCCTGTATCAAGATCGCTTCACGCTCGATATCCTATACGGGCGCTCGTTTCTGGTGACCTCAAGGATGATGATCTGCCCGGTAGAGGCATCCGGCGCTTTGTGTCCCTTTTAGGGCAGATGCCAAACCCGGAGGAGCTCCAGCTCAACCTGTTCAACACCCTTGACAACAAATTTGGCAGCAAAGAAAATCCTCTGCACCATCGTATCCCGCCTTCACTAGCCAAATCTCCGGCGTTGCATTCTCCGTGGCATCTACACGGAAGAATCTAGCCTGGTCAAGTTTCTCACGGACCACCCTCGTCTCGAGAGTGTCTCGAGAGTTTGGTCATGGATGGCAACCTGTCTTCACACAGTCTTGAATGAAGACATGATGTACCTCTGTCTTTTTAATCTCCCGATAAGCACTAACTCTAGTATGCAAGGCAGAGAAGTCAATCTTTTCCTCCGCTGGGAAGAACAAATGCAGAAAGTGAAAGGTGAATATTGTGAGCGAGACCAGGCAATACCCGGTCCGCATTCGATCAGGGTACATACGAGGGAGTTTGATGCCAAAGAGCTTCAATGAGGACTGGATGTCTCGCCCATCACTGCTCAATATTTCTCTCCGCGTCCACGTCAGGGGAGAAGTATGGCTACATTTACCCACTATAAGTAGGTAGCGAAGCAGGAAATGAGTGAAGTAGGTCAACTACTCTATGCCTCCCTTCCATAATGAAAGATCAATTGCAGGGATCTACGGGGAACAATTATTCAGGAACTACATGCGGGCAGATACCTAGTCCTCAGTTTGCTATCTATCTGGGACATCCCTGGCTGGTAGTTACCGTGCCATTCGTAATCTTACACATGATCACTAATCAATTTGCTCTTTGAAGGAGAGTATATATCCCCTTCGTTTATCTCTCGAGTTCACTGTGGATTCCTCATCTTCAAGTATCCTTTCTCTCTCTCTTCTCGGTGTACACTCTACCCCATCATCTCCAGCCTTGACCATGGCAGATCCGGCAATCTCCTCAGCAGAACCTCACAATCATCGTCAATAATGTGATTGACATTACGCAAGTCCCTACAATTTCTGGTCCTATTCCTCCACAGAAAGAACTCCCACAAGCAAGTGAAGATGATTTCGGCTTTCTGCCGGAACCTCGTCATGGACAACAGACCATGTTGAGCCTAATTCCTGGGCTGATTGGGTCAAGAAAAAGATCCAAAACATGACTCGGCGGAAGCAATGGTCTACTTCCTACATAATTCGCAAGAGGCCTATTCGGGAACCAGTTTTCCGGAATCTTGACAGGGGAAAGATTTTCTTTCACGAATGCATGATAATCGCGATTGGAGTAGTCTTTGGGCACAACACAAAGCTATAGTGTTGCAGATCGTTGGCACACTGGCAGAGACAGCCTGCTTTTCATGCAGAAACGGATATGGGCTGTTTACAACTTGTGTCGTTGTGGACGATCTCATGGGTGGGAGTTGCGCAAACTGTTGTGGCAATCGTGCTACTCGGTGCTCATTTTTCAGGTTTGCTACCTACAAGCAAACTGAAACACCCAGGCAAGATCGTGGTGCAATGAAGCGAAATAGGGCCACACACGGGAAAAGGGGACATGGGTCCAGCAAGTATGCCGAGTCGAAATTAGGGCGTTTCGTTCACATCACGGCTCGGGCTGCACGAGGAAGATTAGGCATTCAGAAATCGATGACACAACTGAACCTCGGGTTTGAGAACATTCTCAGTGCTATTGAATCCGAAACATTGAAATTTGAGAGGGTCAAGGTTGGGTCCAACATGCAAAGCGTGAATGATCAAGTTGAGACTTTTCTGAAGGAAATGAGGGAGCTCACAATCATTGGCATGGAGTGTGATGAGGATGTCATCATGCAGTCTGAAGACGAAGCTGACAACGCCATCGTGATCAGCGATGATGAAGATGTCACCGGCTGAGTCATCGAGATGGAGACCGCAGAGCCTCGGGGTATCAAGACCGAGTCGAGCAAATGGGAGGGAGATGTTAAGCCAGAGATCAAGAAGGACAAGCAGAACATTGACGGGGATACATGCTAGCACAAGAGGGAAAGCGAGGGCAACGTCCACATCAAGGAGGAGAACTAGAACTTCGATCGAAGGTTTTGCATGGACTTGATAACATCATGATGGTGGTTCAAATGGATGCATGTTTGCCTGAATTCAGCACTGAGATCACTGCTACGATCGCCACATATCCATTGTTTTTGCGATTCAAAATGTCCATGGGAAGGCCTTCATTCACAATTTACAGAGCAGACTGATTATCCTGTTGCTACCTTTTCAATGCAGACTGTTTCGAATACTTGTCCAGATAAAGCGAGCGTGCCAGTTCAAACATGGTAGAACCGTAGTGAGGTATACCATAGTAGTCACACCCTCCTCAGTACTCCATTATGCTTCCATGGAGAAGATAGCCGCACCTATTGATGTCCATCAATCCGGCCTGGTTGAATCTAGTAGGAACACGCTTTGTTGATATCCCAGATGTGGGGATATCTACACGTGACATCACGTGCAATGCGGCCAGCTCGCCCCGAGGAGCTGTCGTCGGAGACGTCTTAGCCGCCCACGGCATCATCCAAGTCCCTCCTTTTTTGCATACCCAAGCTTCTATCTCACCCTTGTCCTCCTTGACTGCAATCACCTTGGTGGAAAGGCTCTGGCTTCCCGTAGCCTCCTGCCCATCATGGCTCCGCAGGATACCTTCTTCCGCTCGTCGGAAATGAGCCTGACCCAGCTCTACATCGCCAATGAGATCGGAAGAGAGGTCGTCAGTGCCCTGGGTGAGATTGGGCAGATCCAGTTCAGAGATGTACGTTGAACCTCGATACCCGGATTTGAGCTTCGCTATTCCGTGCCTGTCACAGATCCCCCGCTAACCCGTGTTTCCTAGCTCAACCCGGACACCAATGCTTTCCAACGAACGTTTACCAAGGAGATTCGGCGCCTTGATAATGTTGAACGACAACTCCGTATGTGAAGAATTCAGCTTTTTGCAGAACGCATCCTCATTTGAATGATGCAAAGCTAATTTGCTATATCTTCTCGTCCACGCTAGGCTACTTTCGTTCGCAGATGGAGAAAGCTTCCATCCCCATGCGGCCTTCAACCGACTTCTCCGACACTTTGGCTGCTCCGTTAGCCTCGGAAATTGACGAGCTGGCCGAGCGGAGTGAGAGTCTTGAGCAGCGCATCGCATCCTTGAACGACAGCTACGAGACCTTGAAGAAGCGTGAGGTCGAGCTTAGCGAATGGCGTTGGGTTCTTCGTGAGGCGGGCGGTTTCTTTGATCGGGTTAGTATTGACAATGGGACTAGTGGTAAGGGGATAGAAACTGATATTGAGTTGCTAGGCCCACACCCACACCGAGGACATCCGCCAATCCTTTGATAATGACGAAGCGCCCCTGCTTCGCGACGTCGAGCAACATGCACCCCGCGGCGCAAATGGAGACACCCATGGCCAACAGAGCTTCTCGGAAATGAACATTGGCTTCGTCGCTGGTGTAATTCCTCGAGACCGTATTGGCGCCTTTGAACGTATCCTCTGGCGAACGCTCCGTGGTAACCTTTACATGAACCAGTCGGAGATCCCCGAAGTGATCATTGACCCTACCAACAACGAAGAAATCCACAAGAACGTGTTTGTGATTTTTGCCCACGGCAAGAATATTCTCGCAAAGATTCGCAAGATCTCTGAATCCCTGGGTGCTTCCCTGTACGGCGTGGATGAGAACAGTGAGCTACGCCGGGATCAGATCCACGAGGTCAACACTCGCCTAGGTGACGTGGGAAACGTGCTGCGCAACACCAAGAGTACTTTGGATGCGGAGCTCTCGCAGATCGCTCGTTCTCTCGCGGCTTGGATGATCATTGTCAAGAAAGAAAAGGCCGTTTACGATACGCTGAACCGGTTCTCTTACGATCAAGCTCGCAAGACATTGATTGCCGAGGCGTGGTGCCCCACAAACTCTCTCGCTCTCATCAAGTCGACTCTGCAGGATGTCAACGACCGCGCCGGTCTCTCTGTCCCTACTATCGTTAACCAGATCCGCACCAACAAAACCCCACCAACCTACGTTCGGACCAACAAGTTCACCGAGGCCTTCCAAACCATTATCAACTCGTATGGTATCCCAAAATATTCTGAGGTCAACCCCGGTCTATACACGATTGTCACGTTCCCCTTTTTGTTCGCCGTCATGTTCGGTGACATGGGTCACGGGTTCATTATGGCTTCGGCGGCTGCTGCAATGATCTTCTTTGAGAAGAAGCTGCTTCGTACTAAGCTTGACGAGTTGACATACATGGCCTTCTACGGTCGGTACATCATGTTGATGATGGGTCTTTTCTCCATCTACACTGGTTTCATTTACAACGATATTTTCTCCAAGGCTTTCAGCATTTTCCCCAGTCAGTGGCAGTGGCCCGAGGATATCAAGGCTGGTCAGTCTGTTGAGGCTACTTTGAAAGATGGCTACCGTTTCCCCATCGGTCTGGATTGGAACTGGCACGAGGCGGAGAACTCCTTGCTGTTCTCGAACAGTATGAAGATGAAAATGAGTATTCTGCTTGGTTGGTCCCACATGACTTACGCACTGGTCCACCAGTACATCAACGCCCGGCATTTCAAGTCCAAGGTTGACGTTCTTGGCAACTTTGTTCCTGGAATGCTGTTCTTCCAGTGTATCTTCGGTTACCTAGCCCTCACGATTCTGTACAAGTGGTCTGTGGACTGGCCTGCCATCGGCCAAGACCCACCCAGTTTGCTGAACATGCTTATCTTCATGTTCCTGAGGCCCGGTACTGTCGGGGAAAAGCTGTACAACCATCAAGCCACTGTTCAAGTCTTGCTGCTCCTTATCGCGGTCATTCAGGTTCCCATCATGCTCTTCCTCAAGCCCTTCTGGTTGCGCTACGAACACAACCGTGCCCGCGCTCTGGGTTACCGGGGTCTCGGTGAGCAGTCCCGTGTCAGTGCTTTGGACGATGATGGTGATATGGACGGTGGATTCGACGGTGCTCGCGATAGCCTGGCCAGTGATGGTGAGGGTGTCGCCATGATTGCCCAGAACATTGACGAGGGCGATGAGCATGAAGAGTTTGACTTCAGCGACGTCATGATCCACCAGGTCATTCACACGATCGAGTTCTGCTTGAACTGTATCTCGCACACTGCCTCGTACCTGCGTCTTTGGGCTTTGTCTTTGGCTCACCAGCAGCTCTCCATCGTCTTGTGGGATATGACCATCGGTACCGCCTTTGCCCAGGAGAGCCACGTCATCCGAGTGATCATGATCGTGATCTGCACCTACATGTTCCTTGTTCTGAGTGTCGCGGTGCTGGTCACCATGGAAGGAGTATCAGCCAGTAAGTCTTTGACTCTTATAACCCTAACAATAGTTTTTGATTTGAATGCAAACTAACGAGGAATCTAGTGCTTCACTCGCTTCGTCTACACTGGGTGGAGGCGATGAGCAAGCATTTCATGGGTGAGGGTATTCCTTTCGTGCCGTTCAGCTTCAAGACCCTGCTGGAAGAAGATCCAGTGGATTGAACCTGAGCGGTCGGTCTTGCATTGCTTGGTTTCATTCTTTTTTCTCTCCCTCGTTGTTGCTCTACTAGCATCCCTGTGGGATTGTCCTTCCTTTGGATCTTTCTTGTCCCATGTACTGTAAGAAGATTAGAATATATACGTTCTGATAAGTGAGGGTACGGTAGACGTAGAGATTGAGAAACTACTGGCAAATGCGTAGTTTGAACAAATCGTGGGCTTGGCCTAGATATGAAGATTCGCTTGCAAAACATCTGCAGCTAGTTATCGTACTCAGTATCGCAATCGGTGTTCTTTACAGTAGAGGCACGACAAAGATCTAGTTTAATAATTTTTTTTTTTTTTTCATTTATTTAAAACTCTTTAGGTACCAAGCCGAGAATGGCATGGAGAGAGTAATCCGAAGGAGCTGCAATGAACGGCAACCCCGAACGGACGTCATCACTCATGAGCTTCCGAGACAAGATTGGCTCAGCATGTCGAAAAGGTAAGAATATAGAGAAACGTGGAATCATAAGAATAAAGCGGGTTCCAATCACCCAATACGAAACAAAGCGACTGAGCCGAGCGGTACGGTACCCAAGACCGAAAGGAGGATATCAAATCAGGTCCCAGTGTCGAGAAATCCAAAAAAAGGGAGTCAACAGAAACAATGTCAGCAAAGCGCTTAGTTGTGGTGCTTGTTGTACATGTCGATGACCTTCTGGACCTCACCCTTGGAGCCGAGGAAGACACCGCTGCGGTCGTGAATGTGTTCAGGACGAACCTCCATCAACCGCTCCATGCGCGAGTTCACAGCGAGACCGCCAGCGTTCTCGAACAGCATCGCCATGGGCGCACACTCGTACAGGATGCGCAGCTTACCCTTGGGACTCTTTTTATCCGCGGGATAGGCAAAGATACCACCGTACAGCAGGGTACGGTAAGCATCAGCGACCATGGAACCGATGTAACGCGCGCTGTAGGGCTTCTGGCCCTCGCCGGGGTACTTGAGGCTGTGGAAGTAGGCATTGCACCAGTCATCCCAGTACATGCTGTTACCCTCGTTGACGGAGTAGATAGCCCGGGTCTCGGGGAGCTTCATGTTGGGGTGAGTGAGGATGAACTCGCCCAGCGAGTTCTCCAGGGTGAAGCCGTTAACGCCACCGCCGCGCATAGTAATAACTAATTGCGCCGAGGCACCGTACATCGTGAAACCGGATGCGACGAGGGAAGTACCCGGGTGGAGGAGCTGCTCGGGGCCGACGGTCTTACCGGCGCCTAGGATTTCGTCGGGGAGTTGGAAGACACCGAAGATGGTGCCGACGGAAACACCGGCGTCTAGGTTGGAGGAACCGTCGATGGGGTCGCAGACGACGGCGTAGCGGGCGTCTGGGTGCTCGTCGAAGGTGATCACTTCTTCTTCCTCCTCGGAGACGAGGATGCGGCATTTGCCGGAGCCGCGCATGGCGGAGATGAAGATGTCATTGCCGATCACGTCGAGCTTCTTCTGGTCGTCGCCGGTGGTGTTGGAGGAACCGGCCAGACCGGTGAGGTTGATGAGGGAGGCGCGACGGATGTAGTAGGCAATGGACTTGAAGGAGAATTGGAGGGCGTGGCAGAGGAGGGTGAAATCTCCCGTGGCATCGGGGTATTTGGTCTGCTCTTCCGTGAAGAAGCGGGAGAGAGTGACGATGTCGGTGTTGATTTTCTCCTGGCCGACCGGCGAGGTATTGGATCCGTTGGCAGCCATATTGTATGTAACTTTTGGTGCGAGGGGTTTGTGGGTTTTTTGGAGGATCGATGAGGAGCGTTAAAAATGGCTTTTGTTGGAGAATTGAGGGGTGAGGGGTGATAATGATATGCAGTACAGTAGGTGGGGGTGGACGCGGTTGTTATCGGAGCGGGAAGTATGCAGCGTAGCCTCGGCTTTGAATTGCGAAAGAAGTCGACGGAGAGGATGCAGATACGATTTTAAGTAGGGGCAGGGGCAGAGACGAGGTGGCAAGTTCGGGGTTTCCAGGCTCCAACCAAGGCAAGTATGGAGAGTGGACCGAAACAACGTCAGGCAAGTAAACCGGGCAGAGCAGGCGATTTTGTAGTCGAACAGGATGAACAACCAGAGTCGACCTCGGCGGGGCCCGTTTTCGTCATTCTTCCCCGCGTGACCAGAAACACTCCCCGCTCCGGTTTTCTCCTTGCCAGCAGAAGCAATGGAATTGGTAAAAAAAAAACCCTCAGGGATTTCTGGATGGATATTCTCTGGGTCTGCGCCGGAATTGCCCGCTATCGAGTTTTATATTTATCAGGAGGCTATCAGGTGATCGAGGCTGAGAACTGTGACTGGGACTGGGACTGGAACTGGATGGAACTGGGACTATGTTCACAATTGTCGATCATTGATTTAAAATTTTCACTCGTAGGTAACGTCATAATTCGTAGGTTCTCTCCCCAACGTTCATTCCTACCAGCAAGCCCTACTTGTTTCATTCGTAATCAGATCAATTGCTTCACTCTTCAATGGTAAAAACGGCGTTTTCCCGAGGAGCGAGCTGCCCGACCCCTCCGATCCCTGCCTCTGCCGATGTCTCGGCCCTTGGTATCCCGAAAGAAGTAGTGCGCTTAGGGGCATTCGCGCATTCGCGCATCTGGGCATCTGGACCTCTGGGCCTCTGGGCCTATGGGGGCTGTTCAGGGTTATCATTACTAACTCGCTCTCTCCCCCGGAAGAAAGAAATCCCTCCAGTTGTGGTTTCTTCTCTCTCCACCGGGGTCATGTGCACTTGCAGAGAGTGGAATAATGGCCCCTGCTTGGTACTATCATATTACTTGCCGTGTTTGAAAAGTCTATGTTGAGAAGGTCTAGAACTAGCAAAATTGATAATAGAATTGTACTCTGTCAGGGCATCCACGGAATACCGTAGTGCGAATGTGAATGGCGGACCTTTGGATCGCCGCGTCCGGAGTATGAGTCTCATACCGACCGCGCAAGAGCCTATCTATTAGAACGTAGCGATCGCAGATTTGAAACATCTATATCTTTTATTCAATTGACTTCATGATCTTCAAGGGAGAAATCGGAACTTGAGATCTTTGTCTAGACCATTAATCAATGGCCGATATTCGGAGTGGATAGTTCCCTTTGGGCTGCCAGAAGGCCTCGGGGCTTTACCGAACACTCGCCGGGGAACGGATAAACTCCGGGGACGAGCCCGTGGGGGAGGACAAATCCCAACGACCATTACTTTAATAGATGATTATATCTACTCTATCCAGTCAATCCGACCTATTCCGTTCCAGTCGAGGTCAGCAATCTGGAAAGCACCACCTCCAATTCGGGTCGTGCCTCAATAGTATGGCCTTCAAATCCGAGCTCCTGAGAAACCTGGCTTCCCCTTCAAATTTCCAAAATAATAACGATTCGATTGACTCGTGGGCACTCAATATCTAAGCCATCATATGCAGCGAGGCAAGGAAAACATGCATGCTCGTGCTTGATATCCGCCGTACCTACCTTGCAGAATAAAAAGCGCAGGAAACCGGGCTAACCCGCACCTCGTGTCACCGTTTGAACCCCAGCAGCTACTAAATCGCAGGAATTAGACAAGCCTCGCCCTTATGAGCCCTTGTGGGCCCTGTACTATCTAGTCACGCTGCAGTTGGAGTTTTTTCCCCGTCTTCTCTATCTAAAATCTTAACACATTGTTCCATGTCTTAATTGACGGGTAAGCTATACTCTCCTTGAAGAGAAGACCTGTTCCTTGCAACTGACTTTGAGTACTACTACGAGGGCACTTCTACAACAATTGGTATGAATCTCTCGTGCTTGTAGGGCATTATGAGTCAATGCTTGGCCCTGTCACGCCCAGTGGGTACGTGAGATCGGGTGGAGAAAATTTCCTCTACTGTAAAAGGAACTGAGGGTCCATGGCCCTTTCTTTCTTGTGGACAGACAAGTACAAGAGATGACCTTGAGTGTTAATTACAAGCTAATAGAACCCGAAAAGATCTCACCATAGTAATGATAAGACTCAAAATCTAGTTTGCTGAGAATATCGTAAAGCAAGCACGGTGCATGGAATGGGCAAAACGTCAACAAACCTTCTCCTCCATCTCGGCAGTTCTAACATCGACCTGCCTGTCAGGGTTAACGTCTACCTTAAAATTCGCATGACTCCACGCGAATAGGACGAATCGGCAATCTTCTTGGCAACGCTTGACTGAAATCATCGCGGTCGGTTCGATGTTTCAGGTCGGCAAATCTGCGCCAGCGATGGCGTGCTTGACGGCCTGCCGCTAGTTCAAGGAACCTACAAAACGATCAAAATCGCCTCGTAGCTTTTTGTTCGGCATCGCGACTGTTATTGAGTGATTGGGTTGACTCATTGTTATCGATCATGTCTTTTCCCAACGAAAAGTCTCCAGAGACCGTAGAGGCGGCTGAAAGGCCCGTGGTCGCGCTCTCCAATTCCAAAGAGAACTATGAGAGTGGGCAACGGACTGTGGGGGAACCTACCCGCCAGAAATGGTACCAGTGGTTTGCGCCCACCGACACACCGGCCGAGCGACGATTGATCCTCAAGCTGGATGGTCTGATCATCGTTTTTGTGTTTTTGGCCTACTGGGCTAAAGTCTTGGATTCGTCGGCAACGAGCACGGCGTATGTCAGTGGGATGAAGGAAGACCTAAAGTTATATGGAAATCAGTTGAATTATCTCAACACGGTGTATATGGTTGGCTTCATTACAATGCAGATTCCATTGACCCTCGTGGTGAGTCAAAACTCCTGCTGCGAAACGATAAAAAGGAATCAGTGCGCTAACTAGTTTTTCTCCAACTAGATGACTCGCTGCCCCGTGAACTATTTCCTACCAGCTGCCGATCTCTTTTGGGGAGTCTTCACGCTAGCGCAGTACAAGGCGACTAATGTTACTCAACTGTACGCTCTACGCTTCTTCGTAGGAGCCCTCGGTGGCTTCTTCTTCCCCGCCGTGCAATGGTATCTGGGTTGTTGGTACAAGCGCTCCGAACTTTCTCGTCGAGGCGCCATCTTCTTCATTGCCAGTCAAGTTGGCAGCATGAGTTCCGGCTATATCCAAGCCGGTGCTTACGCTCGACTCGACGGACGTTATGGAATCGAAGGATGGAGATGGCTATACATCATTTGCTTCGCGTGCACCATCCCAATCGCTTTCCTCGGTCTGTGCCTGCTACCGAGTACCCCGGACAAGTGTAACTCGCGCTTCTTGAGCGCCGACGAAATTCGCTTGGCACAAGAGCGGATGGCCTCTGAAAACCGTGAGGCCCGTCAGCCTTTCACTCTCCCTCGAGTTCTAGAGATCTTGAAGGGCTGGAGACTATGGGTACTTGTTGCGTTTGCTTTCTTCTTCTCGCAGGCCGATGGAGTGTCCTCGAACAGCGGTCTCTCGCTGTGGCTCAAGGCCGAGGGGTATTCGGTCGAAAGCATCAACACAATCACTACCGTGTCGCCGGCCGTGACTATCGTGGCTTCGATCGTGTGCGGTGTACTTTCGGACATTTACGATACGAAAGCCAGCTTGATTGCCATTACGGCGTTGCTGAACATCTTTGCTTGCATAGTTCTGGCAATCTGGAACGTCCCCGTTGGTCTCAAATTCTTCGCATTCTTCCTCTCTGGAACGGCGGACGGAATCGCGGCGATCATTTATGCCTGGGCGAACGAGATTTGTGCGCATAGTGCCGAGGAGCGTGCGCTCGTCATCAGTGCGATGAACACCATTGGCAATACCTTTGGCGCGTGGATTCCACTCTTGTAGGTTTTTTTTTCGGACCGAGTACTTCTAACGTGACATTACTAACCGCCTCTATATATAGTGTCTGGAAGACCGTGGATGCACCTCGGTATCTGATCGGCTACAACTGGACGATTGCGCTTGATGTGTGTATGCTTGTGATGCTGGCCGTGCTAAGGCACTTCTGGGTCCGCGAGCAGAAGCGGACGCGGAACTAGAAGTGATACATGAGAAGACGATATGGCTTGGCTGGAAATGATATATCAAAAATATTATAATCATTAACTCGATATGAATAATTTCAATAACGACAACCTTTTTTTGGCTTGACCGGAGGAAGGTGAGGCAATAACCACAGCCGATACAATTCAACATCTGGCCTTGGAGAATGGTTTCACAATTTAGACCCTATAACGACGCATGATCTCCAATGTAAATCAGTACCTGACCTACCTTCCAGTAATCCAAATATTACAAAACACCGGCTGTTTCCAGATTTCCGTGCAGAGTCTCTTTCGCCCTCTGGTCTTCCCTGGGTTGCGGAGTATCAGGGTTATAGATATAAGAGTAGAAGAATTGGAACAGTAGAGCGCAAAGCGTCATGAAGCTGCTGCCAGTTAGCAAAATTCACCAAGGTATTCCGAGTTGACTAACAAAGCAATGAAACTGAACGCTTCTGCGGCGTATTTCCGGCTGCAAACAGTCTGGCCGTTCCACCGTGAGATACTGCAGCTGACTTGATTGAAGTTCTGGGCGAGGAAGATGAAGGCTGTGAGCCACCTAGAAGAGAAGACATTTAGCATATGACCTAGCAGATCAAACTTCACAATCTACTCACAAATAAGAAAGCACGGTATCAGTCAAGTACATGGGCAGTATATGCCATTTTCGGCTTCGGGTTATGCAGCTAGCCCCGGTAGATAGGGCGAATGCGACGGGGGTTAAGACAGCCTAGAAGTACTCAGAAATGACCCCTTTGAAGTAGTGTTACCATTCAGAGATACTTACTATAACAAGAGCAAAAATGACTGTGAGCGTCTTGGTACCGCGAACAGCCCAGGCCGTGATGCCTAGGACAACGATAGCGCTTGCACACTGGACGATGTGAGCTATCAGCGTAACGATTCCGAGAGGATGGCCGTGGAAACTCGACATATTTCCGAAACAATTTATGATCAGACTTTGTATATTCTTAAAGTAATTAAGAAAGATGCACTGGGGAGATAATCAAGGGGCAAGATGGTTTTATTGTCAAGAGGTTGCCTCCCGTAGAATGTATGATCTCATCACATCCGTCGAGGTCCACGGGTAGAAGTCGACGCCAAGGGTGTCATTCCACGCGACTAGACCGTTAATTTCCAGCGGGAGAACATTTCTTTCGTCGGGATGTACAGTGTCAAGTACCTGAAAATTGAAAGGAGATTTACTTCAGCCGCAAACAGTGCATTGAGGAATGAATCATCTTTCCAGATATGGGTATCTCTGGTCAACCCATTACAAAGCCCCGACTATACATATTGCCAATAGCTAATTTCAATAGCAATTGAGATTTATATATTCAGAGTCAACGTATGACGCATTGACTTATTGTAATTCTTCCCAAACGGTCCCAAGTTGGTGGAAATGCCAGCATGATCCACCATTGTCATGACGAGCCGAAGAGCCTCCAGACTGGTTGAAGAAGCGAGCGACAGCGCTGCTCGGCGCCGACTTTACCATTTTTTACGGCTTTGTTCTGGCTTGAAGATTTTCTTCCGATTACATGCATGACAAAAATGGTTCAAGTACATTTCAGAGTACGACAATTACTATTCTGGCTGTATGTGATATATTGTATAGTCATTCCGGAAGCCATGCCCACAACGACGGTGAAGGCCCCACTTTCATTGCCTAGGATATTTTGTAGAGCCGAGCCGATGCTGCCAAGTCCATCAGAAAGATCGGATCATCTTAATTTGCCAAGACAATTTAATAGGCACGAGATGACGGCGGCTTGCAGTTAATTAATCTCCGCTGACGTGCTATCTTGAAAAAGAGATACATCAATTGCTATCGCGGCTCAAGGATGCCTTTCTTGTCTGACTTCAGGGCACCATGAAACCGACATGGTCAACAGGAGAACTGGACGGACAACGGAGAGTCTATTCTAGCGCCATTTCTGCTTGCGACCATGACAGGCAATGATCTGTTTCTCAAGGTTCATCATCTATCCCACCTGTGGAGCATAGAGGACATAGCGCCTTATTGCCCCTGCCAGACTCAGCATCCTCGTCGATTTAGCCCCCAAATCCATCTCAATGTGGACTGTTTCTTGGCAACGTGTTGGACAAAACACTCCTTTGGGATGAGATAGGCGCTTCGCCAAACTTGGGGGCCGAACGCTCTCCTAAGAAGTCCTCCCCCTCGTGTCCGGAATTTCTCCATATACTTTTTCTGAGCCCCCGACCGACCTCGAGGCAGGGATCTCAACAACCATGCGGCTTATAACGCTTCTCTCGTCTTTGCTATTTCTTTCTGCAGTATCTGCTTCCACTTGCTACTGGCCGAGTGGGAAGGCCGCGGCTGATACTTGGCTACAATGTCCAGATAGCAAACACTGCTGTGCAGAGGGCGAGGCTTGTCTTTCTAATGGTCTTTGTGTTGCTGGGACGTACATGACTGTCTATCGTGGAGCATGTACGGATAAGTCGTGGCCTATATCGGAGTGTCCTCGAGTTTGCTATGAAGGTAAACCAGTGTCTTTCCAAGATACCATTGCTAGTCTATCATTTGTTTCTGGGGCTGACGTCAATTTGCGATACTGTAGAGATCACCGATGGGTGGGCCAATCTCTACCCTTGTCCTAGCAATGACAACGAGGTGTTCACCTGTGGAACTAGTGGCTGGGCCAGTCACGTCTGCGAACAACAATTGGGCAATTATACTTGGGTTGGCAGTAATGTCACAGTAGCCCAATTGGGGGTCACCACTTCATCAACCGCGTCCTCATCCACAACCACCTCGGCATCCTCTGGGTCAACCGAGACCACGATCGTCACGTCCAGTTGTACGGCTTCAGCCGTGGGAAACGATGCTACCATGAAGACAGGACTTGGCGTTGGACTTGGGTTGGGTATTCCTTTGCTGCTGGCAGCGGCTGGTATGCTGTGGTTCTACGTGAACACCCGCCGTCGGATTCAATCATTGCAACGGAGATTGAACGAGCAAGGCGCTGTACATCTGGCTCCACGCGGACAACATGCTCGTCTTCCTCTCCAGGAGTTGGACACGGGGAAGCAAAATTGGCCGGAAATTCAATCGACTCACCGTTCGGAATTGAGTTAGAAAGTCTCAGGTTGTTTGATTGATTTTTTCACCAAGCCTTATATGAAGCTGTAAATATTGTCTATTTTCTTAAGCGCGCCTCCAACGAATATATTCTCCAAAGATGAGTAGTGATTTGACCTCATAATCACGAGCCAACTATAACTAACTTTGCAATTGATGTGCTCGTATTCATTTTTGATCTTGACGCAAGACGCACTCGATTCATGGAAATACGTCAACTGCCGATCTTGACGACCAGGTCAAGTACAGTGAAACTGTCTAAGAGAGTGGTGCGTGCAGCCCTGCCGGGACCACAATCTGACATAATCGCTTGACTGTCGGTGAGCTCGGAGCAGAATATGGCGCCAGTCTTAGAGCGGCTAGTCTCGGTACAACGAAATTCCGTCGCTTCGGAGCTTGAAAAGGTTCGATTTTATTTTCACTCTTCCTCTTTCTTCCTCCAGCCCATCTCCTGCCTGGCTTGGAATGTTTTAGCCCAGGATGATTGCAGGTGGCTTTGTCTCACCAGGACTGGCATTCGCTTGTTTCATTGCCTTTTTGAACTAACGGCTCTCCATCCGCAGCCTGAAAATTTTTGGTAAGTTTTTGACTCGGTTGATTTTTTTTTTTTTCATCACACAACCCACCCCCAATATGATGATAACTATAACCAAATTCAAACTAGAGTCTTTGACCCATAAGGGAATGAAACTTCTGTTATTGCACGTCAGGCTGAACACCTCTCGCTTGTCATGATTCATCACGCCGAGTTTTCGAGGTTGGAAGTGAGAGCTAACTTGCCCTCTTCTAGGACTAACTTGAGGAAATCCTCGCAGTTTTCTTATCTTTTCGATCCACAATTGGTGAGTTTCTGATTATTTCTGTCTTTTCTTCACCACAAACTCTTTTCATGATGAACGCTTTTTAAATATACGCTGGAAATTACCGTCCAAGGTCTTCGGATCACTGACGATAACTAATGGCTTTACTGATCCCTACCACAACTCTGCCTATTTGCTCTGGACCATTCTGTTCTAGAATATACGCTAACTGTTGAAAAAGATTAGGTGTCACTGTCTTCACCTCGGCCTCCAAATGGTAAGCCGCGGCTCGTCCTATCCTGCACCATCCCTTCCCGTCACGAAGATGAAATGGCACTGGGCTCCGACGGTCGTTTGACATAAACGACCGGTCATGACGGATACGCCCTCTTTGTGGCAGGCCTAGAAAACCTCGCCCACTGAGACATAACCCGATGATACTTGTCGACTCAATCCATGCTTTCCGCAACGAGTCGCTGATTATCTCGAGCAGTGATGCGCTCTCATTGATTAGTAATTCGTAGAATGACCACAGGTAAGCTCATTACAATCTCGTTAATTTCACCTGCCCTTCTTTCGTGATGATTACCTAGATGACGAGTCTTATCCGAGTTATCGATGCAGACAACATCCTTTTAATACCATTCATGCTTTCCTGATCTTATTTCTTTCTGCTACCTTTGCATCGTCAATCTTCTTGACAACATTCGCTAATCTTCTGCGAATAGTAATACTTGATGGCCTCGCTATCCCATGGCTTCGGCCTTTTCTGACCGTGGGTGTATGTCATCATATCCCCCCTCCCCCCAACTCATTCTTCCATGATGAAACGACACAACAAAAGACAAGCATATGTCCAAGCTGGCTTTCGCCAGCGAAGACGATACAAGTCATGACTGATCAGTCATTCGAGCCGCTTTGGTTTCAACCCTGTCCAGTCAGTCCTCGATGCTGATGGGTCTTGAAGAACAGGAACATTCTCCAGCCCAGCATCGACTAACCCAGAAGGTGCTGCTGGCAGGCAACTTCTGCTACTGTGAGTATTCCTCTTTATGTGTGCTTCTATTTCAATGCGTTCCCCAACCCATCCACCCCTTTACATGATGATTTACTTTATTTTTATCACGACGGTCAACATAAGGAATTTTTCAATTGATGACCACCGCCTGTGACAGGGCTTTGAATCTGATCCCCTTGCATTTAAACCACGTGTTTTACTCGGTCGCTTTGATTCTGTTAGCATCACACACTAACATCGACCAGTTGCTAGGATCTCCCAAATTCGGTCTGTCCAGTGCGACTCTCGCTCGCAGCCTGGCTTATGCGGCCGAGTCTTTGACCAGACACAGAAGCTTTTGGAGTCTTAGTCTAGTGTGCAGTAGTTAGAAGCCAATTTAAAAATGCTACAAATTATCGCCTGAAAGACAATTTCTCCCTTCTCAGTCGCTCACCGTTCATTCGTAACCCCAAGTGAAGGCTCCCCATGTGCCGTCTACCAGTGAATCCAATGATCCAATGATCCAATCACCGATTCGTTCTGCTCATCCCTGCAGGCCTAGCTTCCACAGGAGGTGCGAGCCCTGAGATTTGCGGTCGCAATGCTGGTTCGCTGATGGGCAGGCCTGTGGATGCGGGCAGGGCGGGCTTGGCCTCTCAGCGGCGGCGATAAGCGCCCAGCACTGGGTCCGCGTGTGATGAGCACCTTCTGGCTGCATACATCCCATTCCCCGCTTGGGTTGGTCCTTTACTTCCCTCGGCCGTGGTCTCTTCAGCAGGTCTTTTTGTTGTTCCAAATATAGATCTGCCTCCTCTCACGCGGTGGGTATCGTGCCGGTGGCCTGGGTCTACACTAATTGGCCCTTTCTTCGCAAGAATGATTTTCTTGTTGTCCCTGCTCTCCGCGCAACACGAGACGAGGGGTCGGGTTGAGTTCTTTTTTGCGCCTCTATCGCTTTGAAGCATCGATATTCTTTTTTTGTCGCTTCGGGTTCGCGATCGCCTTACTTGAGTCTACCAAGGAAGACCATGGCTTCGGTCCGTGCTTTGTCCTGACGGAGTGCATAGAGCCAGTATGAATAGGTACGCTATGCGCTTGAGCCACATAAAATCTCTGGATCTTTCCCTGTCAGCTTCTGGATTTAGAGCTTCAAGAGAGACTGATGGCTCTACCTCTCTAGCTGGTTGTCTTCAAATCATACAGCCGACGAGCAGCCGTTGAACTCCCAGTACTCTGGCTGGCCGTCGACTGTCAACACCAGCAATCAACCATCGCCGAATCGTCGAGAGCATGCAGTGCAGCCGCTTCTGCTAACGACCGCGTTGAATTCCTCGCAGTTCCATCACGCGTTAACTCCGCTGTCTTCCACATCGCTGTCGAGTCCATTCACCCACGGTCAATCTCCCGCCGTTTCGACACCATCCAACGGCAGATCGGCATCGTCCTCCTCCTCAATGGCGTCGAGGCAGTATAGCGTCCCGTATAACCCGCAGGACTGGGGGCCTGTAGGTGGGAACCATAGCCAGTCTGCATATTCTCAGCAAGCTTCTGTTCATCATGTTGCGCCTCAGCAGCGACTCCATGCAGGTTAGTGGTTTGACTTGATATTTCAACAAAGATCTAGAGAAGCATTTTTACATGTTGACTGAATGTTCTATAGATTCGTCTCTGTCACCACCGCCTCCACCATACTCACCTCCACACAATCAGACTTCGGTGCCACGAGATTCTTACGGTCAGGCGAGCTCGAGTATGGCAGCGACCCCTAATGTCACGCTACCGCACCAGTCCTACAGAACAAACGAGTATGACAACACTGCAGAATACCATCGACGCTCTGTCCCTCGCCCGCGCCCCGTGTCTATGATATACGGCAATGATGTGGAGTTGCACCGGCAATCTTTACCCCCTCCACCGCCTCACCAAGGAAGCCTTGGCTCCAGATCAAATTCTCAGAATCGGGTTAATGCATATCAGGGCTCCCCTCCCAATAATGCTTCGACAAGTGGGCAGTCTCGTATGACTTTGACCTCGTATGAGCAGCCTCTTCCATCACCGGCGTTTCAAAGCAACGGTATCGAAAGTTCAGCAGGGCAATTGGACGCGCCGCTAAGACCGCCTGCATCCAGACGAGCTGCCTCTGCGGGCGCCATTGTGAGTAGTACAAGCTCGTCAAGACCCTCGAGTCTATCACGAGGACCGTCGCCAGCGAATGGCTGGGAGCCTGGTATGCCTCTTCCACCACCTCCCCCGGGACCGCCACCTGCGGGGAGGTCGGTGAGTGTGAGTGGCTCATCAGAGTCATCGTCTGCAAGGATGAGTCAGGGCCCAAGCCGGACACGCGCTCGTCCACCACCATTGATGGGAACTGGTTTGGGCAGCATCCCACCAACACCGGCTGATTGGGTAGACGAAGAATATATCAACCACCGACCGAGCAGGGATCGAGAACCGCTGCATATTGACACCAACAAGGCTATGAAGACACCAGACTTGCCAGATACCCTAGATTCAAATGGCCAGTTGCAACAGTCCCAGAGAACGCCTGGGAGTGGAGGCAGCGGTCTCTTCCGCAGCCCGGCTATTCGAGACCCTAGCGCCAAAGGTATCCGTGAAAGGAGGATCGAGCGGCGGAATAGGCAAAGTCAACATTTCGAGGACATGAGCGCTGTGTCTTCTACCAGTGGAAACCCCTGGGCTGATGCCTTGGAGAATATCGTGCCATCCAATCTTGTTCTTCCCGAACCGAAAAATAGCCCGGAGCATACCCGTCAATCGTCGTCTTCACGGTTTACTCCACGAAGCACGAGAAGCATTGGCTCAGATAGCCAGCACCCAACATCTCGATCAAGGGCATCCTCCGGTGGCCTTTTCTCTGATAGATCATCTTCCTACTCAACACCTAAGCCAGAACAGAGTCCCGTAGGACCTTCAGCTGCATTTGCAAACACCCCACCCTTTTCACCCAATGGAGAATCGTCGGCTCGTTATAAAGATGATACTCAAGCGATACCACCAAAAGCTCTACCAACGCCACCTCTCAATTCTGCCAAAGAACCTCAACCACGGTCGCGTGCTACGTCTAGGGGGACAGAGGAACGCCCAATATCTCATATATTGCACCTTCCTAATGATGGCATCCCCGGGATCAAGCCACTGTCACCACGCAGATTGCCTACTCAGCAGACAGTTCAACAGACTTCGCTGGAGTCACTCATAAAGCGGGACACTGAATTTATCCAGAACTCAATACAAAGGCACAAGAAATTCATCGAGGAAGAAGCCGCAGCTGTAAATGAGGCGGACGCCTTGAGGATTTTCAACGATTTTATCATTGCCGAGTCTCAGATACGCCGTCAGCGATACGCCAATGTGTTCGATGCAGCTTCGACTCAGATTGATGATGTACGTCGCAAACTTTTCGAAGCACCCAAGAGTCAACCTGTTGGGCCATCGAACAAGCCTGCGAAGCCGGCACCCACACTGGAGATACCGTCGAACCGGCCCAACCGGCCGGAATCCGCCTGGTGGAATAACTATCAGCCATGTCTCTCCCCGATCGCCAGTCTCGGCATGAGTAATGATGAGATGAGCTCCAGAGGCAGGGCACCCAGCCGATGGTGGGAATCCAAGACCGGCTCTAGCAGCGAAGGTGGTGAACGGAGGATCCAGCGATCTAAAAGAGAGTCAAAATACATGGGATTGCCCCGGGAGGCGATGCAGTGGGATCAGGAGCGAACACCTTCCAGGCTTGACGATGCGGGTGCGAATTATACAGGGCAGCAGGTGCCTTACGGCCCAGACGAGTATCCACCAGAGAAACTTGGCTGGCATGAAGAGACCGCCGGTTACCCTGCTGCTGGGAGAAATGGAGCTACCCAGATGATGGGGAGTCAAAGGCTAGATATTTCGCGACTGGTCACTATGCCTCCGCCATACCCGCGCCATTATCCGGCAGTCAATAACAGCCATCCGGACCTTGTGTCTTACCGAACCACTGTCCGATCCATCACGGATCTTTCGGAGATCAAGGCCACCCGAGAGCGTTACAAAGTCGATATAGAAAAGATGACCCAAGAGTACAGAGACCAGGTCAATGAAGGGCGTCGCCAATTCAAGGCGAACATCCAGAGCCAGATCCAGGAAGGAAGCCTCAGTTTTGCTGAAGCTGCCGAAGCCGAAGCTGCAATGTTGGTCGATCAGAACAAGCGTGAGCGGGATTTGGCAAAGCGACAGCTCGACAGTTACCAAGAAACCGTGCTCAAGCCTATGAATGCCATCCTTGCCGATAGGATCAGCAGGGCAACCACGTGCATCGACGAGTTGAGCAGTAGGCTATTCGATGATGCTCAGCATGAGACGCCTGACCAAACACAGGAAGAAGGTGACGAGAAACCTGAGCTCCTGGAGAAGTTGACGCAACTTAAATGGCTCTTTGAAGCTCGCGAACAACTTCACCGCGAAACGTTCGACCTTGTCAGCGACCGCGACGAGAAATACAAATTCGTTGCTCTGTTGCCGTATCAACAAGGCAAAAACAAAGAGAAGCTCCGAGAAACCCAAGCATTCTTCTCAAAAGATGCTTTGGACCGACGCGTTCAGTACGAGACCTCGGCACTTACCCGTCTAGAATCCTTCCTGGACGTGATTGAGCAAAACGTCGTCCGCGGAGTCGAGGTACAACTTTCCGCATTCTGGGACATTGCACCATCCCTCCTCGCCTTGGTCCAACAAGTCCCCGAAAACCTTCGTGGCTTCCAAGTCCAAATCCCCGCGAACGAGTACGAAGAGAACCCAAGCTATCACGCTCATCCACTGCAGTACCTCTATTCACTCCTCTCGCACGCCGAAAAGTCTAGCTATCAATACATCGAATCTCAGACTAACCTCCTCTGCCTGCTGCACGAAGTACGATCTGCCGTGATGCGCGCTAGCCGCAATCTTGCCGAGGCAGAGATGATCTGGCAGGGTGAGTCTGAGGAGACCGTTCGTCGGGAGATGCAGGCGGCCAGGGCTGATGAGGAGCTTACCCTCACGACGGATCTTAAGGAGAAAGTTGCAACCGTCGAAGGTCAGTGGACCGAGGCTTTGGGAAGTCAAATCCAGGGGCTGCGTCAACGAGTCAAGGATCAGCTGTTGGTTGAAGATGGGTGGGAAGATCTAGAGCAATTGGAACAGGAATAGTAGTATATATTTGTGAAGGGTATTTGGAAAAGGGGTTTCCCTACTTGTGATTTAGTTCTTGATGACTTGTGATATCCCCATTCGTTCGCTTTAAATCGGGCTTGCACAGAATATATTTCTTCAACATTGAGGTTTTCGCCTTGTTCTACTTGAATGTCGGGGTTCATTGAAAGTGATTGTAAGATTTAGCGACGTGAGAGTTGGTACAGATCATTTCTACTATAAGATGACAAAGGGATACAGCATCTGCGTTTCTTCCCTGGCTCTGATTCTGGAAGATCACCATTAGGTATATTACCGGGGGCAGATAGCTAACTAGGGATCATTTCAGGCTGAGTGTAGGTAGCCATATTGAAACTTATGATAATCCCAGAACTAGCTATGAATTTATCGAGACTAGGTGTGAACCATTTGGAGTATATTCTAGAGGTATACCCCAGGCCTGGACTATATCCATGACGATGATTTGACGACGTTTCTCTCCGCCCTTTTATAGGTAGATCCCCGCACCCTGACTGATGCACGCCGATGCCCGCTTGACGTCAGCTTTACACTGAAGAAGGTTCTTCCCAACAGAGTTGGGCTTGGACATGCATAAATTATGTTGGGCCCATGGTAGAGTCAACAAAGATACTTCCCAATGATGGAAATACTAGCGGCTATCGCGAAAAATCCCCCACTTCCACTCGAAAAGTATAATGTGGGGGGCCCAGACCTGCGCAAAGGTTGTTGGGAGAGCTCCCCGCGTCGTGCAAAAAGCTCAGCCTTACAATATTGACTGCTGTAGTATTAGTAACTCCGTAGCAACGTGAACGGCGCTAGCAAATAAGCTGCAAATAATACTCCTCATAGGAATAGTCGTAAAAAGCAAGCCGTTTGATTTGTACTACAGAATCTGGAGGTTCTAGAAGTCTCTGCCATGAGGTGACTGAAAGCGCGCTAAGGTTGTTCCCCAAACTTTCCGAATTCAACCTCTCCCCTCCTTCTACCCAAGTTTTGACTTCACTGGACACTTCAAGCTCGTCCTCGGCCAGGAGTGATCTCGTTAGAGCTATTGAAACACAGAACATACCACTGACTGTTGGTGCTAAACAAGGCACATAGCTCCGGACGACCCTGAATTTGCAAGCGGGCCCAAGCTCTCGCCGCTAATTTTGGCCGCAACTCTTCATGTCAACTCTGCAACGCGTCCTTTCCCCCCCACTGATCGCATCCACAGAGCCTCTCTGAAGACTACTCGGGGCAAAGCCGCCACCATGGGGAAGAAACAGCAGTATATCCCACCCCTCATCGGGTGGCTATACGATTTGGTCCTTTGGACGTTCTCCGTTCTCATCGACCTCTTCTTCCGCGAGGTGCACCCGCGTGGATCTTGGAAGATCCCTCGTCGAGGCCCTATTATCATTGTCGCTGCCCCTCATGCGAACCAGGTACGTGACCCTCATACTATAATCACCATACCTGTACTGACCCGGTCCCCTCCGGTAGTTCGTCGATTCCCTCGTCCTCATGCGCGTCATTCGCAGCGAAGCCCACCGTCGGATCTCATGGCTCATTGCGGAAAAGTCGTTCCGGCGCAAGTTCATCGGTCTGCTGGCTAGGGGTATTGGAACATTGCCCGTGGCGCGCGCTATGGACAATTTGAAGCCGGGGACTGGCACCGTATATCTTCCCGACCCGATCAATGAACCCACCCTCCTGCGCGGCGTCGGCACCAACTTTGAAGGTGCTGGATTTGAGGCAGAAGGCACAATTGCACTACCCACGATCAACGGGACGTCGCACAGTACGGCTATTGCGGAAATTCGAGGCCCCGAGGAGTTGATCCTCAAGAAGCCTTTCAAGCACAGAGATGCTCTGTTCCAGCTGACGGGCAGGAAGGATATTGATGGTGATGGCAAGTTTACCGGGGATGCGGCGGATAAGGACCCGGAATTCAAGGGCACAAAGTTCAAGTTTGCGCCGCATGTGGATCAGACGGCAGTCTACGAGGCTGTGTTTGCGAGATTGAATGCTGGTGGCTGTGTGGGTATCTTCCCCGAGGGTGGTAGTCATGACCGCCCGTCTCTGCTTCCTCTGAAAGGTATGTTGCTTCGTACTCGTTTATCATTTGGCTTTGAATCAGGGCTGACCGCATGATAGCTGGTGTGGCTCTGATGGCCTTGGGAACTCTTGCGGACAACCCGGACTGTGGCTTGAAGATTGTACCCTGTGGCATGAACTATTTCCATGCTCATAAGTTCCGATCTCGTGCCGTTATCGAATTTGGTAACCCCATTGAAGTCCCAAAAGAGCTGGTAGAGCAATTCAAGCAGGGCGAACGACGCGAGTCTGTTGGTGCCCTGCTGGACATTATCTACCAAAGTCTCATTGCTGTCACCGTGACTAGCCCTGATTATGAGACTCTGATGGTGAGACTGCCCACAAACTCTTTATTCTTGATTCATTTCCAGTGCAGACTGGTTCTAACGAATCCTAGGTTATCCAAGCTGCTCGCCGCCTGTACAACACCAAAGGAAAGAAACTTCCCCTGCCGATGGTCGTAGAGCTCAACCGCCGCCTTGTGAAAGGTTATGCACACTTCAAGGATGATCCTCGAATCGTGCATCTTCGGGACTCGATTGCAAGCTATAATAAGCAGCTTCGTCTCCTCGGTATCCGGGACCACCAAGTGGGCTATGCCAAATTCTCGATCCTGCAAGTGATTGCTACACTGATCTACCGCCTGGGCAAATTGGCCCTCCTCACCATCGGAACTCTACCCGGTCTGCTCCTCTTCACTCCGGTCTTTATTGCAACCAAGTATCTGTCCATGAAGAAATCAAAGGAAGCGTTGGCAGCATCAACCGTCAAGTTGCAGGGTCGTGATGTGATGGCGACTTGGAAGCTGCTCATTGCCCTTGCATTCGCTCCGGCTGTCTACGCATCTTACACAGCTACGTTTACCTATTGGACGTATCGGAACCGAATTCAGGGCCTCGTGCCTGAATGGGTGCCGCTTTGGTTGATCGTGATAATTGGCATGGTGGGCTTCCCAACCATCACGTTTGCCGCTCTCCGCATCGGCGAAGTAGGCATGGACATAGTCAAATCTCTTCGACCGCTGGTACTGTCCTTGAATCCGTCTTCTGCCAATTCGCTGGTCAAATTGCGCGAAACGCGCGCGACGCTTGCCCAGCAGGTCACTGATGCAATCAACACGATGGGCCCCGAGCTCTTCCCCGATTTCGACGCCGCCCGGATCGTTACTGATCCCTTCCGTGAGGCTAGCGAAGAATCTGCCGCTGTGCGCGAAGCACACGAGCCGAAGCACACGCGTGAGCCCGAGACGGGCGAGAGTTGGACTTCATCGGAGCCTCTGCCACGCAACGAGTCGTTCCACAACTTGGCCAACATTGGCTTCTTCTCTACCCGACCTCCCAGCCGGAACCGTAGTCGCAGCAGCTCTGCTGGGCCAAGACCAGGCTCGCGACATGGAATGAAACCGCTGAGTCCCATGACCGTCCAGAAAGATACGCTGGAGGACGTTAGTTCGCGGATCCGGGATGCTATGAGAGAGCGGGGTGAGCGACGTCGACGCCGAAGTGAGGATGGGAGCTGGGACATGGCCAGCTCGGGGACAAGGACGCCGTCTAGTGGAGACGAATTGAGGAAGGATATGTGATCTTTGATGACCTATTATGATGGCCGTGTTTCGGCATCTTGAAACGATTTCTTGTAACCCATTTTTATGCATTTCATATGACCCACAATGCGAGATATCCCCTGTGTTTTGTTGGAGAATGTTTACCCAAGAATGTTCATACCTAGACATGGAATTTGCAGTCCGAGCCCTGTCTGCTAGAGAAATAGTGTATACTGATCCGTAGCACGGGACAGGTTTAGGTATACTCAACATACGCCGAGGCAAGCGGCAGTAGCTCTGAATGTGAAGCCGGGAACGGATGCTCACCTCGGACCGCCCAGCTTCTGTTTCTGGGCTCAACTTGGAGCACTGTGCAGGCGGGGTCATAGATTAGCAAATTGTTGAGACTGTTGTTGTTGGCAGCGCTTGGCGGATACGAAGCCCGCAAGTCTCGCCACCAGATTTCACAGAACGAGGAGTCCGACTGGTGCAGAAGCGGAATAGTGTAGCCTGGCATTGCCTCCCTCGGTTTTTTGAACTTTTTCCTTTTTTAACCTCTTGACATCCTCATGACATACTCCGCATAGCATCATTGGTCATTTTCATTTTATTGTATATTTCTCTTTCCAGCGTTGCGGTTTAGAAGGTGTGCAGCTCATCGGAATATCTGACCACGTCGCCCGTTGCCAACGGCCTCGAACTCGAAAAGAACCGCCCCGTCCTGTCTCAACCTCTCCCATTCTCCGTCCGCGCATCCTTCGCTCTCCTCCAGCGACCTCCGTTTAATATTCCTACTTCCTTCGCTCGACTTTCGTCTTCTATCCCTCACCATGGCCGGCTCAATGCATCTGTCGCGCCTCCGGAGGTGGTTCCTTGCCTCGCCGCCGATCGAGTTTGCCATCACCACCCTCAAGGAGCTATTGGTGGGCGCACTCCGCCAGGGGCCGATCCCGCAGCATGTCGCCTTTGTGATGGATGGGAACCGCCGGTTTGCGAGGTCACATGGAATTGAGACTGTGGAGGGTCACAATCTGGGATTTGAGGCGTTGGCTAGGGTATGCCGTTCTCTCCTTGGTTGACGAACCGAACGCTCCGGACAGCCGGGCTTGCTCAATTGGTGAATTATAATTGATACTGACGAAGCGTTTGATCAACTAGATCCTCGAAGTCTGTTATAAAAGTGGTGTCAAAGTGGTCACCATCTACGCATTCAGTATCGAGAACTTCAAGCGCTCCAAATTCGAGGTTGATGCGCTCATGGACATGGCCAAGGTGAAGCTGTCCCAGATGGCGCAGCATGGAGATTTGCTGGATCGATATGGTGCGAAAGTGCGCGTCCTCGGCCGCCTCGACCTGCTCAAGCCGGACGTTCTCGCTGCGGTTAACAAGGCTGTTGATCTGACCAGCCGCAACGGTGACCGCGTGTTGAACATTTGCTTCCCTTATACCTCCCGCGATGAGATGGCGACCGCGATTCGTGAGACGGTGGAGGATTACAGCACACCTCTTCGCCCTGCTCCCTCCGCGAACGGCCCTGCTCGTACGCCCTTCTCCGAATCTCACATCACGCACAACATTCGGGCGCAGACACTTGGGTCATCAAACCCTCAAGATACACAGAGTGATTCTGAGTACTCGTCGGCAGAATCATCCGCTCAAGAAGATGATCCTGTCTTGCGCAATGATCATGCCAGTCGGGTCTACGAGTCCGGTTCGTCCTTTTCGTCTTCGACAACTCTCCATCTCGGCCCACAGGATGGCCATCACAACAAGGGCGCGGCTGCGGGGACTACATCGGACGGTGACGGTCCCGTGTACATGTCTCCCGAAAATATTTCGCGTCAAACCCTCACCGATCACATGTTAACCAAGGGCACGCCGCCTTTGGATATGCTGGTGCGGACCTCTGGCGTCGAGCGACTGAGTGATTTTATGCTCTGGCAATGCCATGAAAACACAGAGATTGTCTTCTTGGATGTTCTGTGGCCAGAGTTCGACCTCTGGCACTTCTTGCCCGTTCTGCTCGGATGGCAACGACGGATCTCCAAGTCTCGCCAGAACCCCAATGCCGAAGGCAACTTTGCGGGTGATAGTCCGGAGACTAGCGAGGAAGATGTTGATAACATGGTGTTGCGACAAGGCAAAGTCAAGGCGATATAGATCATTCTCTTCTTCTGTGTATTGTATCCTAATATCTTTGTTTTCATTCCTCTCAGCATTCAGTGGAGTTTGGAGTTATGGACAACCCCGACTGACCATTCTGTTTTATACATATACCACCAGCATTAGCAGCATTCTCTCCTGATGTGCATACACGCCTCCTCTCTGCATCATCCAAATATCATTCTCATTCCTTCTCTTCTTCCACGTACTTCCCATACTATTGGCCCAAATGATATCGGGAATCCTCCCGATTGCTTAGATAAACCCCCGCGCCGATACCGGCCACGTGACGGAGGTGACTCAACCGCACGGAAATGGACGAAGGCAACTCCTCCACTCCATTCCATTGTCCATACAAACAATTGAGTTCAAAATGGTCAAGTCAATTGCTGGTTCCAAGGTCCTCCTGCTGGGCTCGGGCTTCGGTACGTGCCTCTTTCTCACGCTGTTGCAACAACCATATGGCGTAGCTGCCCCTCAATGGCCAGCTCTCTTCTCCAAAATAAGAATACAGACAAGATACTGACCTTCTGTTTTCTCATAGTCACCAAGCCCACCGTCGAGGTCCTGAGCAAGGCTGACGTTGAGGTCACCGTCGGTATGTGCCAATGGCTCTGAATAGCTCTCCCCCAAGCACCCGTCAAGCTTCCCTCCGAATTACCCCGCCATATCCTACCAAGAGTCCCTAGGGTTGGGATAACGACCAGGGTTATGCGCCACTCCCGCGGGTCCATCTCACGGTTGAGAATATAACATCTTTGCTGATAACTGAACGTGTGTAAACAGCTTGCCGTACCCTTGAGAGTGCCAAGGCCCTTGCTGGCGACTTCAAGAACACCAAGGCCATCTCCCTCGATGTCAGTGATGATGCCGCTCTCGACAAGGCCATGGAGCAGGTCGACGTGGTCGTCTCGCTGATCCCCTACACTTTCCACGCGACTGTCATCAAGTCGGCCATCCGCACCAAGAAGAATGTTGTCACCACCTCGTATGTCTCTCCCGCTATGGAGGAGCTCGACGCCGAGTGTAAGAAGGCTGGCATCACCGTCATGAACGAGATTGGCCTGGGTAAGAATCATTTCCTTTGAATCATGCTTTGTGGTTTAGATTTTATGACTAACACTTTTACGATGCTTATAGACCCCGGTATTGATCACCTTTGTAAGTGTTCAGCTTTGATTTGATTTCGAAAATCCAATTCTAATCATTTTCTAGACGCCGTGAAGACCATCTCCGAGGTCCACGCCGCTGGCGGCAAGATCACCGGCTTCATCTCCTTCTGCGGTGGTCTCCCCGCCCCCGAGGCCTCCAACAACCCTCTGGGTTACAAGTTCTCTTGGTCCAGCCGCGGTGTGCTGCTCGCCCTCCGCAACGCTGCCAAGATCTACCAGGATGGCAAGGTCGTCAGCATCGACGGCCCCGACTTGATGGCTAACGCCAAGCCCTACTTCATCTACCCCGGATTTGCCTTTGTTGGTTACCCCAACCGTGACTCAACTCCCTTCCGCGAGCGCTACGAGATCCCCGAGGCCCAGACCGTGATTCGCGGTACCCTGCGTTACCAGGGCTTCCCCGAGATGATCAAGGTCCTCGTCGACACTGGCTTCCTCAAGGATGAGCCCAACTCTGTCTTCGATAGCGCGATCCCCTGGAAGGAGGCTACCGCCAAGGTTCTCGGCGCCAGCTCTTCCTCCGAGAAGGACCTCACCTCGGCCGTCCAGAGCAAGACCACTTTCCCCAGCAACGAGGAGCGTGACCGCCTGTTGGCCGGTCTGCGCTGGATCGGCCTCTTCTCCGACGAGGCCATTACCCCCCGCGGCAACGCTCTCGACACCCTCTGCGCCACCCTCGAGAAGAAGATGCAGTACGAGGCCGGCGAGCGCGACATGGTCATGCTGCAGCACAAGTTCGACATTGAGCACAAGGACGGCTCCAAGGAGACCCGCACCTCTACCCTGTGCGAGTACGGTAACCCTGCCGGCTACTCCGCCATGGCCAAGTTGGTCGGTGTTCCCTGTGGTGTTGCTGTCAAGCAGGTCCTTGACGGTACCATCTCCCAGAAGGGTGTTCTTGCCCCTATGACCATGGAGATCTGTGCTCCTCTCCTGAAGACTCTGAAGGAGGAGTATGGTATCGAGATGGAGGAGCGCACTCTGTAAGTCTGTCGCTGCTGTCTGAAAAGCTACAAGTAGCAAAAAGTACAACGAATGATATAGATCATGATTGGACGTATTATTGGGGTTCCCTCTATAAGTGTAGCGTCGTATTAAGAAGTAGTGTGGTAAGCCTTGATTTGGAAACACCGACACAACTGTAACCCCGTCTTATCAATCTTGCATTTGGCAGCTCCTCGCGCCTATCCCTCGAAACCTATCGAGGAGGAACTACTTTCCCCAACCTCCTCAGCTCCAACACTCATTGCCTATGCAACCGCCTCATGGCAAGTGCCATGTCTTCCACCAAGTTTGAGAGACCGATGCTGGTGAGATGGATGTTTGGGTGGATGGGGCCTGGGATGAGGGTCTTGCAATTCGGATTAAAAGGTTTCCTTCGAGTGTTTTGAGAATACGGTGATTGCTATTCCGTCGGTGCTTTGGTCTAGCAGGTCTTGTAGGATTATTGGGGCGTTGTCTTGAGTTCGGGGTTGGGTGTTCATTATAGAGTCGGGGATAGGGTGGTTGACTGTAACGAGGCGAAGGTGATTATTATTTGATAATTCCTCGGAGCTTCTTGTTTCGAGTTGCTTCTCTTTGGATAAGGATTGATGTTCACTGTCATTTGTAGTCTGGTGTCGAACATGACGGGTTGAATAGTTCGGCTGAGATGATACACACATCATGAGTGCAGCGATGCAAGATTTGATGACAGTGGACTTTACGAACAGCTTATGCTCCGGAGCCAAGCTCTTTCCGAGAGACGTTTTACCGTCATTAGATTACAGTTTAGGTCAATTCGCAGGCGATGATATCAGTGCGTTCTTTCTTGACTTCATTATCATAGGCATATCACTTTCCTCTATCGTAGCATCATTGCAGTCCCCGTCCGAGGCTAGACAAGGGTGAAACATAAAAAGACCCGAGCGAGCACAAGCTCAAAAACTCCGAGAAACATGGAAAAGAAGCAATCGACCGGCAAAAAGTACTTGCGAATGGTGGTAGCCCAACGACTCATCTATAACTGGAAACTTCCCTCCGTGCAAGGCCCCCAACCCTAGTTCCTGCGCCATATTTCAGGCGCGGAAAGAATGTCGAGTAATGGGCGTGCTTCTCTATGTTCTCTTGTTTCCGATGCTGCGTTTGCAAGGTGGAAGAAACGGAATTGGCGACCACAAAGTGGCGTTCTTTGTAGATCGTATCAGGCGGTTAATGAGAAGGCTTGGAGTCGATCAGAGAATAGTGCCAAACCTATACCGAGCAGAAGAACGAGCAAAAACGTCAGTAATGATGTCCGAAGCAGCGACTGTGAAGAAATGGATCTGGAACGAAAAAGGACCCGCATTGGTCAAAGTGCTTGCATGGGGAAAGGGGAACCTTGAGTTACGTACCCGAAAGTCTGCTTGATGCTGCGCACGTAATACAGCTCCCAATTCTGCTTGGTTACATCCTCCTGGCCAATGGGAACACCGGACCACTCGACACGCAGCTGGGTGACGCCATCAACGTCGTTCTGGTCCAGGTTGATCTCGAGAGTGCTGAAGTGACCCTCAGGCCACTGGGCGAGGCGCCACTTCTGAACGATCTGCTTGGGAGCGTCGAGCTTGACGAACTCGCCGGTGACATTGCCATCAAAGATGGCAAACTTGCCGCCGGGCTGGGCGCCCTCGAACTGGCGGGGGGCACCTCGGGTGAAGGCGGCGATGCGCTGGGGGTCGGTGAAGGTGTTGTACAGCTCCTCGGCGGTGGTGCGGAACTCGTCCGATGCGGTCACGGTGGTAGTGTTAACGGCAACCTTGCCGGTGGTGGACGTGGTAGAAGTGGCGGTAGGAGCAGCCTCCTTCTTGTTGGTCGGGGGGTGGACAGCGGCGGGAGTGAAGCCGGCGGAGGGGTTCACGCCGGGGGCGTGCTGAAGGTCCTTGGCGTGCTCGGTGATAAGGGCGCCGGTGAGGGTGGCCAGGGTCTTGCGAAGCTGGGGGAGGATCTTGGAGCGAACGAGGTCCTTTACGGGCTGCTTGGACGAGGCATCGGAGTAGATCTCAATCTCGAACTGGAACGGTCTCCTTGTTAGTCGGGGAGTACTCTTTCCAGGCATTGTGTGCTCGACGGCACTGCCAGAATTGAGAAAGGGTCTTTTTTTTAAGGGAACGTACGACGTACTCATCTTCCTCGGTGTCGTGGGCTACCTCGGGGATGGTGATGGAACCGGTGACCTCCTCGCCGTCCTGGGTCTTACCTATCGAACAGTCTCAGCTGCCATCACGGAAAAAGAGATTTTCGTGGAACTACAAACCTGAATACTCTAGCGACAGCTTGACATCATACAAGGTGATGACCTTGCCCTTGCGCTGGCTGACATCTACGTCGCCATTCATGGACAGCACCTTGTCTACTTGGGCGGACACGCCATCTTGCTCAGCAGTGATGGCGCTCAGTTTCTCCTGCAAGTACTCCTTGGCCCAGCCAGAGGCATCCTTGTTCACCCAGTGCCAGTTGTTGGGGTTGTGGAGGACCATGATGACGATTTATGGAAAATATGAAAAGTTTCTGATTTGTGGGAAGATTGTGAGAGGGTCGAATGGGGAATCTTCCTTCTTCAATTTTCCTTGGGGGTTCTTTTTTTCTGCCTGGAAATCGCAGCACGGTCAAGGGATTCCTTTTGACTTGCGTTTTTTTTTGTCCTTTCCAACCAGATCTAGATCTTTTCAATTGAGACGTGTTAGCGAGGTGTCCAAGTGAAGATTGGTGGCGAAATGGTGGGAGAAAAAAATTGCACGAAAAATTTCGGTGCAAAAGCCACAAATATCAGGACCGGCTGCGTATAGTTGCCGGTCGTAAAGCTATTCAGCAAGCGAATGACAGACGTATCCATCATTCCTCTGACTGGTGCCAGCTGCATCTCATCATTTGGGCGGGTTGTGGCCTCGGACGGGGAGTCCGTTGGGAAGGAAGACCAGGGAGAGGAATGTCTCCTCAATTGGGCAGGTTCGAAGGGATGGTGGTTGAGTGTGATGAACTTACAAATTGGCAAAGTAATCAGGTGAATACAGAATGAGAGAAAGGGAAGTAGTTGGGAGGGGGAAAGGAGTGGATGAGGGAGGAAACTCGATATTTGAGTGAACTCGGACGGAAGACTCTAGAAGGGAGATCACGTGTTTCGGTGGGTATGGTTGACCAAGTGGATCCCTTAGGCATACAATTTGCCGTAGTAGTAGAGTTGATTGTATTCTAGGTCGATGAGGATGAACGCCTCCAATAATAGGCCTGGTATGATATTCTTGATGAGATCCTTATTATACGCTTATTGGGTTTTAGTTTCCCGAGGCATTGCGAGGTCTGTATACAGCCCCAGTCTTCATCAACCCATCGTTTTGACCAATTTCTTCATCACTATCCTCTGGAGTGAAGGCCGCTGGAAATCAAAATGTTCAATAAAATCAATAATAAGATACGACATTTTACAAAGAATATTCTATCCTCTGCAACAGAGAAACTGCCGCTCATATGGCAATGGACGTTTTGCGCCAAAAGGATCCAGTATCGTAACATCGACGACGAATGATACTACAACACCCATTGTAAATTATTTTTTCCAAGTCCTATCTCTTTAGCATACACGCCATTTTTCTTACCGCATCCAATCTCCATACACAAGCCTCGCAGCATACAAAATCAGAACATGTATACACGCTGATCTAAAATGCTGCCCGGGCTTCTAGTCAAACAGCTGAAAATTGAGACCATTCCTCCTAGACTAAAGTACTACAGAAATCTGTAGATCCGTATTAGGCCTAGGTGGCTTGAATACCCCATTCGACTAAGCATCTAGACGCCTCACACCGGCCACATTCTGCTCCACTGTGACCTCCTGTGTCATACTGATTCCATGCTCACTGATGACACTCCGAGCACTGCTACCTTCCTTATGGGCTTGCAGGGTGATCTCTTCCCCATTATAGCTGCCGGAAGGATAATCTGATCGGTCATAGCTGGAGCGGATTCGAACGAGAAGGACACGAAGGGCGGGGATGGAGGCAGCGAAAATAGTAAGACCTGTCTCAACAGAGGCCCAGATTGTGATGCTAGTGCAGAACCCTGAGAAAGTTTCAGTTATGTTATAACAATGAGTGCTTCGAGCAAAAAGTTAAACCTTACAGGTGAAATCCTGGACCTGGGCAACATTAACCAATTTCGACGTCTTGATGAATGCGGCAATGGCGGCGCTGGGCGGCTGTCAGTCAATGGACCCTCATCATCAGCAATGTGGCTAGCTTACATGACACCCATACTCATGGCTAGTGCAATACCAGCCTTTTCTCGCTTCTTCATTTCGAGATCCCAGAGGACCGCCCATGGTAGAAGAGCAAGAATCACATCCATGCACCCAGAATATGCTGCTCGACGTCAAATAAAGTACTACCGTTTCAAGGAATTCGTCTTACCTCCGGCAACAAGAGCAATGATTTCAAAAACTTCTGTCGGCCAGCACTTCGCGGTAGCCAGGAGCTCAGCATTCCAAAGAGCCGCCGCCGGCTTGCATTGAGCCAGATAACATATGGCACAAAGCCACATGATAGCATTCATCGTGACAATGATGAACCAGATGAGAACCTTCATCCAAGTTTTGGTCACGATACGCAGGAGAGTAAAAGCAAAAGACGTCTTGCTGAAGACACAGCCGATGATGATAATCACGAAGCTGATATATAAAAGCTTGAGAGCTGGCGGTATGACTTCCGGGTCTTCGATAGCGAATACATGTCGACCGATAACTCCCATGTTCACAGACCGAGTGATAAGAGCCGTATATATCAAGAGCAAAGACTAGTCTTTAAGTCAATCAATGCCAATCGCATAAACTTTCTCGTTTACACATACCCAGGCGACGCAGATGATAGCGTCATCCAGGCCAAAGCCTCTCTTGCTCAGTCCGACCTTGCACCAAATTCTCAACCCGACCATCAGGCCGGGAATAATGACCAGAAGCCAGCAAACCGCCAAAATGGTCGGTCCCTGGTTCTGGGCATCAAGGGCTGCAGATTCCATAGCCATGATGACTTTTAGATGTCTTGGGCCCTTTTTCGTACACAACGATGGCAAGTTGAGAGGAATGAAATGGTTGAGGTTTGCCTGTAAGATACAGCGGACATCATGGCAAGATAGTGTTAATAAACATTAACCAAGCGCCCCTAAAGAGGTAAACTTCATTGCCAGGTCTAGCCGAGAAGTGGATAGAAGCAACAGGGAAACGACGGATGATCATCCCGAGTAGAATATGGCCCCAAATGTGATATTCCAATCAGAGAGATATTATGCTATGCGGGAAATAGAACCTTGCATTCCAAAGATGACAGATGCTATGCCTGCTCCTAATCCGACGACCGGGATTGACTGACAGCCATTGAATGATGATCATCCCGAATGATTCGAACTATTGAGGCCCCTGGACCAACTATTTGAGAACGTCAGGCTAGTCATGGCAAGTCGCAATCCTGGCCAACGGTACAACACCAAGAAGCAAACTCGACAGATCAAGTGTTAGGGTTACATAGACCAAGCCAAGCAGTGGCAATCTTTAAGACGATCCATGACAGATCAATCGGCCCTGGTCAGAACAAGCAATTATCCTGGTTTACGATACCCCATACCCCGGAGATATGTACGACGTATATACATGAGCAAGGAGCAAGGATAAACCTCAATATATGGACCATGAATGTGGTGGCAATCTGGGGCTGTTCAAGGCACGCGAGCTTGTCCTATGTAGGTTTAGAGGTGCCACCTTGTGGAAGCCGCCTACAATGGCCTCGCCACTGCAAGAGCTGCATAGCATGGAAATGGTGAAATGAGGGATTATGTAAAATTTAGCATCAAATTCCAAATTGTTGCGTTGGCTTGGGTGAAGACTCCCACGCATATCACTCGTGGAGAAGGGCTGAGGCCCTGGCGCTAGAGACCATCCCCACGGGTCTGGGAGACTTTGCATCCGATTGATCAACGGAAATTTTTTAAGAAAAGGGAGCGAGCTGAAGTAGTCAATTTCCTGAAACAATGCTTTGTCCTTCAATGACATGTAGCTGGGCCTGGCGTTTTGTGCGTGTCTATGGAGTACTGTCTCCCACACAACGCGTGGAAAGCGGCCCTCCCCGCCTCTCCACTTCTGGTTGAACTCAGAACCCCCGGTGGCTTGCTCACTTGGTGTAGATGTGATCTATCAATTTGCCTAGCACGATCACTAACGGTGCGAGAGGTACATTAGTTCGTAAAACTTTTCAACGGAAATGACTACCGTGAGAAGGGAACCAATAAGGTTAGTGGATGCCGGAAAAAGGGCCCAGCCTATTGGATATTAATTGTACGAGAAATCCTTGCAGCCCGCTAGTGTACTGTGATATGCAGGTGCGGTTCGGAAAGTTCTGCATAAAGAGTACGTAGATGTCTGTACAATAATAAGCTGACCTCTGGCCATTCGAACCGTTTTCCAGCCACTTAGGTTGCCTTGTCCGTCAACAAGCGCTGTTAGAACCCCCTTCTTCTCGATGTCTTCTTACAATTGACAAAAGTACATACCTAGTGCCCTCATGGATTCCCCTTCCCCTCTCTTCTTGTCGCCACTACTGTCTGTGCGAATGGCCCTCCCTCGTTGGTATACCTTGAGAAACCCCTCTTTTGTGGGGCATGAGAGGAGGGACTAGATCTCTTGAATAAACTCTGTTCGAACTTGGTCTGTTATTTATGTAGCTGGAGAGGATGCCCCGAAAATGTCAATTCCTATCTCTGTGTTGTACAATTTTATCAGACTTGAAACTGGGCGGACACCATGAATTCTGTGGCAAATATCGTCACGAACCTTGCTCTCTCGGCGGTGATTCTTTTTGTTTCTCGCTGTCTCTGGAATTACGCCAGGTCCCCGCTAAAGTCGTTCCCGGGGCCTTCTGCTACCAGCTTCACCAATATCTGGCGTTTACAGGACGTCTTTCGGGGCCGCTGCGATATCACGCAAACTGCGCTACACCGCAAATATGGATCCGCTGTTCGAATGGGTCCAAATCTTCTCAGTCTTTCCGATCCGAACTTGATTAGCCAAGTGTATAATACGAGGAGTCCATGGCTAAAGGTATGTTGGTTCCTTGTTGGGTTGCCCGGATTTTTCGTTCTTAATCATGGTTCTATCTAGAGTAACATGTATAATGTCAATGATGTCGTTGTCGCCGGCAGCCGCTTAAGCAACCTCTTTTCCAGCCAGGATGAGAAGTGGCATTCGACTTTTACTCGCCCCGTCAAAACTCTTTATTCTATGAGTAGAGTCCAGGAAGTTGAGGATAATATGGATATTACACTGAATCTGTTTCTTGAAAAGCTCCGCGAGCGATTTGTTCGCACTGGAATTACTTGCGAGATGACTGATTGGATCAGCTTCTGTAAGTGTGCATTGCAAGCTTCTCATGATATCAGCTGATAAATCCAGTTGCTTGGGATGCTATGAGCCAGGTCACCTTTTCTCAGGACCTTGGTATCCTCGAGGCCGGTACCGACTACAAGGGCTTCCTTGGAAGATCTGAAAAAACACTGGACTATTTTGCTACAGTATGAATTCCAATACTTTTTCTTAGCGGCAAAGATATGCTTACGATTTTGATTTTACTAGATCTGTCAAGTCCCCTTATTGGACAAGCTCTTTGACAAGAACCCAATCATGCGCATCGGACCTCCAACCTTCGTTTGGGCCAACATCTTCAGCCTCGAGCAACTTCAGAGACGCTACCAGGAGGGGAACCCAAAAAGCAAGCAAGACTTCCTCGCCAAATTCCTCGAGATCAAAGAGAAAAACCCAGAACTAGTGAACGATAACGTTATCATCCTCTGGCTTCTTTCCAATGTCCTCGCGGGTAGCGACTCAACGGCCTATACTATGTGTGCAGCAATCTACTACGTCCTCAAGAACCCGGACGTCCACAAGAAGCTCTGTGACGAGCTCCGTTCCGCCAACCTCACACTCCCCGCGAGATGGAAAGATATCCAGGGACTCAAGTATCTTGAAGCTGTGATGCGCGAGGCTATGCGCGTACACCCCGGCGTTGGTCTGATCCTCGAGCGCACCGTTCCCCAGGGAGGGCTATCTCTCCCCGATGGTCGGGTTGTGCCCGCGGGAGTCACCGTAGGAATGAACCCTTGGGTGATCAACAAAGATGAGGGTGTATTCGGTGCCAATGTGGATGAGTTCATTCCTGAGCGCTGGCTTCAGAGACCGGATGAGCCCGAGGAGATCTATCAAGCGCGATTTTCCAAGATGAAAAGTACGGACTTCACCTTTGGGGCTGGATCGCGGGCTTGTTTGGGACGATATCTGTCACAGCTGGAGAGCTTCAAGCTTATTGCTACCTTGTTCAGCTCCTTTGATGTAAGTGGAAGTCAAAGATCAACCTACATTTGCTGCGTTTGAAGGGGTCGGTTGGTTAATGAGACCTATAGATGGAACTCCCCAGTCAAGATCATCAGTGGAAGGTGACCAACTCGTGGTTTGTGAGACAGAAGGATCTACCCGTTCGTCTTTCAGAACGTAGAGATGAAACTGTCGTTGTCTGATACGCTGGATATGCTGGGTGTTATCATGGGTTTTGTTTTCTGAATAGGGACATCTAATGAAGCGTGGAAGATATTTGGCGACCAAGAATTGATTCTCGGCAATCATTGTTTTGAGAACTTTTTGATTATGAAGGCATATAAAGGCATATCAAAGACCATGTGGTAATGCTGTAGTCAACGGTATTGTAGGCGAGGTTGAATGTGAGTGCACTCAAAGACGATCCAGTGATGATCCTCTCCTGCGGCACCTGCGGCATTCGTCCATTTCCCCGCCTGCCCCGCAAACAAACCTCCTCCCTTACGGTTACGGACTCGAGAAACTTTTGAAGGTCCAGACCCTGGCCTTGGATCCGGGAAATGAGCCTGACTTTACTCCTGGCCTGGCCCTAACGCTCAAGCCGATCTCTCGTTTTTCACGTCTCTCATCTCTCATCGGGACCTTGTTTTGCGATTTTCCTCATCTCACCTTTATCCCGCCCGCTGACGACTCCCGAACCTCAAACAACAGTTGCATGACTGTCAGATCCACGTCACCATGTCTATCAAGTATGTCCTCTCTCACCCGATTCTCATGCATCAAAGATCAAGTCTAAGTAGTAATCGGATTCCACAGCTGGGTGATGCTCAACGATCAGGATAGCTTTGTCCGCCTCCCCAACGAGCGCCTGATTTACACCTCACCTCCCCGCACCAGCCTGGCGCTGACACCCCCATCGGGCTACAAGGGCAAAGAGACCTTGTCGGTACAGAGCAGCGCGGGCTGTATTCATCTCACTAACCAGCGGGTATATATCCTTGTCCTTAACATCCTTCCCGCCGAGCATCCTGGCTTTCTTAACTGACAATCTCCACCGGCATAGGTCGTCTACCTACCGGCCCAGAAATCGAACGACTTTCAATCCTTCTCCTCTCCTTTACTCAACGTCCGCGACTCCCATGTTTCCGCCCCATTTTTCGGTCCCAATGTTTGGACTGCGCTCGTACAACCAGTCGCTGGAGGCGGCATCTCCCCGTCGCTACCCGCCGTCCAAATCAAGGTAACCTTCAAAGAAGGCGGTGCCTTCGACTTCCACACCAACTTTGAGCGGATCAGGGAGCGCTTGGAACAGGCAGTGGAGAACGTGAGCGATGGCCCGCGAGGAATGCGCGGCGTGGATCTCTCTGCGGTGCACCTTGACGAGTTGCCGGCTTACGATGCCCCGGGGAACACAGCACCACTTCCTCCGGTCTCGACCGGTGCTCCGACAGCGCCCCAGCACACTCGACAGGTGTCCGAGGCAGGACCTGAACCGGTAGAACCGCCGCCCTGTTATGAAGAGGTGCAGTCGCAGAGCGTGGCCCAGGAGCTCGAGGAGAGTTTACGACGGGCCAGTTAATCTATCGGTTGCAGTAGCAGGATTGAGGTGAATGGGAACTCGGCATGAGCTATCCTCGTTCTTTTCTTTATTTTCTCCCATATGAACCAGGCTCTGAGAGCCAAGAGGATACCATTTTCATGTACATTATAATTCTCCGATTTGATAGTTACTTAAAGCGGTTACGGCAGTTCCCCATAGAAAGCGATCGGGACTGACTTGACGTGCACTGGCGCCACTCCAATGACCAATCTACCGGTCACGTAATGGACCTTCGCGATTCACATAGAGCTTGAAGATCCGTTCTTGCAACAAGTGTTGAAAAGTTATCATCCCAATCGACGCCGTTGGGATGAGATCGTGACGACGAGCGACTGACCAATCACGTGCGTCACAATTGTGCTCTCAGCGGCCGGGGCGTCCCGATTTTCCAGTCCGAGCTTGGAAAACCACATCCTCGACTTCACCACCCCTACCTTCAACCCCATACACCTAAACCCCCCCCACCACCATCTCTCACGACCCCCCGGTCATTGTCTTCAATTGACAGTCGCAATGGGCTTCGCCGACTTTTTCACTGACGTCGTCTCCTCCCTGGGCTTCACCGAGGCTCAGGCTGAGGCTCCCGCTGCCGACGTCGAGACTTCCACCCCCCAGGACGCCGAGCCCGCCGAGAAGACCGAGGAGTCCACCGAAGAGTCCACCGAGACCGAGTCTGCTGAGGAAACCCCCGAGGAGTCCTCCGAGGAGTCCTCCGAGGAGGCTCCTGAGGAAGAGGAGGCCGCCGAGGACGAAGAGGAGGAGGAAGAAGAAGAGGAGGAGGAGCCTGAGGACATCAAGCCCAAGCTCGAGGAGGGTGAGTGATTTTGATCTTGCTTTGATTGCGTAATTGTCATTGCCAGTTGGAAGATTCGCGTGGTCACAACGTGTTACCGGGCGGGCGGATGTTTCGAGCCTGGCCGCAGCTGGCATTGGCAGCATCACCCACACCGCGGATTGCTTCAATGGCATTACAATCGCTTCGGATCATCTGAAAATTTGGAAGATCATGCATCACTGACTTTGCCTCGTTCAGAGTGCGCCAACTCCGCTCAGTGCGCTCCCTACAAGCACCACTTCGAAGAGTGCGTCGAGCGTGTCACCCGCCAGCAGGAGGATGAGGACTACAAGGGCCCCAAGGAGGACTGCGTTGAGGAGTGTAAGTACTCCGTCGGATTGAGGAGTCACCTGCAGCGCATTGCCGTCAATCGTTGTACAATGAATCTACCAAGGAAGAAATGGCTAACATGGCACCCAGTCTTCCACCTCACCCACTGCGCCACTTCCTGCGCCGCCCCCAAGCTCTGGCGTGAACTCAAGTAAACGGATCACTCGGGACCTTTTTCCAGCATAGCGTCTCTCTATTCTCGCATCGATTCGACCCCGCACGATCCGGCCGACTCGACACGAGCATACCAAGACTCAATACCTGGAAGAATTACGAATCCGTTTCGCTGATGACTGTCATCCACAATATCAGACAGTCTGCCGTCTATGTCCTTGGTTTGAAAACATGGGGTTGGCGAGGAGTGTTTTGCATCCTTTCTCGCATCCCCTTGTGCATATGGTGTTTTCAAGGCAGGGAGGGAGGAAGCAAGGGAAAGGAAAGAATAATAGACCGCCTTCTCTCTGCCTTGCATGTACAGATAGCTGGTCTTCCGCCTGTTCGAACTGTGCTTGTGTTTTTATTTACTGTGTCTTAAGACGAATCTCATCTGTTGAAAACGGAAGGATTTGATGTGAAATGCGCTGTTTCTAACATTTTTTCTCACTTGGTAACCGAGAGTAGATTCCAGTTCTACATAAATTCATTTAAAGCTAGGAGTACAGGTGATTTATGGGTCTCGATCCTGACTGATGCACACAGATCAGTCCCCATCGTCCGAGGCTGTCTGGGAAGGGCATCCATCCTTAGAACAACGCCGGTGCAGACCGTTCGCTGCTTGATCTTATGAGCCTTTATATGGGCTGAAATTTTACAATTGAACTGGCCAGCAACCGTCAGGTCGGGCACAACTCATCACTTAAGACCTTACACTAAGGAGCTTTCATCTACAGATATAAGTCCTTAGCGGGCCGCGCGATGCGCGGCCAATTAGAATAAGGCGGATAATCAATGAGTTCAACCTCGACAGTTGGCAATCAATAAATCAATAATTATGGCCCGGTTTAGCTTCCATTTTATATAGGTGCTATGCGGGGATTTGCTACCCTCCCCTTTCCAGCAGCAGACACGGAGAAAAGATGGTGGTAGAACCAGCTGACCAAGCCATCGGCGAGAGGTAAATATTTAGTAAGTGGTTGGTCTGTCCTGAAAGGTCAGGCCTTCGACTGGCCAGTTAGCCTAGCCACAGCGCGAGCCGCAGAAACCAGGCCACGCAGGCCACCACCGACGAGTACAAGAAGGGAAGTGGAACAAACGCAGCAAATAAGGCTAAACAAGCCAAACACCAACAAAGGAAACGGACCAAACGAAAGAAGGGGAACCGCTGCAGTCCCCGCAATCTCTAAGTCCCCCATCCTATTGCCCAGAGTTCGGCAAGTTGAACTTGGAAGTACCCGGTGCCAAATAATAAGAGCAGCTCTGGAGTAACCATGAAATTGTTCGAAGATGCGACATCTTTCGAGATATTTCAGTCGATCCTCAAAGTCGTTCCCCTCGAGGATGTCTTCTTTGAGTGGTAATCCTGACCTGTTCGAGTACACTTCTGGGCGCTTTTTGTGAGTCGTGGCGGTTCGCTGCTGAACGCGCTATTTGCAATAAATTAACAAGCCGTGTTGAATAGATTCAATGAAGAGCTCCGCCGCGCCGAACGCCGTATCCAATTCGATATAGATGCTCTTGCAAGGGTAGCCTGCCATTCTGTTGGCCGCCACCTCAATGGTGTGGCCTCGATCACGAAACTCGCCGAGCCCGGCTTCAACCGTGTCTTGCAAATCACCTTCGACGATGGATATGCAATTCTTGCAAGGCTGCCTTACAAGACGACTGTTCCAAAACATTATGCAGTGGCCAGTGAAGCTGCCACACTCGCACTTCTGCTTGCTCATGGGGTCCCCGTCCCTAAAGTCCAGACGTATTCTCCAGATCAGACAAAACCCCGTTGGAACCGAATACATTCTACTTGAAAGACTTGAAGGAACACCCTTGAGCAACCAGTGGTTCTCTATGGATATTGAAACTCGGGTCAAAATAATGAGACAGATTGTTAATGTGGAGAAATGGTTCATGAGCATTCACTTCCCGGCAAGCGGAAGTCTTTATCACCGTCGTGATCTTAACAGCTCACAACACGTTATCCCAGTCTTAGACGACATTGTCGTTAGTCTAACTGCACAATATGAATGGTGGTATTAGGAACGGGCCTCTCTAGAGGAGCTTAACCGCGGCCTATGTGAGTCGCTATCCCTGCCTTTTCTCTGCAAGTATTGACTTCGATCTAAGGGGATACCTTTTCTGCATTCTTTGAAGCACCCGCCAAGCGCGAGCTAGAACTCTGCGAACGATTTGGCAAACCACGCCTACACGTCGAAAGATACCTACGAGAAATACACCAGTTCTCAAACCTCTCGCCTATTCCGTACTAACACCTCTTTACTAATTATTTGAAGTTAGCGCCTTACCTCGACATCCTATCCGACCACCGTATGTCTCGCCCGACACTTCGCCATCCAGACTTTTTACCTAGTAATATTCTCGTAAATACTTCTAAAGACGTAGTAGGAATCATTAACTAGCAATATGTAGTTATTCTGCCTCTCTGTCTGTGCGCTGGAATTCCCGATTATTTTCAAAACCAGGGCCATCCATTGTCTGAGACATTAACTAAGCTAGAGGTTAAGTTGCCTGAAAATTTTGATTAACTTAGCTATGAAGAACAAGAGACGGTTTAAGAGACTATGCGGAGACGGATTATTCACTTTTATTATGCTGCGTTGCCCATAAAGTCCTTGCCGGACCACTTCGAAGCTATCAGAAACGAAAACTTTATACTTCGAGCGAAGCTTTTTTATTATGCATAGGCTCCCTAGGAAGGAGACTCCGTCTCGTTGAAGTATGTTATGTCCTAGGTTCTCAAACATTGGCCTATATCGCTGGATAAAGGAGCACAGACGAGATCTGTTGAGTGTCCAGTTCACTTTTCTGTGGAAGAGATACAGAAATATTCGGAGGAACATCGCTAAGAACAGGAGAAACTACAGGAACTGGGTGAGATGAGGGATCTTATTGGGACGGACGCCCTTGGCTGGGTTTCAGATGAGGATGAACTTGAACGATGTAGGGCTATCATCCAGAGCATTAAGGACGGTTTGATGGAGCATTCAAGCACTGAGATGGAGAAAACAGCGGTCCTCTTCCATTTTCCTTTCGATGATCATGAAGAAAATCCGTGACATATTTTATTAATTCAGCTCTCCTAGCTGCCAGCTGCTGCTTCTTTGATCCACTGCTGGATCTCCTTCTTACTGATCTTGTGAGAGGATTAAACGTTAGTTGATAGCCCGTCCACCACGTCGTCGAACTTGCTACAATAGGCTAAGATACTATAGTTGTAAATTTATATAATTTAAGGATGGCATTAACGACACGACAGAAAAGTTCATGGCACGACAAGGCTAGTCCTAATGAGGAGATCCCCCTTCGATACAGAACGCTACATTCGAAATACATAAGTCACCTACCGAGTCCACGTGGATGTATAGCCCTATCTTTAGAAAAGACCATTGAAAAGGCCATTCAAAAGACTATAGAAAAGACTATAGAAAAGACCTTAGAAATGACCGTAAAAAAGACCGTAAAAAAGGGTGATAGTAGGAGGGGGAGTAGAATAATAATTTAGTCTATTGTAGGGATAGATGAAGGTCGCGTATACAGTCGCTAAAGATATTAACAAGAAGTAATAATATGAATTATACATAAGACTCGATAGGTATTTTGTGAGTTTCGAATGTAGCATTTTTTTGTATTGAAAGGGGGGGTTTTCTCATTAGGACTAGCCTTGTCGTGCCATGAACTTTTCTGTTGTGTCGTTAATGTCACCCTCGAGATAAGGCTACCATCATCGCATGGATCGATCAAATGCTCGCCGAAGCAATTGCGGCCTCCCCGTTGACAACGCCAATTCTACATAGAAACAAGTCACTACGCAACTGGAGAAAAACTTCCGACGGGATCAGCAGCTAAGTTCGTACGCAGACGGTTCGCCTTTGACTGAGGGACCGCCGTTGGAGATCGTTGATCCGGACTCACACCGGCTTTTTGGGATTTCTTACTACGCAGGACAACATGTTATGGTTGTTGAATGTGCTGATGAAGACGAGGAGCCGAGCGGACAAAATTGACGAGGACGAAGGTGTGATTCAATCGTTTGAAGGAAAGTTGGGTGGGGACGCGGAGCCAGCCTTTTGGCTGCATGATAGGTAGACGTATGTCAGATCCTGACGAGCACTAAGGGAAAACTACTCTGCTTCAGATATGATAAATGGTTTAATGAAGGATCTGATGAAGGATCTGATGAAGGATCTGATGAACGATAATATGAATGATATAATTAATAAGATGATAATTCATACAATAAACGAGATAATAAATGAGATGGTAGATAATATGAAAGACGAGATGATGAACGATATAATGAATAATATGATGAATGAGATAATGACCGATGTGATGAAAACGTCTATAATTGATGCTGGTACTGTCTAAACGATCCACTAACGTAGGCAAGAAGTATCTACACACATCTTGAGGACAAGAAAAGGGGACGCTTCGCACGACAAGGGGTATATATTGAAACATGCCAGGAATTACGGTCAATTTCCAAGTTACTCTCGAGGGGAAACGCTGCTAAGGAAAGTTAGGGGAATAAAGATTACCCAAGGAAATATGGGAAAAGTATCAACAGGTGTGGTGCAAATTAAACTATATCGCAGAAAAACATGGACTTGGAGTCGTCATCATTCACGCCCGCCTTGTCGACTCAAACCTTCTTGTAAGTCGAGTCTTCCACACTGCCCGAGTGAATATGAGAAACACCCCCTTCTGGCACATGAGCACCAGTACTCTGGGGACTCACCTCTGCCGAATCCAACTCAACCCCACGATCAACCTCCAACCTCCGACGCTTGACGATCCTACCAAACAACCCAATAGAAATGGGCAACGGCGCCACCACCGCGCACAAGACACACGAGAAGATCAGTGCCCGGCGCATATTAGCCGGCGGACTCGCATCCTGCCCATCCTTCAACGCATCTTGAATAAGAATAAAACAAGCACCGAGCAACTGCCCACTCGTCCAGCAGATGGTGCTCCCAATCTCCGGCGAGAATGGATACGTAATCTCGACTAAATACTCCAAGACAATCGGCAAAAGCGCAAACGAAGACGCCCCCATTAGCGCCATAACGGCATACATCGGCCCAATACCGGCCGAACTCGACGGTGCGAAAATCAGCCCGATATACGAAGCCACAATGATGGGAACTAGGATGCGGATCGAGCCGAGGTAGTGTTTCCATTTGTCAATGATGGGCGACATGATCGCGGCTGAGATTAGGCCGACCACGATGAGGATTGCGCCGGCAATTCCGGCGTCCGTTTCGGAGAAGCCATATGGACTGAGGATTTGGTTGAGGAGGGAGGAGACGCTGTTGAAGAAGCCGACGTAGACGGCGAAGGCGGCGAGGATGAGCCAGAATTCGAGGGTGCCGAGTAGTTGACGTGTTGCGGGGATGAGTGGTGTGCGAGGGATGGCGGATGAGGCGCTGGGTGGTGTGGGTGGTTCTGCGGGGAGGAAGAAAGCTGGGATTGATACGACGGTTGTCTGTTGGTCATTGAGGTTTTGATTAGAAATCTATTCTCTTTTTTTCGCTGCTTTTCATAATTGATGTACATTTAAAATGGACGGAGTGGAAAGGGAAGCCGAGAACTCACGATGATGGAAATATATAGAACCATATTGGGGATATCAGATGGCTTCGTTGCCAATTCCGAGTCCACCAATTGCCCAATTGCCGCGCCGAGCGGGTTCGCCAAACTGGCAAGTGCCGTGGCGCTCGTGCGTCCTTTATCGGAGAACCACTGGTCACTATAGCGCGTGGGCGCGCACAAGCAGAATGGCTGCGCCAGGCCGATAATGATCTGGCCGAACATGACGAGTCCAAAAATGCCGCCATTGGCTTTGGTACCTGCATATCGCAGCCAATTACCGACAAGGAGGAGCGCCGCGGTGATAATGATGGCTGGTTTGGGGCCACCTTTGTTGAGGACCCAAATGACGAAGCTGATGTAGTGAAACAATGAGAGCGGGGTTAGCGAAGCCGAATCTAGACACGCAATATAGAGTAGTTCATGGGCAGATCTGGTTGGTTCGGGCATAAACTTACGGACTGGCAATACAAAAGGCAAAGAGGAAGCCCGTGCTCAGCCAATTGATGGCACTCTCAGAGACATCAAAGTACTCGGCAGAGGTAGTCGAGATGGAGGAGAAGGTCAACCACTAGAAGGCAACAGTACGGATTAGCGATCGGTCAGATATAGTTTCGGAGGATGAAGATCTCTCTCTCTCTCTCTGGGTTTGTGTCATGTTCGGAGAATTTCAAGCATACATCCCAGCTCACGACGATATTCAGTAAGGCCAGCTGCGCCAGACCCCAGAATCGCCGCTTATAGACCTTGTAGACAGGTCGCGTGGTGGGTACTTCCATGTCCTTGGCAGTCGACATGTTCGACAACGGCGACGGCAAATTCAAAGCAGATGGACAGGCCAGTCAACATCTTCTTGTGGGGAAATTGAGAGGAGAGAGAGAGGGAAGCACAAGGCAAAGTTCTGTCCAACTCTCTCCCCGACTGCAGATGGCGAGAGCGGGACGAGTTAAGTATGGAGTACGTAGGGGAGGCAATAGGGCGCTACAGATAAGAGAAAGAGTAGAGAGAGCGAGAGGCCTTTAATTAAACGCAGCTAAAACAGCAACTACGCACTAGCTTTTATGGTCGGACCCATCCCCAAATTCAGTCCCAAGGCACAGAATCTCGTCGTGGTGGATGTTCAGATTAAATGGATGTAACCAAGAAGATCCGAGGTTCTGCATGCGACAACGATTCTGGGTCCACGAACCCCGCAAATCCCACGAGACAACGGCAGGACCCGAGACATGTTTTACGGAGTTGCCAGTAGTTACTTCTCATCATCAGTAGTCAGGCGGAGAATTTAGGTACGACTCCTATTTCTGGACAAGGATTCTTGACCCGGTGTCAACGCCCTCGCTTACAGTCGACTCGGACTGCGACTGCGCTCCGTGGTGGCGGTCTGTCAGGGCGGACTCGGGTCTGTCTAAGTGGTGGATATGAATTTAGTCTTCAGTGGGCGTAATCTAGAGCCTTGTTAGTGTGTGCCAGAGTACGGAATACACTAACGGATAGAGCCCGGGCACTAAAACTGTGTGGTCGCAGTCGAAGGAGAGGAGTTAGCCCTGTAAGTAACGGAGCCCTCCGTAGTTCGTAGTTCGTAGTTCGTAGCTCGGCTGGAAGTGATACATCCTGGAACACGGGATCCTCCTGGTAGGAATGATCCATTGGCGGATCTGATAGGACGTGAATTCTGGGGACTGGTCCACCGTTCATAGTATTCCATATCTATGTCTATATCTATATCTCTATATCTTTATTTTACATTGTAGTATGTCTTGCATAGCTGCTCTGTACTTCGTACACATCACAAAGACCACGAAATCATGTGGCGGAGTTCCTCAGCCTCCGCTGATCCTTCTTCCTTTCGTCTCCCCGCCTTCAATTTCTCGTCAGCCTCGTCCTTTTTGACATCATTTCTATTCTTTTTCATTCCTTCCTTATTCTCCGATCCCCTGTCTCACATTCTCTGGCATCGTTCTCCCCGGCTTCGCAGGATGGTCCATTCCTGAAATCTTTTCCCCTTCTCCCAGTCCAATCGGTCCCGCGCCGGCATTCCGCCCTGAACGCCCACCATGAACATCAGCCTTCGATCCAGTCAGTCCTCCTACGGAGACCCTCGCTATCTATCTACCGCCACCGTCTCCGATGTCCACGGTCCGCCTGCCAAGTCCTTGGTCGATGGCTATCGCGATGCCGTTCACCCCGACCAGGACCGTCCGCGGTACAACCCGGTAAGGGGGAACCCCCCAAAACAAGCGCCCAAGGATTCAACGGCCACACTCTGAACAGCGGATCGTGCTAACCAGTGGATGGTGTCAATAGCTCAACCCGGCTCACCCACGCAGCTCGGCGCTCCTCAATCCCAGGGATCCAGTCATGATGTACCTTCTGACCGAAACCGCCATGGGCGATAGCACCGACTACGAGGTTCTCTCCTTCGACGAGGTGGAGCAACTCAAGAAAGAGCGCTCTCTCCTATCAACCCGTATCGAGAGCACCAAGCGGAAACTCGCCATGGAAACCAAGATTCGCGATGCGGCCCAATCTCTCGGTCGACTCTACAGCCCCCCAAGCCCCCGAAGCAGCGGCGAGTACGGCGCCAACGGTACCGACAAGTCGCATCGGCGCAGCCGGAGTATATTTGGGCGGAGTGGTGCCGCAGAAGCTCTGGACAAGAGCGACTCGGAACTGGCAATGAGCCAGCGGAGATGCGAAGAGCTGGCGCAAGAGCTGTGGAAGTTGGAACAAAAGTCCAGTCAGATCTCACAGCGCTTGCTCGAACATACCGCGGGAATCTTGCAGATGACCCACAAGGGCTTGAAGAAGACTCCGAAAAATCTGGACGGTTCGGATGGTCGTGACGATGGGTACGACTTTGACGATCGCAGCCTGTACCGGACGAAGGAGCATCTGGACACTTTTGGAGTGAATGGGAGGATAGAGAATGTCTCTACTGGTGCGACGGTCGATTCTGAATCTCAGAAAAGGTTGGAGGAGCTCAGCGAGCGCCTCTGCAATATGATGATGCAGGCCAACCCGAATGAATTCGTCGAACCACCACCTCACCCGGGTTCATCTAATATGGAGGCACACATCGCATACCTGGAGCATGGGCTGCAATCGCTCCACTCCGTTGGCTCCGCTAGAGCCTTGCCGGTCGATACCGATGTTGCCCCCGAGACTGAAGGCGCATGGAAGCTGCAACTCACGCACATCAACAATCGAGTTCAAAGCATCGTTGATCGATTCGGCTTGACCCGATCACCGACTCTACCTCCGCCTCCTGCTGCGTCGGACGGTGAAGGTCTACAGGAGCAGCTGTCATATCTCCAGGCCGGTGTGGACGGTCTCGCCAGCCGAGTAGATGGATTGTTGGAGCAGAAGAGCATCCTTACCACCCAAATCCAGCAACAACGTGAGCTCAACAGCAAGTCCGATGCGGAGCGAGATGCTCATATTGCCGACTTGACCGAACAGCTAGCTCAGGTGCGACGGGACTACGAGGCTTCTGAGGATCAGAGCCAGGGCCATCGTGATGAGCTGGTTGTGATCAAGCAACAGCTCGAGGCTCTGCGTAACAACGGCTCCCCTGCTGACGAGGTCAAGGCTTCCCTGGCACAGGCTGAGGGTGAGATCGCGCGCTTGCAGAGTATCGTGGACTCGCTGCATGCTGAGGCTGATATGCGTGCCGAGGAGGTCAGGGAGGCGCACGACCGCGCGGAAGAAGTCAGGGAAGCCAACGAGCGCGCCGGGCAAGAAATGACCCAGCTCGAGACCGAGATCCAGCAGATCCGCAGTGAATCTGACGCTCGCTTGAGAGAGGTGCTTGATCAACGCGATCAAGCCGAGGCTCAACTGAAGGAGATGCTTGATCAGCGCGAGCATGCTGATGCTCAACTGAAGGAGATTCTTGACAAGCGCGACCACGCTGATGCTCAGATGAAGGAGATGCTTGATCAGCGCGAGCATGCTGATGCTCAACTGAAGGAGGTTGTCGAGCAACGTGACCAGGCCGACGCTCGTATGAAGGAGGCGCTCAGCGAGCGCGATCAGGCCGAAGAGAAGGCTTCTCGCCTGCAACAGGAGATGACGGAGCTCGAAGGCGAGGTCGTGCGCATCACCACTGAACTCACCATGGTCAAGGCCGAACTTGACGGCGCCTACGGTACCCGTGCCCAGCGTGCCGCCGAGGTGGCTGCCAACCCCGAGATCCAGAAAGAAATTGATAGCCTCCACACGCGCAACATCGAGCTGACCGAGGAGCTTGCCATGCTCAAGGGCCAACAAGGCGGTGGCGACCTTCAGCAACGGGCTGATACCCTTGAGAAGGAGCTCCGGGAGACTCTTGATGATTACGAGGCCATGACCAAGGCGAGCATCGAGTTTGAGAAGGAACGTGAACAATTCGAGAGCCTTATTGATTCGATGCGGGATCGCTGCGAGCAGCTGGAGCAGCAGCTCAGTGAGGAGCGTATCAACTGGATGAATTTGAATAGTCCTGGCTCCGTGGGCCGCGATCCATCGTCCGAGACCACATCGACGATGGTACTGAAGAACGAGTTCAAGAAGATGATGCGTGATACGCGCAACGAAAACATGAAGATCCTTAAGGTCAGTTTCTCTCTCCTCTCCGAACTTATGTTTATCAATTACTAATGCCGTGGTTACAGAGGGAACAAGAAGAGCGGCGCAGAATCGAGGGTCTCCTCCGAGCCCTCAGAAAAGAGCACGCTCAAGTAACTGGCAAACCCATGGCCAGCCCCGTTGGCACCCCATTATGATGATGACACTGGTTTCTGTTTTCGGACATATTTGCATTTCGATCAGGACTTGTATATATAGACACACTTTACTTTCTTTCATTGTATAATTATTGCATGAGCGCTTCCCACGGCAAGCGCGACGATGTTATTACCCCATTTTACTTCTCAGCCAAGTTCAATCTTCACGAATGATACTTTCGATCCCAACACTTAGCCTTCCAACTTTTGCTGTCTCTCCTTTTATGATGGTCAGGCACCCTGATCGGGTAGCAGGGGATGCTAGTCGCCAATTTCCGCAATCTCGGCGCAGGTCCTTGTTTGATTTGAAATACCTCGCTCCCAGCGATGATATCACCACAGACTCGGAATCCCTCTACAGCGAAGAAAAAGAAATCTTCAATGCCATTGTGGTACCTTCGCCCAGTCGGGATTCTCGTGGATACGACACTGGGTATCAGATGGGGCCTATCATGGAAGAAGGGCTAGCAGCGAATCTCGCCATGTTCATTCAGACCAGTAGCTCCAGCAGCAGCCCTCCTATGACAGCACATTATTACGCTGGGCCAAAAGCACACAAGAAAGCAGATACTATGTGGTGGCGCCATCAAGCGCTTTCCGATCAGTCCTCGAATCGCCCACAACTGAGTCGATTGACTCAGGCATTGTCCACGGCCGGAGCTACTACAAGTCATCGAAAAGCCCTCTCCCTTGATACAGTCGATACCAATGAAAGAACGTCCAATTGGCCAGCAAAGCCAGGGCCAGCAGTCAGGCCCACGCAACCGCAATACCCTCCCCCGGAAAGAATTCCCACTCCTCCAGGACTTCCTTCGTTCAACACACCGGATGCAGTATACTGCTCAGGTCAATTTCTGGCCGGGCAGGGTGGCGGACGCTTCTACGCTCAAGGGAACGCAGCCGGTGCTGACCAAAGCTCAACTTCCTATGGAGATGCGTTTCGAAGACTCTTAGGCCTACAGCCGTCAGTCGATGCAAGGACAAGCATACAGTCTGCTGTGGGCATTGGACGGGCTGACGATGGAACTATAGTCCAGGGTCGATTCCCCTATCGACAGAGTGGGCATAACGCCAATATGGCTCGGCAGATACATGAGCATCCATTCCACCAAGCCACTCTCGCCGTCGCGGAGTCCGGCGATAGAACCGAGGCCGAAGGGGGTAGTACAAAGGATGACAATACCATTGCTCAGCCTAGACGACGGGTCCGGGACTATGTGCCTCCTTCCATGGGGAGATTATGGCCCTTCCACGATGGAGTTTTGTCATTCACGCACGAGTCTTCCGCGACACATTCAGGAATTACGGATAGAGTCCATCCATTCTTCGGAGGTCCACGTACATCAACTAATCCAAGTCTTTCGAACGGTGTATCATCTCCCAGTCGTCACCGCGCAGAAACCACGAGAAATTACATTCCTCCATCCCATTCACAACTCCAATCGGTTCAAACTATCGACGACGATGACTGCGACGAACAGAGCTTGGCCCCCGGGGGTACACATTCAGCCTCTGACATTATTTGCTGGCTACCAGTACAGCTATACCTCTGTTGCCTGTCAAAATCCTGTCCTTTCCAGGATCGTCATGACGACGTGGAAGGGTTGCACACTACCGATTCCCAAGATACATACGTGACTGCGCAGAGTCGGCCTTCGAATTCTCCGACTTAACGTGGATCTTCCACATTGGACTGGGGAGGTTTGAGGTCAGGTTTTAACTATGATAGTCTCGGGTGTCCGCTGCCGTCCAGTTGAGTCATTGAATGTGTCCTTGTGTCTTTCCTTTCCATAATGCATGTTATGCGGTTCCTTGATCCTTCATGTTGTTTTCTGCACACAGCGGATTGCTATCATTATTGCAATTGATCATTCGACAGCTCTTGTCAACAGTCTATCAGTAACTCGTTACCCAGGTAAAAGGCTGTCAACTTATTCTTGTCACTAGACCGGAAACATTCAACGTCTCAATCAAGACAATTGAATCCGAAAAACTGTCTTTTAAAAGGCTCGTGACATTCCGCTACTTCTATATCACAATGCTAATATAACACCGAGACAAAAGAGAAATCTCATACGCCGTGCAATGTCCGTAACACACAGAATACCCTCACAGGACGGAGTAAAGTGAACAGAAGCAATATGGATAGAGAGAGGGTGATATGTGATTTCCCTCCTTGCAGAAAGAAGAATCGAGGAACGGCAAGGCTGACATCCAGAAAGACTATGACAAGGCTATGATGGGGGAATGCACTCGTCCATGAGGTGATAGACATGGAGGGACATGAATTGAGGAATAATTAGGAGCAGCGTATGTAGGCTCGGTGAGTTGTTCGGTGCAGGCTGCTGCACCGGCTTCATGGGGAGCGTGGAAGTGGGATGAATTATCCATATTAGATAGGTTTGTGGTGGGATGGGGGTAAAAAGGACGGAGCGAAAGGGCAAGTAGGACGATGCGGGAGAGATAAAAAAAGAATCAAAGACCTCGGAAGAATTGACATGCTTCTAATATCTCCTCGTCACCACATGCAAAGTCCCATCCGACAATTCGTGGGTCCACGCTCGCGCAGACAATCTTGCGTGAGTCGAATTGGACTTTGAATACTCTTGATGTGGGAGGCGGGGCTCGGTTTCGATGAGGGTGGTGGAATTGATGTCCAGCAGCGATTGGGTGTGGAATCGCTGCTGCTGCTGCCGGAGGTGGCATTGGAGGTGGTGCTGTGGCTTGTACCGCAGGTTGTGTTGGTTCAGGGGTGATGGTAGCGGTGCCAGTAGTGGTCGCTGGTGCCGTAGGGGACGGTCCGGTAGCAGTATTAGCACCATCTTGGGGTACCGAAGAGAGTGGCGGATTGTTGATAGTCGCAGGTGGCGTTGGTGTGTCATCGACAGTGTCTTGATCGGCAGCATGGATATCATTCTGGGTGGTTGCAGGTTGCGGGACTACAGGCGCAGGCGCAACTACAGGGGCTTGAGCCGCTTGAAGCTGTCGGACCTGGGCTTGAATAGCAGCTCGTGCCGCGTCGCTCAAGTTCCCACGAGCTGCGTTGACTGCAGCATCCGCTTGTCGCAGCCGGTGGCCGATCGTCCATGCGCCATCACGGTCCTTGTGCCAGATCAAGATCGACTCATCGTAGGAACCCGACACGATCCGGGCCCAGGGACTGCCTCCGCCACCTGGAGGAATCTTAGCTCCAAGAGCTCGGATATCCCGGGGATCTCTAGATCCAGCGGTGTTGGATTGGTATCCAGCGCGACGCAACGCGCTGGGGCCAAGATGCACAGGTGCACCCTCTTGTCGAGCTCTCCAAAAGGCAGTCTCGACCTCCAGGGCCTCCATCCGTAGAGCCTCGTCTGCACCGGGCGGATCGCCGAATCCTGCCTGCACTGTACGGACCAGATTGTTGTGTCCGCGTAAGCAGGCCACCTCGGCTCCGGAGGCATGGTCGTAGATACGTACCGTATTATCGTTGCTACCACTGATGATGCGGCGACTATCGAATTGAACACATGCGATACCCTTCTCATGACCCATCAAGGTCTTCAAGCAAGTGCCGTTGCGAATGTTCCAGACCTTGATCATCCGATCCCCGGATGCAGTCACAATCTCATCGCCGTGAAGCTGCATTGCATTGACGGCAGCTCCATGGCCCTCGACGGTCATAAGCAGAGAGTATGCCTTTAAAGACTTGATGTGTCCGTTGACAATGCTGGCTTCAAGCATGTTGGGGGCAATGTCGCTGAGATCGATAATGTACGATGGGTAGCTAGCACCACCACCGTTGCAGATTCGGGGGTAATCCTCGTCATTGGGCAATAGATCGTGTCGACTCCATACTTTGACGGTTCTGTCTTTCGAGCAAGTCACGAGGTACCGATGATCGAATTTCAGGTTCAGCACCGAGTCAGAATGGGCATTTGTAATTTGATGGAGCTTCTGGCCCGTGGAGAACTTCCACAGAATCACACTCCTGTCGCTACTGCCAGAAATAATGACATCTTCTTCAGGGCTTGGGTCGAATTGCAGGCACAATACTGATTTGAGATGTCCACGCAGAGGGCGGTGCCAGAGTCGCTTCGTTTCCAGGTCCCATACCCGAACAGTCCTGTCTCGGCTTCCACTGACCAGCCATTTCCCCTGGAACTGGATAGCATAGACGCACTCTTGGTGCGCATCCTCCGGGTAGGACGGGTGAGGAAGTTGGAAATTAGTGTATCGGCCATGGTGCCAATTAGCTTCAAGACGCCGGCGTTGCTTGTAGAGATGCACCCAGTTCACCCTGACAGACCCATTCGGCGTTCGCGTGAGTAGCGACGATTTCAAGGGAGGCTGGAGGAACGCGATTGAGTTGTGGGCAAGACTTGGCGACGCAAGTCCTGATTTCTCGATCGAGGTGTGTGTTCCTCGATCGCTCGCATCGGCCATGTGGTGATCGCCCTCGTTATCCGGTCCAACCTTGCCATTCGATGGTCCCTGGCCGTCTGCGCCTCGTGTGTCATACCACGAGGGTGGTACACGCTTCTTAAGCTTTGGCTCACCCAAGTCCGGCTCCGAGTGTCGTGGGCGCGAACGGCGGGTCTGGGGTGACATTGCTTCAGCATGCTCTTGCTCGAAGTTGCGAATAGCGCGTGCGTCTACTCGCCAGCCCTCATCAATGTACAGCACGCGCCACAGGCCAGAGTCCAGGATTCGACTACGCCATGAGCGAGACGCGAGCGAGGCCGTCAGGAGTGTGCGGGGTTCGAGATACGAGAATATTTGGAAGGTGAGTTCAGGTGGTAATTTCACAACGGGGTCCATGTGGAGAAGGGGGTTCAGACGGTCGACTACGCCGGCAAGAGTCGTCGTTGAGAGAGATCGAAGCAAGCTGTACGCGAATTCTGCATTTGAGTTCCATTGGTGAGCCTGGGGCGCCAAAAGGTAGAGGAGGTTGGGAGATGAGGAATTTCAGTGAAGCCCCCAAAACAAATCATGCAGGAAGAATTTACCAGCGCGGTCAGCCTCACTCTGGGCTAGAACCCATTCTGGAAGCGACATGACATTGTCCGATACTAGATCCTTGTCTGACTGGCTCCGGGTGTCATCCGAGTAGCCCTCATCCAGCTTGAAGGCAGGTGACAGAGACGGAGCCGTATATTCAGCGAAGTTAGTCGCTTGTAGCCGCAAATCCGGCCTGGATAGCGAGTCAGATACGGTGTCTTCCTCCATCAGTACCGAGGGCGGCGGATATGGGCCTGAGGTGAAGGAACAACGGGTAACTGTGGTGGGTTTGCAGGGTACCCAGTCCTTACAAGACGCTCAATACACGCGTCGCATTCACTTTGAGTCCTCCGTTCTAAGTTAAAGTTGCAAAGAGGGATGATCCCTCTTGCGGTGCAGAAAGGTAGGACAGATGATGGGGGTGTTCTCTGTTCTCCGGGCTGCGAGTCACGTCACGTTTGGCGGTTTGGCGGCGGCAGGATCCACCCCGAAGTTGATAGGCCAAGCGGAGCAGTCAATAGTTCAGTCAGTGGAGACGGACAGATCAGTACTACGCTTCAGGATTAAAGATTGAAATCAAAGAAGGTTTAGAAATGATGGATGGAATCTAGAAATCTAAATGGTAAATGATAAGCATAATAAACAGAGGAAAATGCGAACAGAAACAGACGAACAATGAAGGGTTGTATCACGTGATTTTCAAGAGGGCAATGTATGCAGTAAGCAGTCAACAAAGACCAGGTGAGTTAATAAGTTGATGGGTTATGAGCGATGATCAGTTTCATTGTCCTTTAGGTTCTTCTCATTATGATCTCAGATTCTCCATATTCTTTAAAGGACTATGGTCCTCTCATTTTTATTTTTGGTCTTTAAATCTCTAATCTTGATTGTTCATGCAGGCAATATATTGCTACCAAGCCCGCCAGGGTCCATACATTCAAATTTTCCGAACACCATTAGGCTTAATAAGTATGAAAGAAGCTTAAAGCATAGTCTTGATCCACTAGTAGATAAAAGATAACTCTCAATTCTACTAAAGACATAATTCACTGATGGTGGATATGGCTTCAAACTCCTCCCTAGTCAACAATAATAATACTACGTACTATTGGTATAGGCATAGCATTGTAAATTTCTTACGACCATCCTCTTCAAAAAAAAGACCCCCTTAAATAGACCTCTAGATATGCTCTGTTCTTTCTGGACAGCCTTAACCTACGCTTCTAAACTCCTTACCTCCTACTTTCATCTCAGACTCGACTCTAGAAGCCGCGTCTCAGGTAGATGGAGACTCGTGCCCCTCCCCACATCCCACCGCCCGATGGAACACACGCTAAACCCAATGGAGGAATTGAACAGCCCTCTCCTTCGGCTCACCCTCTCCTTTCTTCCCATCCCCCCATCATCCCTCCCTCCCTCCCACCGCCTGTCCCTCTACGCCCTTGTCCTCCATCTTCCTTCACGGGTGTAAGCTCGTCTTTCCTCTTCTTGGAAGTTGACTCGTCCTGCGTTCCTCCATCTGCTTGTCACCCCCCAGTCCTAGTGACGGGCCGTTTACATACCGACACCGACACCTAAGGGGTTCGACCTATTCTTTCTTTCTGTGATTCGGCACGCCTGCCCGGCTGCAGCGTCTACGCCCGACCGATCACCTACTTCCCCATCGATTGGGTTTCGCTGACCGTCAAAGTCGGAGCATATTATCCGGCCTCCCTGATTCTTATTGGAGAATAGTAGCGGCGCGTTTTTGAGATCGCGCTCCAAGTATATATCATCTTTCCGGCGGTGCGCTTTGCGACACAAATTCACCCCTTCTTTACCGGGGCATGAAACCACGCAGCAACCTATAGCGACCAGATCATACGTGATTTCGAGCCTCAGGTTTTCGATACCCGACTTGATCTGCGCCCCCCGCCACGCGGCCCGCCTTGAACCACCATCGATCGTATCGCGGCAAACCTATGGTCGGCTTTCCGTTGTCCGACACTTGTCGCTCTTCCCGATCAATTATACCCCCGGTCCGCTGTGCGGATTTGAACTGAGCCTGGCTGGTCTGACTCAAATACACGATTAAGGCGATCCAAAATGATCGACGCCGCCGCCATGAGCGGAATCCCGGTCGCCGAAGACAACATCATCAACCGGCGCGGTGGAGAATCCATTTATCAAAGTTGTGTGAATTTGAAGCGCCGGCTTTCGGAAGTTCCTAACTTTGAGCCTTATCTTCAGGCGATGGCTGAGGAGGATGAATTGCGGGGTAACACGGATCCAGTATCTTCGCTGTGGCAGTGCCTGCGAAACGGCTACCCGTTGTTGAGTATCTACAATGCATCGGGTCCAGATGAGGAGTTGGTAGTCGACCCTGCCAAGGTGCCCGAGGCGAAGCGTCCAAAGGCGGCGACTTTCAAGTTTCTTCAGGCTTGCTTGCAAGACCTGGCCTTCCCCCAGCAGGAATGTTTCTTGATTACCGATCTTTATGGTGAAAGCACCACTGGCTTCATTAAGGTCATCAAAATGGTGAATCGTGTGGTGGATATTCTTGAAATGCAAGGCCAACTGAAGCGTCCGGAAGTGACAGATGCTCCCGTGGGTGCACAGGGAGCCGTCAAGCTTACCAAGCGTGAGCATATTCTCAAGGAACTGTTGGAGACTGAACGCGACTATGTCCACCACTTGCAAAACCTCCAGGCACTGAAGAAGGAGCTGGAGGAGACAGGTGCTCTGACCGGTGATGCGAGCCATCAAATCTTCCTGAACCTGAACAATCTCTTGGACTTTGCGCAGCGATTCCTGATTCGGATGGAGCAACACTATGCGCTTCCAGAGGAGATGCAAAATTGGGGCCACCTCTTCTATTCGAATGAGGAAGCCTTCAAGCAGTACGAACCGTTCATCGCTAACCAGATGCGCTGCGATGAGGTCTGTATGCAAGAGTGGGATAAAATCCGGAGCTCACCCCGTCACCCGGACCTCCTGCAAATGGTCGCGCAGCCCAAAACTCTGAATGGATTCTTCGTCAAGCCTTTCCAGCGGCTAACCAGGTATCCGCTCATGCTGTCGGTAGGTAGATCGACAATCCTTCTATGTTCCTGAATTCTTTTTCTGAGATACCAATTTTCTGTACAGGAACTGCGCAAGCAAACCGAAGACCCTCAAATACACTCCGACATCACCCACGCCATCGACTCCATTCAGAACACACTGGACTCGGCCAACGAGGCTATCCACAAGGAACAATTAGCTGCTGCAGTGGTGGATCTCTCCGAGCGTGTCGATGACTGGAAGTCACTGAAAATGGAAGCCTTTGGAGACCTGCTCCGATTTGGCACTTTCGCAGTGGTCAAGGGGGATAGTGGCAAGGATAGTGAGCGAGAGGTATGCACCGCTGGAAAATCTGCTTTTCTGTCCCATTCGAGTGCACCCAGGACTACGGTTCTGGAGGACTTCTTGAGTTGCACGAGCTGACTTGACTGATTTAGTATCATATCTACTTGTTTGAGCGCATTCTTCTGTGCTGCAAAGACATAAACCCCAACAAGCAGAAAACCAAACTCATGATGAACAAAGATAAGCCCTCGCTCTCATCGAAGGGCAAGGCCCGTCTTCAACTGAAGGGCCGGATCTACATGGCAAATGTTACGGACATCGTCTGCCTTCAGAAGCCGGGTACGTGAAAGATGCAATTCGCGAATGGGTGATAAATTGAAATTCTGACAAATCGATAACAGGTCTTTACCGTATTCAAATCTTCTGGAAAGGTGATCCTGGCGTTGTCGACAACTTCATCATTCGTTATGTGAATGAAGATACTATGCGGAGCTGGTACAAGGATATCGATACTCAACGTGCCATCCAGTCAGAGCGACGAACGCTTCGCAACACTGGTACTTCGGATAGCGAGTTTACTTACATGGAAGGCATGGCACACATGCCTAACCCATACCAGCAAGAGTACGATGTTGAGGATATCCCCAAGGATGGCACCTATCACTCTGAATTCCCCATGAGCCGAAATGCCTCCAGTACCAGCCTGAGAACTCGATCCGCTACCGGAGGTAGTACTGGTTCTGTACCCCACTCTAATGGCCGGCCACGATTCCCTGCAGACCCTGCGCTTTCTGTGCATACCCAATTCCCTGCTGGTGCTGGTAACATGTCTCCAGGTGACCGGAACATGAATTCGTACTTCTCGCCCACGGAAACCCCATCCACTCGATCCAGCTCCCAATCTGGGTTCTCGTTCGGTCGCCAAAACACCAATTCGACGATCGCATCCAGTGTCTGGAATGAGGAGTCCAATCGGTACACTGCCCCCGCCTTGTCTCGTGGAACCTCAAGAGATGGTAGCACGCCCACCGGGTATTTCCCCCCGCAACCCAACGGACGGGGTGCTCAGCGCCCATCCCTACCCCCGCTCTCGGGACCACCGGCAGCGTCTTCGAATGGAACTGCTCAACGGATGCGTTCTGCGAGCAGTCCCGACATTCATCATCACAACAATGCTCATCCAGACTCTCGGCGGTATATGGGAGTGCACACGATGCAGACAGTCGACAATGTTCCGGTGCCACCAATCCCTGCACATATGGCCAACATGAAGGCACCGGTCAACCGAAGCCAGAATAACTCGCCCACGAATAGCCAGCTTCCTATTCGCACGAACGCTCACCACGTACACCCCACGCATTTTACCGAGCCAGAGTACAACGAGTCTCGTGCGTCGGGGCTCTCCGATGCGGCGACATCTCCCTTGAGCCAAGAGCCCGACGGAGATGCGTATATGCCCACTCAACTCAAGGCTAAGGTGAACTTTGACGACAATTATGTCACATTGGTCATTGCTACCAATATCCTTTTCCGTTCCCTCACGGACCGCGTTGATGCCAAACTGGCCCGATTCACCAATCGATCCATCGGCAACAAGACTGTTCGACTGCGTTATCGTGACGAGGATGGAGACTTTGTTACCATTGACAATGACGAGGCCGTGCAGCTTGCCTTTATTGAATGGCGGGAACAGCACCGAGACATGCTTGCCAAGGGCATGGTGGGTGAGATTGAGCTGTATTGCCAGGTGGTTGACTAGATTGATGCTATTTCCTTTTCCTTTGATCCTATGGCGCCCCAAGTTTCCTCCGCCTTTATGAATGATGATCCATTGTCTATTTGTCTTGTGGAGGTGTCTCCATCTGATCAGATCATTCACTGCTATTTCAGTTCCATCTGCATTGCCTGGGCGCCTATCCTCTACCTCTTTCCCTCCTCAGCTCCGCGTTTTATTCCCGACTGGATTGTGACTAACCACTTCTTAGAGAGTCATATTCCCCCCATCTTGCTCCGCCTTCGATTCCCCCCCCCCCCTTCATTTTATTCATTGGCCCGCTCCTGCTGGAACATTTTTCGACTCTTCTGTGGTTGGGCCGTGGTGTCTACGTGAGGATAATCCTGCTCCATGAGTTCTGGTTGCGGCATGACCGGTGTCGAGCGGCGGTACGAAGCATCTGGAGATCCTTGAGATTCTCCTCTCCTCCTTTTCATGACCTCTGCT